CCACTTTCTCCCATTGCCTTTTGGGTGCAGAGAGGGGAGGCCGTTGACAAATGACTTCAGGGATGTAGGGAAGTCGATCATTTACAGCAGTGGTTCTCAACCTTCTGGCCCTTTCAATACAGTTCCTCATGTTGTGACCCAACCATAAAATTATTTTCGTTGCTACTTCATAACTGTCATGTTGCTACTGTTATAAATCATAATGTAAATATCTGATATGCAGGATGGTCTTAGGCGACCCCTGTGAAAGGGTCATTCGACCGCCAGAGGGGTCGCGACCCACAGGTTGAGAACCGCTGATTTAGAGGGTGTCTCAGACATTCCCTCGGGGCAGGTGGGAGGGTTAGCAAGGGCCCCAGCCATAAGCAACTGAAACAAAACAGAGAGTGACAGCATCTGGGCAGCTGGCGGCTGAGTGCCCTCGGGTAGGCGGCTTCCCCTGTGTGCCTTGGTTTCCCCACCTGTGAAATGGGAGTGAATAATAGAGCTGGTCCCACAGGCTGCAGATGACTTACGGAGAACACTGCACGCACAGGGCTCAGCACCGCACCTGGTTACTGTTATGTTCCCGGGTTGGTAATGACCCAGCACCTTGCCTGGCAGTGACCACATTAGCTCCCGTGTCTCCGACTCCGAGTCGGGGTGACCCTCCTCCCCAAAGTGCTGCGGTGCGGGCAGGAATCCCATTCACCCATCCATCAAGGGGAGGGATGGGGCTCTATGGCTCCCCAGGTGACGACAGTCATAAACAACCGTGAGAATTAATGAGTCTGAGATGCACGCAGCCCGCATACCCGCCGCATGGCTTCCTGACAGAGTGGCTCGGCCATTTCAGGACAGGTTCCCGAGAGGCCCTGCTCCGGGCTCTCAAGGCAGCGCGGGCCAGAACAGCCACAGCTGCCTCCTGTTTCTAAATCCCGTCCCCGTCCTCAGCAGATGGCCTGATCTTAACTTCAGAAAATGCCACATTTAATAAAGTTACCGGTAATGTCCCCCCACTTGGCAATTAGGGTGAGAGCGAAAGCAGCATGATTCTGGAATTGATGGTGTGTGTGTCTCTCTCTCTCTCTCTCTCTCTCTCTCTCTCTCTCTCTCTCAGCGTGGCACACGCTCTCCCACTTTGCCGCATTTTTAGGAATCGCTGTGTAATGTTTAACTGCTGCTCGAATCGCAGCTGCTCCGGCCCCTCCCATGAGCAGTGGAACCCAGCTTTTCGCGATTTCCCGCTCCAACTGAGGAGTCGGTACCCAGGCCCCCCGCACCGCACCGTGCCAGGCGGGTGTCTTCCCGAGCCCCGCAGTGCTCCGCGTGGGGCCTCCTTCCCGGCGCAGTCGCACCTCATTAGCCTCCCCTCCCGGTTCAGCGAGGCGCTGCGGCAGCGCTGGGCTGAGGGCGCGGAAGCAGCTGCCTGCGTGTTCCCAGGCTGCTTGGGCCTTTTCGGGGAGAGTGAGCTGGCACGCGCCATCGGTCCTGCCGTTGGCTTCTGTCCTCGTGTGGGGAAGGCAGCCCCTGGGCCTGGGCGCCCTGCCAGGCCAGGGTGTGCACAGCCCTGCATGGGGAAGTGTGGTCTGTACGTTGGTGCTGACTATGCACACGCATGTGTGTGCACATAGTGCACATGGACATGTGCCTCTACAGGTGTGCCTGTGGGCCTATGTACTCACATGTGGATACAAGCACCATCTTGTATGTATATTTAGAGATGGGCACGTGAGTCCTATCAACCTCTGCCCCTTTAAAAGCTTTAGAAAGACAAATTTCCTGGCTAGATTATAGCACCCTGGCTACACAGAAAAAAATGCTAGTACAGGGAGTCATAAAAGCCACAAATTTCCAGAAGAAATAATTAGCAGCAACCGTTACTGAGTAGTTAACATGTTCTAGGCATTTTATAAACACTCTCATTTTGCCTTTGCAGCAATCCTAGGAGGTAAGGACTTTGTTTTCCCCAATTTACAGATGAAAAATAAAGGCTCAGAAAGGCTAAGCAACTTTCTTGGGGTCACAGAGCCAGGAAGTAGCAAAGTTCAAAGGTGGATGCAAATAAGCTCACTCCAGAGCTGGCATCCAATGCCTGCGTCATAGCTGCCTCCTATTTCTAACATCTGAAAGTGTGTGTGTGTGTGTGTGTGTGTGTGTGTGTAGGTGTAGGTGTGAATGTCTGGTGCATGTGTGTAGGGAGTCCACACTTCCCCGGGGTTGAGCACCTGGCAGAGTCCAAAGCCTGGCTTGTCTGACATCCACAGCCAGGCAGGGAGGAATCGCCCAGACCTTGCTCTGGAAAGGAGGGCTGACGTTTCATTCAGGCCTCATCAAGCGGAAATAGAACCTGGGTGGCAGATGGGGCCGGGGCGTGAGGATGGTAGACAGAGTAATGGACCCCCCAAAGGTGCCCACATCCTAATCCCTGCAGCCTGGGAATATGTGACCTGACCTGGCTAAAGGGACTTTGCAGAGATAATTAAGTTAGGGATGCTGAGATGGGGAGGTCATCCAGATGACCAGTGAGCCCCAGGTAATCACACGGGGCCTTGTAAGACAGAGGCAGGAGGGCCAGCATCACAGGACAACCAGAAAATGTTACACTGTTGGCTTTAAAGATGGAGGAAGGGGTCACGAGCCACGGAATGCAGGCAGCTTCTAGAAACTGGAAGCGGCAAGGGGACGATCCTCCCCTAGAGCTGCCAGAAGGAACGCAACCCTGCCAAGGCCCTGACTTTGGCCCAGGCATCTGAGCTTCAGGGCTGTGAAGGTCATATATATATATGAAGGTCATATTTATCTATATATTTAAAAGCATAAGTGACCATTACAACCTAATGACCGGACTGACCCAGTCCTTGCTGCCTTGCTGCTGGGGCCCTAACAGCTCTGAATCGGGTTCACCTGCACCCTGAACCCAGACAGGAGGGAGGAGGGAGCCCGATTACTCGCTGTTGGTTAGCTTGCTGCTGGCCAACCTCCCTCAGTCCCTCCCCCTGGCCGAGGGACCCCACCAGTGCACGAATTCATGCACCGGGCCACTAGTATATACAAAAAATCTGTTGTTTTAAGCCACTTAGTGTGGCAACTTGTTACAGCAGCCATAGGAGACTGATATACAGAGCGACTCCTTGAAACCCGGGAGCATGCGGTGGCATTTGGTGGCTCTCCAGCTAGCGTACTCTTCTACCACTACTGAGTCACGCCCATTTCGGACAGCTTTGGAGTTTCAGGAGACCTGGTCCAGCTCATGTGTAGATGAAGTCTAGGGACCTGCCTGCTTCATTCTACCTGGAACCACCATGGTGTCTGAAACTCTTCCTGCTCTGAGCCTCCCAAGGGCTCCATTCTTATGTCCATGTGTTGTCTCAAACCCAGGGAAGTTGAGTCGCCGCCATTCAAAGCCTTTAAATGCTTTCCCATCACTCTGAGACTCAAGACACTGCATGGATGGGCCCCTGCGCATCTCTGCAGCCTCATCTCCCTCCACCCAGCCCACCAGGCATCCTGAGCATCTCTCGCGTCCTTTGCACATGCTGTTCCCTCTTCTTCCAGGGCTCTTCCTCGCCCTCTTACCTGGGTCAGCTCCTCTTTATCCTCAGGTCTCAACTCAAGGTCACTTCCTCTGAGGCCCCATCCTGACTTCTCAGATCCCTCTCTTACGAGTTCTCACTGCTACTCAGACTTGTCCTTCAGACAACCTACTAGGAGTCTAATTATGATGGCTTGTGTGATTATTTAAATGACATGAGTCCCTCACTAGAATTCCAACTCCATGAGGGCAGGGACCTCATCTGTTTTGCTTCCTTTTGGATTCTCACTGTCTACTTGGCAGGTGGTAGGTGCTCCATGAATATTTGTCAAATTAACCCTACCAGACCGATTTTTCGGTAATTTCCACACAAAGGTGGAATATTGGCGCTAGATGAAAGGTAGACCTATTTTCTACAATGTCTCCAAGTTCCATCTTATTCTAACCACTTGTTTGCATGTAACTAACATTTTTCTATATCATGTTGGTTTTTTCTCTTTAATGCTCAGGAGCCCAGGTACAGGGGACAGTTAGGTTCAGGGCCTCAGGTCTGGTAGGATTAATGAGCAGCTCATCTAGATCCATTTGGATGGCAAGGTCAGACCAAGTTGAGAATCCACGTCCCACCTCCTCCAGAGGTCATCCATTGGTGCCCAGAGGAGGGGACATACCCTTTCTGGTGCCTCTGGGAGCATCCTTGGAAATGCGAGGTACCCACCAACTTTACTGAGTAACCAACAGCCCCCCTTCAGCACACAGCCTGGTGATGGATGTGTCTCCTGGATGTGAGGCACGAGGGGCAATTGCCAAGTTAATTGGGCATGTAAACACATGACTAGAGAGTGACAGGCACTTGTGATGTCCACCTAATTGGGCACTTAATATGGAGACATTGAGCAGGCAAACAAAACCAGCCTGCCCATGCAGACAGGCCTGCTCTTCGCCACTGAGAGTTTGGGTTGGCTCACTGAATATCATGGGAGGAGGGGGTAAAGGGTGACCCCCAGATCCTGGTTTGAGCAAGCCAGTGGAATGGTGGTGCCATTTTTGGAGAATAAGGAAATGTTTGCTTGGGACGGGGGTGGGAATAGAGAGCTGCCAAGATGATGGCCAGATGCATGCAAGAGTCTGAGATGCCTGTGAAGACATCCATGTGACAACGTCATGTAGACAAGTAGATGAACAGATCTGGAGTTCAGTAAGCAGTTTCCTAGCAGAGGGGACACGAGGTAGCAAGGACTAGTTAAGAGTCTTAATCTGAAGTCAGTAGACTAGATGGGCTTTGGGGGATATGGGAGGGGTTCTGTGATTTTCTGAAAATGCATCAGATTTCATGTGCTTGTTTCTTAGGTAGGTTCCAACAGTCTTCATCAGATACTTAAGAGCCCATGACTCAGAGAAGAATTAGACCCTCAGCCTGATACTGAGGGAGATGCAGGTGGTCCCTGGTCCTGTAAGGTCCTCAGTACCCTGTCTCTGCTTCCAGGCGCCTGGTGGACCGTCTGGAGAACATGAGAAAGAATGTGGCTGGGGATGGGGTGAACCGCTGCATCCTGTGTGGGGAACAGCTGGGGATGCTGGGCTCTGCCTGCGTAGTGTGCGAGGACTGTAAGAAGGTACCATCACCCTCCTCTTCTCTTCCCTGCATCCCTGTTCATTACATGCAGAGGGGCTAGGCCTGGGATCAAACCTTGGGGGACCCTGGGTCTTGGGAGTGGGGCTTGGATCCTGAAGGGTAGTTGCCAGAATATGATTCCTTCTGGGATGCTCTCACATCCAGCTGTCTCCCGAGGTAACCCTGATCCTGGTTCCTCCCCTGAAACTCACTGTGACCCTTCTGTCCCCTCGGAGCTCAGGTCCATCCAGGATGAACTTGGGAGCTTGAGGTAGGACATGAGCTAAGGTTGAGCCTGCAAGTATCCTGGTTGTGGCTTAGCAAGTTACATGTCAGGTTGAAGAGCATGATGGACTCAGGTCTACACACGTGCGTACGTGGAAGGCTAACCCAGCATTCTCTTAACCTGGTTATAGTACAAGTGACTGAGAAAGCCCCTCTCCAGCCCAGTTAGGACCACTGGGCTTCAAGAGCCTTTATTCTTGAAAGGGGGGATCCTCGTATTTCTCCACCCTGTACCCCCTCCTCAGTTGTCTGCACTTGACAATTCCAGGATACAGAAAGAACTGTCCTTGGGTCTGCCTGATTCTCAGGAAAGGGACTTAGGAGAATGAGCCACCTGGAAATACCCATAGAGTCACTTGGCATCTCCTGCTTGGGGTCCCATTTAGCGTTTAGATGGAATATTGAGGGAAGTGGATCTATTCCAAAAATGTTGTCTGCTGCAGTCAGCCAAGAGTGAGAATTCGGTGACCCATCAGTCTTTCCTATTTGCCTTGACTGCCAGGAAACAGCCAAAAATATAAATGTCCCATCACACAGTCGTGGCGTTTCCTCACATAACTTCCTTCTCCTTGAAGATTTGAAGCTGTAATTGTAGCCTAGGTTGTCTCAGATTCGCTTGGGAAAGGAGAAGAAATACATTAGTAAGCCATGTGGATACATGGCCTTTCCTCTTTGAAAATCCTCTCAGTCATCTCCCCTGTATGGATGCTGAAAACTCAGGCCCCACAGGGACTCCTGGAGAATTTCTTTATCCAGTGCTGGGGAATGACTCCAGTTCTTGGTATTGGAAATTAAGACTCAAGTTGGAACTTTATTCTAACTGGCCCTGGTCATGGACAGAAGGTGAGAGAAGGAAAGTTCTAGCTCTTTGCAGTGGGCTTCCATCGCCACCTCCCCTGATCATGAGCACCTGGCATATCTGAGTGTACACTGGCCTCTATTTTGTCCCCAGAATGTCTGCACCAAATGCGGGGTAGAGACCTCCAACAACCGCCCGCATCCTGTGTGGCTCTGCAAAATCTGCATTGAGCAGAGGGAGGTGAGTAGACGTGTCCTTTCTAGCTCCTAGAGCACCCTTCCTTTTTATTCAATTCCCCTTCCTCTCTAGAGCCAGGGAAACAGGGTGGCAGGTGGGGGCTGGAGAACCTCGGCAGGGATGTGTCTTAAGGGTTTGGTATAAAAGGAACCAGCTCAGCTGTGGACTCTGGCGAAACAGCCCCTGAGTGTTTGAGTGAATTTCTATTCCCTTCTAGTTCTGTGACTTTTCCTTTCCTAGTAATAAGGAGCAGCACACCACATTTAAGAGCTGGAAGACTTGGTGTCCAGTCTTTGCCCTTGCGCTCTCATGATGTACATGAGCTCATACCCTCATGATGTCCAACTTTCTCCATCAAGAAAATGGGTCTACTCAGGCCCCCTCTGTTGAGTGGTCAGGGATATTGTGGGAATTAAATAGAAATTGTGAAAGGTTGCATACTGGTGAGAAAAGTGTCCTGGCTCTTGTGTCCATGTGCTTAGGGAGGGGAGCAAAGTTAAAAATTGGCACTCATGAAGGCAGGAGCAATATACTTGGCTGCCATGTCATCATACTCTCCCTCTCCTCCCCAAGGTGTGGAAGCGTTCTGGAGCCTGGTTCTTCAAGGGCTTCCCCAAACAGGTCCTCCCACAGCCTATGCCCATAATGAAGACCAAGCCCAAGCAGCCTGTCAGTGAGCCCGCTGTCCCAGAGCAGCCTACCCCTGAACCCAAGCACACTGTCCAAGCTCCAACTCAAGGTAAGACAAAACAATTTATCCTTTCAGGACCAAGGACAGCTCTCGGCTAACTGGTCTACCTGGAGAATGTCCTGACATGTTTGTCCTTCTACCCAGCTGATGGACAGGCAGCCTCTGGGTTTGAGTCTGGGAATCCTATGTCTCCTTCACAGCTCACCATGAACCCTTATGAAGAAGATAGCACAGAGAACTCTTCAACAATGTCAGGCATTTTTGATGGAGTATTTAGAGCTACAGCAGAGGTGGAAATTAAAATTAGGAACAAAGAGAAATTCTCACAACCAAAGTACACACTGGAGCCTGGGGGCATTTGGGGCTTGCTGAGAAGGCCTTCCTCGCCCCTGATATTTCTTATATCCACCATCAGCAAATCTGAAATTGGACTAATTAAAACGGGAAGTTGAATAGAAAGGAAATTAGTGAAAGAAAATTACCACTACTATGGATACTATCACTATCACCCAAGTATTATTATTAATTACTAAAATGATGATTAAAAGAGAGAGGCAAAACAATACAAAGAAAAAAGGCAACCACAACAAAAACACATTAATTGGATGAGGCCACTGGGACTGATCAGAGAGAGCCCTTGCAATAATTCCAATTAACACTAAGTGATCATTTCGGGTCTGGATGACAGCTCTGCAGTTGCGTGCAAGCAGTGCTTCTGGAAGGAAGGTCTCAAAAATTGAAGTGCCTGAGTATGTCTCCTATAAGATAACTTCTTCATGTACCTGGGACTGTGTCTGGCACTCAAAAGGCATCAGCAAATACTTCCTGACAAAGGGAGCAATTTCTATCCCTTGCAGAGAATTACCAAATTGTCCATCTTCACTGCATCCTGAGGAGCCCCGGTTTCTACCAATAGAGCATCCTTCTTCCTGGTTAAGCACTTCCCCCTCTAGATCGAGAAGGTTGTAGAGCATAACTGTCAAGATCATGGACCTATGCCTGGCCGGTGTGGCTCAGTGGTTGAGTACCCATCTATGAACCATGAGATCATGGTTCGATTCCCAGTCAGGGCACATGCCCAAGTTGTGGGCTCGATCCCCAATAGGGGTGTGCAGTAGACAGCTGATCAATAATTTCCTCTCATCATTGATGTTTCTCTCTCTCTGTCCTTTCCTCTCTGAAATCAATAAAAATATTTTTAATTAAAAATTAAAAGATCTGGGCACCTGAGGGCAGGGGGACCAGAATCTGAATTCCAGCTCTGCCACTTACCAGCCCTGTGAGCTTGGGCAAGTGTCCCAACCTCTCTGTGATTTGTTCTTCATCCATGGGGTGGGGCAAAATAGGTTTACAGTTGTGAGTATGCGAAACGCAGTTTATTATTTTTACTGTTTTTCACATGAACAACTGCAGACTTACTTTTGCCCCATCCCATATAACATGGGGCTAATAACTCATTGGATTGAGTATTAAATAAAACACTACAGCCCTAACCAGTTTGGCTCAGTGGATAGAGCGTCGGCCTGCGGACTCAAGGGTCCCAGGTTCGATTCCGGTCAAGGGCATGTACCTTGGTTGCGGGCACATCCCCAGTAGGGAGTGTGCAGGAGGCGGCTGATTGATGTTTCTCTCTCATTGATGTTTCTGGCTCTCTATCCCTCTCCCTTCCTCTTTGTAAAAAATCAATAAAATATATTTTAAAAAATAAATAAAACACTACATGCCAAGTGCTTGGCAGAGTGCAGCACTGAGTAAATGCTGACTGATAACATATAATGTTCATCACCTGTGCACAGACACATACACAGACATGAACTAGATAAACTCTGGACAGCACAGACCACTCTGGAAATGCAGTGGATGTAACCCCATTCACTTCACTGGAGAGAAGTAACATCACCAGCATTGCATAGTGACGCTTAAAACGTTATTAGAATAACATCGGTGCTGGTGAATGTGTGGGGAGATGAATACTCTCTAAACTGTTGGTTTAGACTGTAAGTCACCTCCAGCCTTTTGGAATGTAATATGGCGGGCTTTATTAAAATGGGGAAATGTACTATTATATACCATTTGATCCAGCAATCCAAGTACCATATAAAAGATATAGATATATTTGTTGCATCATTGCTTACGACAGCAAAGCACTGGAAGAGGTTTGTTAATAGGGGAATTGTTGACTGGATCATGAAATATCCACACCACGCTCTAGTAGGGATTATTTAAAATGGAATGATGTCAGCGTCCTTTATGGATTTGGAATTATGTCCATATGTGCTTTCAGTATTCTCTTAACAAACATTCACTGGGCACTGAGGGAGTTCCAGACTCTATTCTAAGCCCTGGAGATAGAGTGTTGTTTGCAACAGACGAAGACCCGTGCCTTCACGCAGCTAAAATTCTAGTGGGGGAAACAGGTGCTCGACCAGCTGCCAATGCAAATGTAATATAGTATCGGGCAGTGATAGGTGCTGGGGATAGACACGGAGCAGGTAAAGGGGGCAGGCAGTGACAGGAGGCCCCATTCAGGATAGAATGGGCAGAGAAGGGCCATCAGAGGAGGATCTTTGGGGAGACACGTGACTGAAATGATAGGGAGGACCCAAAGAATCTTCGGGACTATGGTGTGCATGGGGCTTAAGGTTGGAATGTGCTTGGTGAGTCCTGGGAAAATTGGATTAAGCAAGCAAAGCCCACCTAGAAGAGGATGTAGCCAGTGGCCCCAGCTCAGCCTGTGTTCAGCCTGTGTGTGTTCACATGCTTGTGCAGGCAAAGGAAACATGTGAGATTATAAACGAAAGCTGCGTCCAAGGGCAGGGCAGGAGGGGAGAGTTTTGATTTTGAAGAGCACTTGGGAGTGGAGGGTGGGCCCCTTTGTGGAGCTGTTTAAGCAGTGGCCCTCCTGCACCATAAAAACCAGTTCTCCCATCACTGTTCTCCCTCTCCAGGTGACGCCGAAGACAGGAGGGGCCCAGGTCAGAAGCCAGGCCCTGAGCTGGCCTCTGCGCCTGGCCGAGGAAGCTACGGGCCTCCTGTGCGCAGGGCCTCAGAGGCACGAATGAGCTCAGCCAGCCGGGACTCAGAGGGCTGGGGCCATGGCCATGGCGGGGCAGCCGGTGACTCCAGCCGGAGCCCAGCAGGTGAGAGAGAGGGGCAAATCCGGGCAGGCTTCCTGGATGAGGAGAATCAGAAAGAATGGGGAGGGGAGTGTTTTTATTCATGTATCCATTCAGTGCTTATTGAGCACCTACTGTGTGCCGTGTTCAATGCCAGATGCTGGTTCTAGCCTATGGTAGAGGAAAGCTAGGACTCAGAAACAATTCTGACTCCAGACATCCAAAAGTTTTGCTTGTATCCTTTTCTTGCTCTAATGCCTGCATTTCTTTGTAGCGAGGTCATGAGACTGGCTCTGATTAGATGGGCTGAATATTAGTTCCCTCGCAGCCCTCTGGCCTTCTCTTTCTGATCAGGGGGTTTGTGGCATAGCACCTTGATTCCTCTTGGCAGGAGAGCTGGGGAGCAGTATCTGATGGTCTCAAGCAGACTGGAGACCGACTACCTGAGTTCTAACCCTGACTCTGCCACAAACCCAGCCAACAGACATTGGATGAACTCCTTAACCTTGCTAGGCCTCAGTTTCCCCATTTATAAAATGGGGTATAGAGATTAAATAAGCTTCTTATATGTAAAGTCCCTGGCACATGGTAAGCATTAAATAAATGTTAACTCGTCCTTATCCAGTAGCTCCTGAAGTTCAGAGAGGGGGAGTGACCAGCCCAGAGTCACACAGCTTATAAAAAAGAATGCTCCGATGCAAAGTTAGGTCGATGTGAAGATATAGACCAGATTCTTGCAAGAATAATACACTAATATCAACATCTGCCAGGTGCTGAGTGTTTACTACATGTTCTGAGCACTTTGCATGCATTGTATCATCGCATCTCCACCACATGCTATGCGGTAGGTACTATCACCCCCATTTAACAGACGAGGAGACTGAGGCCCAGGGAGGAGAGGTCATTTGTGCAAGGTCATACAAGTGGGAGCGCTATCACACAACTTGTGCTTTTTCAACACCCAGGTGACTTGCCCGGGGGGGTCTGAATATTGGAAAGAGCAAACCCACTAAGAGGCAGAGAGGGTCTGAAGGAGCTGAGGAATGTTGGGGGGCTGCGTTCAAATCCAGAAGGCCTTGCTTTAGGCTGGCTGCCCAGTCCCGGCTTCTTTCTGCTTCCACTGTGTGTGCGTGCAACATGACGGGCTGTTTCCCTTCCTTCCTCCTACAGGCTTGAGACGGGCCAACTCAGTGCAGGCCTCCAGACCCGCCCCAGCCTCGACGCCGAGCCAGGCACCGCCTCAGCCTGGGCAGCCAGGTACTTGCCGCCCGCCCAGCCACCCCAGCTGCCCTGTCAGTCAGCGGCGACCCCAATTCCTCCATCCTTGCTGGCAGAGCTCCGGCTCTCTGCAAAGCTGCATCCACCGCCGAATCCTAAGCTCTTCTAAGACCCTTAGACTGAGTGATCCCCGGGCTGGGGAGCCGGGCGGGGCGCAAGCCAGCATCCTATCCAGCTGAATGCAAGAAGGGACAGCACCTCACTCCTCAGCATCGCCCCCCTTCAGCCATGGGCACTCCACTGGCAGCTTTTACCACACGCACCTACCACCTACCCTCTTACTTTCTCGATCTTTCCTCAAATGGACTCGCTTTGCAAGCACGGCTGAGGGCTTGCTATCACAAACTCTCTCGAGGGGGATTTAAGGCCACTGGGCTGTCATAAAATGGCACATGTTCCCAGAAGGATTGTGGGAGATTCAGGAAGAAATGGTGAGCAGGGAGATTAGTGACGTGGGGAAATCTGAACACAGGTGGCTCGTGAAAGACAAAGGGAATGATGTCTAATTGGTGCTGTGTGGGTTTTGTTATTTTAAAAGAACCCTATGATAGTGGCATCAATGGCAAACCAGTGCTCCGTACTATAGAGAGAGAGTGTGCGGGCACCACCAACTGGGTGGTGTAAATTAGCAGAGACGGGTGGTCTCCCAGTTCCGGGGGCCAGCGGTCTGAGGTCAAGGTGTCAGGCAGGTGAGCTCCTGAGGCTGTGAGGGAGGTTCTGTTTCATTCCTCTTAGCTCGTGGGGCCTCAGGCATTCCTCAGCTCCTAAATGACATCCTCCCTGTGTCTCCCATCATCTTTCTTCTAAGGATGTCTCTCTCTCTCTGTCCAAACTTCTCTTTTATACAGATATTGATTTCAGAGAGGAAGTGAGAGGGAGAGAGAGAGGAACATGAGTGAGAGAACCATGGACCGGCTGCCTCCTGCACGCCCCCCACTGGAAATAGAGCCCATAACCATGGCATGTGCCCTGACGGGGAATCGAGCTGTGACCTCCTGGTTCATGGTGGATGCTCACCCACCGGAGCCACACCGGCTGGGCCAAACTTCTCCTTTTGAAAAGGACACAGCCGTATAGATTAAGGCCTGCCCCCGTGACCTCATCTGAACCTGACCATCTTCAAAGACCCTCTTCCACCCGAGGTCACACTCACAGGTGCCGGGGGTCAGGACTTGAAGATCTTTTAGGGAACACAGTTCAACCCACGGCAGAGGGTCATGACCTAAATGAATGTAATGAAAATTAAACAAGGCAAGGAAATTCTCGTTCCTCTGGCCTGAGGAGGTTCTGAGCCTGGGGCCTGTTCGCTTTTGTTCAAAGAGGAGTTAAAGAAGAGTCACACTCAAATGAGACTTCCTCCGGGGGGTCATACTGAAAGGCCAGGGAAGCCTGGGGGCTCCGGGTGGTGTTGACGGGTATTCCATACCCCACCCCTGAAGTTGTGAAGAATCCACTGATCCCACAGCATTGATGGATCCAGAGTGTAAACTTGCCCATCACCTCGGGCACAGTTCTCTATTCACTGATCAGCCTCATAGCCGGTGAAACGTGAAGAGCCGACATTCTTATCCCATTTCAGAGAGGAGAAAGCTGAGGCTTGGGAAGGACACATTGGGGCTTGAACCCAGGCCTTCCTGGCCCCAGAATCCTCCGTGGGGCTGTTCCTGCAGCCCCAGGTACCTCTGCACATCGCCTGTGACCCCTGGGCCTGTGTCCCTGCCCAGGAAATGAAGGGGACACGGGGTGGACGCTGAAATGATGCCACCTTCTCTGCTCCATCTCTCCTCTCTCCTCTCCACTCAGGGCCCCCAGGAGGCGGCAGACCCAGCGCTGGGCCAGCAGGACGCTCTTCGGACCAGAGACCAGGCAAGTGCTCGCTGCTCCCACGCCTGCTCGAGAGACCGCCTCTCTCCCACTTCTCCATGAGAGAGCAGGGGGCTGCCTGATCGTGGCCCAGCCTACACCCCGAGACCTCCCTGAGGAGCTCTAAGGCTCCCCACCCTGATTCCCAAACTCTAGAAAATGACCACACGTCGAGTGACTAAGAGCACACCTGCCTGGACTCAATCCCTGCTCCTTCACGTCCCAGCTGTGTGGCCCTGGGCAAGTTCCTTAGCTTCCCTGAGCCTCCGTTTCCTTATTTCTAACATGGGAATAATACTAGGACCTACTTCAGTGACGGGTGAGGATTAAACGGACTAATACATATAAAACCGTAGCACGTGTCCAGGAATGTTTAAGACCACGTTAAGTGACAGTGACTATTACATGTGACATACATGCCTGGTCATCCTCACACGCATCACTGTGGCTACACCGTAGTCCTTGCTTTCTGATGCACCAGGCACAATTTTGTATACGTATTCAATAATTTTTAAAATGATAGCTACTGCCCTAACCGGTTTGGCTCAGTGGATAGAGCGTCGGCCTGCAGACTGAAGGGTCCCAGGTTCGATTCCGATCAAGGGCATGTACCTTGGTTGCGGGCACATCCCCAGTAGGGGGTGTGCAGGAGACAGCGGATCGATGTTTCTCTCTCATCGATGTTTCTAACTCTCTCTCCCTCTCCCTTCCTCTCTGTCAAAAATCAATAAAATATATTTTTAAAAAAATAATAGCTACTATGATTTGAGTGACTTCAGGTATTATAATTCCCATTTTACAGATGAGAAAGCTGAGGCTCAGAGACATTCAGTAATTTGCCCTATACCACACAGCAGAGGTGCAGACCCAGGCTACCCTGGCTCCAGAGCCCACACAAGTGGTCAGTACCCCTTTGAGGTCTGTTTTGCCTGCATCTGATTAAGCTCATGGGACTTGTTATAAAACATGGACTTCAAGGCCCCACTGCACGGGCTACTGATTCTGCGTGGGGCCCGTGAATCTGTATTTTGCAAGCTCCCCTCGGTGGTTTTGACAAAGACAACATTCTGAGAACCAACGAACGGCCCAATGTGGTCACCCCGTCAGCGGGAGGCCATAATTCTCTGTTGCAGGGCTGTGGGTGAGGCTGGTGCACCTGGTATACAGTAGGTGCTCATCCCTCGTGGTCATGCTGGAGCAGTTGTTGCTGCTGTCATTGTAACACAGGGACTCAGCTGCCTCTTTCCTGCCCTCTCTCCATCTCCCCTGCAGACGTGGCCCCCGGTGACCTCTGCTACCCAGGGGCCTCCATCCCACCCTGGGAGGAGCGACTAGGAGTCGGAGCCAGGGAGGACCGAGCGGGCCACGCCCCAGGCCCTTACTCCCAAGTGTCTGCTGCTGCCCCCCAGCCTGTCGCCACCCCTGCCCGCCAGCCCCCACCCCCCGAGGAGGACGAGGAGGAAGCCAACAGCTACGATTCGGATGAAGGGAGTATGTGGCACTGAGGGCAGGGGTGTCTGGGAAAAGCCCCTTCAGGGTCACCCCCCAGGGAAACGGAGGGCCCCAGGGAGGGCCCTCTACACCCTCCCAGCTCCACAATATGCCAACCATGACAAATGCATTAACCAAGTCATAAAATTACAAGTTTGTGTTACCGTATTCACAACACAACATCAACTTACTAAAAAATAGTAACATCCTATTTTTTTATTGGGGTAAAATACCTGTATCATCAAAGTCACCGTGTAACGCATTCTAAAGAGTGCAAATCGGCGATCTTCGCTTTGTCCAGTTTGGTGGCTCCTCACCAAGTAGATCGTGGAATTATCACGTGACCAGCATCCACTCCTAGGTATACCTACGTGTTTATCAGTTCCAAAACTCTCTACTGTGTGTCTTCAAAGAGCAATTTTTTAAGCCACTTAAACATTTCTGGATGTTTCTTTTTGCATCCATGCAATCAGGGGTGTATGAAGTGCCTGCTTTATGCCCCTCCCACTGAGACCCAAGTCCTAGGGACACACACACACACACACACACACACACACACACACATGTCCCAAGAGCTTGCGGTCAGGCGGAGAGATTGGACCTGCTTAGATGAAATGGACCGCGGGCTGTGGGAGGTGGCATGGCTTTGGTCCACGATGTCACCCCTTCTCGTTGTAAAATGGGAAGCAGAATACTGCCTCCTGGGCGGGACCGAGGAGGGTAAACTGAGGCACCCCCTGGGAAAGTGCTCTGTAAACTGGAAATCATTATCATTTTAGTGCTAAGCACACACGAGGAACGGGTATCACGTAATATGCACACTTTTCTAAGTGTGTTCTGGGCACGTGCTCATGAGATCTGCCCACGGGGCCTGGGAAGAGTTGTTTTTGCTGCTCCTGATTCCCAGGTAGGGAGACGGAGGCTCCGGGGGTTCAGGGACTTGGCCAAGCTCTCGTGGCCAGTGAGTGGAGGGGCTGCCGCACATCAGAGGCCAGAGCTGGTGAAGGGCCAGCTGTCCCCTCCCCATCCCGTGCTCTCCCGCAGGCCTTGGGGACGGAGCCTTCCCCTCTGTAGGCTCGATGCTTAGCCCAGACAGGGCACAAATCAGCGCTCAGGCAATGTTTGTTGAATGACTGAGTGAATGTTCTCTTGGCTCCTGCCTCTGCCCCCTCCAGCCACCCTGGGTGCCCTGGAGTTCAGCCTTCTCTACGACCAGGAGAACAGCTCCCTGCACTGCACCATCATCAAGGCCAAGGTGGGTGAGGGGCCAAGGGGGGGGACCACACGGGCTGCTCTGGCTTCTCCTGGGACTTGGGGAGGACACGGGTCACCAGGCTCCTCTCTGTTGCCCTGCCTACCTGTGGCAGTGACAGTGGTGAGAAAAAGGCAGAAATTAGCCACAGCCCATATTGTGGGGGAGAGCTTCCCCCGGAGATGGTCCCAGGGGGTCATTTCACCACAGCCGCCTCCCAGGAGCAGAGGCAGTTGGGCTACAAGGGCAGAGCCCAGCTCCCTGGAGGGGACGAGTGACAGTCCAGCCTTGATGGAGCATCTCCATGTGCCAGGCACTTGACAGGTGAAATCGTGTGTATGTCTCCCCCCTCCACGAAGCAGGGTTGTCCGCATCCCATTTGACCTGCGAGGAAAACGAGGCTCAGACAGGTTAAGAAACTTGCCTGAGGACACACAGCCAGGAAGTGACATGGCCGGGCTTTCAAGCCCATCTGCCTGATTCCAGGGCTCTTTTCCTTCTCTCTCTCTTCGGAAGAGGAACCACATGGGATGAACTGACGGGCGGGACAGAGGCCAGGGGCTGCGCCCAGGGCTGCAGCAGCGGAGTGGCCAGCCCTCCCAAGGCCCTCGCACCACTGCCTTTTTTCTTGCAGGGACTGAAGCCCATGGACTCCAACGGCCTGGCCGATCCTTATGTTAAGCTGCACCTCCTGCCGGGAGCCAGCAAGGTACCATATGGCCTGGGCCTCTCGGCGAGCCAGGAACATAGGCCCTGGCAGGCACCCAAGGTTCCCAGCCCAGAGCCTAAAATAGCCCAGCTGCCCCCAACCCCCTCCTCCCAGAGTGGCCAAGTCCTCGCCAGGGGTGAGAGGTGGGCCAGGAGTCACTCTCCCTCAAGGGGCAGGGGCTCTGCCCATCTCTCCAGCCCAGAAACCTGAAATCCAGGAGCTTCCAAAGGCCAGGGGAGAAGCAGATGCCCCATGATGCCCTCACCTGCTCACATACCTTCCATTGCTCCCCAGTGCTGACCATGGTCCCCTTCCCCCTCCCATTTTGTGCCCCAACCAAACACTCCTCATCTCTCAGTGGAAAGGAATCTCTCTCTTTGGATCTCAGGGCTGAGCACCTGAGATAATGTGCTGTCCTGAGAGAAATGTGCCCCCTCCCACCTTGCCGCTCCCTGGTCATCGCTTTGCTCTGCGGAGGAGACATGGGGTTCAACCCACTCAGATGGGCTTACTTTGTCCATTTGATGTGGATGCGCCAAATACAAGGGTGACCGTGCACTTGGTTGCATGATCTCGGCAAACTGCATGTTAAAAATCTCTGCTGCAAGTATTGAATGCCCCTTAAGACAAAAGAGGACACACGCACATGCACACACACACGCACACGCACACACACATACGTACATGAACATACACACACACACGCACACACACACACACACACACAATCTTTTCCTTTGTTTAGATCAAGGAACAACGGTCTCTCATCTGGCCATGGCCAGGCTGTGAAGTGTTTGGCCACTTCTTCTAACTCCCCAGCGACATTTGTTTCTCCTGAGGCTCTCTCCTTCGCTCACTCCTAAATCCAAACTTGCTTTGCCAAGGAATCCAGTGAGTCATGTTAGTCTGCATTAGATTTCTCACCAGGCCCCTCTTCTGAGTTTAATACATCTCTAGCCTCTCTCTTAGAGTGAAAAACTTTGTCCTCCCCCCCCCGCCCCGCCCCCGGCCCCCTAACAAATTTCAGGCATGAAGGATGCTATTTGGGGAAACTACAGAACCCTCCCAGGATCCCCAGAAATCTTCCTTCGCTGCCTAGGAGTGGGTGACTCCTATTTCTGCCTCCCTGACCGATAAATGATTTTTTCCTCAAAGGAAAATGTCTCAGTTTTTCTTTCTTCCTTCCTTCCTTCCTTCCTTCCTTCCTTCCTTCCTTCCTTCCTTCCTTTCTTTCTTTCTTTCTTCTTTCTTTCTTTATTATTTTGTTAATCCTCACCTGAGGATATTTTTCCATTAATTTTTAGAGAGAGTGGGAGAGAGAGGGAAAGACAGAGAGAAATATTGATGTGAGAGAAACACATCAATTGGTTGCCTCCTGCACGAGCCCTGACTAGGGCCCAGGCCGGGGAGGAGCCTGCAACCGAGGTACGTGCCCTTGACCGGAATCGAACCCAGGACCCTTTGATCTGCAGACTGACACTCTGTCCACTGAGCCAAGCCGGCTAGGGCTCACTCTTTCTTTTTTAATCCTCACCTAGGATATATTTTTTCCATTGCTTTTTCAGAGAGAGAGAGTCAAAGGGAAGGAGGGAGGGAGAGAGGGAGAGAGGGAGGGAAAGAAAGAGAGAGGAAGGGAGGGAGAGGGAGAGCGAGGGAGAGAGAAACATCAATGTGAGAGAGAGACATCAATTGGTTGCATGTGCCCGATTGGGGGCGGGGAGAGAACCCACAATCGAGGTACATGCCCTTGGCTGATATCAAACCTACTGACACTCTAACCACTGAACAACACTGGCCATGGCACTGCTTTTTAATCTTAATGGAAAGTTCGAGGAGAGAGCCTACTGCGTGGAGGGAGGGGCGGCTCAGCGTCCAGCCCTGTTGATGGCTGCAGACATCAGCCTGAAGATGCCCCCCACGCCCTGAGCCGTGCATTTGGGAGCCCCTGAGCCCCTGTACGCTCCTAAAGGGAGCGTCTCCTACATTACTCCTCCACCCCGCCCCCCAAATCAGCCCAAAGGGTGTGGCTGCGGGGCTGGCTCCCCACTGAGGCTGGTGTCTGTCTGTCCGTCTCTGGGCTCTAGTCCAACAAGCTTCGGACAAAAACCCTGCGGAACACCCGGAACCCCATCTGGAACGAGACCCTCGTCTATCACGGCATCACGGACGAGGACATGCAGCGAAAGACGCTCAGGTACCTGCCGGGTGGGTGGATTGCGGTCCTTGTGGGGCCACGTGTTAAAACCTCTCTGCGTAGTGTCTTTCTTTCTTTTTTTACTTCTACAAAACAACATGTATTTCTGGTAGAAACTTCTAACAATACAGATAAGTGAAACTCTTCGCATCTTGGTGTCTGGGCACCTGGGGAGTGTGTGTGTGTGTGTGTGTGTGTGTGTGTGTGTGTGTGTGTGCATGTGTGCATGCAAAAGTTTCTTACGAAACTGAGTGCTTTAAAAAACAGACCGTCATGCCCAGCCGGTGTAGCTCAGCAACTGAGCATCGACCCAGGAACCAAGAAGTGGCCGGTTTGATTTCCAGTCGGGGCACCTGCCCGGGTTGTGGGCTCCATCCCCAGTCGGGGGTGTGCAGGAGGCAGCTGACCATGAGTCTCTCTCATTAATGTGTCTACTTCTCTCTCCCTCTCCCGTTCTCTCTAAAAAAATCAGTGAAACCATACTTTTAAAAATGGACCGTCCTATTAATCAGGCTGTTTTAACCATATGTTGAGGCATCTTTTCTTCTACAATGTTGTCTGACACTGCGTTTTAAGTTATATCAGTGACACGGGAATACATTCTTCTTGTAAAATATGACAGAGGAAGTAACCCCGTTTACGTTCGTCCCCGCCCACCGCCGGGGTCCGCTTCCTCCTCCCGTGACCCTGGGCACTCAGACCAGTGTTGGCAACTTGAACAGTTTCATGCTGTGTATCTGGAACCTTCCTTTTTTCTTAACGAAGTGTCTTAGAGTCATAGCCATGAGGGACATTTAGATCTACGTCATTTTAACTGCTTCAGGGTTTTCCACAGAATAGGTTGATTACAGATTTTTAAAAAAATACTTTCATTCATAAATATTACAAATATACAGAAAACTGTAGATTATAATAGAACAAACTTCCATGAAGACAGTACTCAGTCTTTTTAAAAAAATCTTCACCCAAGGATATGTTCTTATTGATGAGAGAGAGAGTTGGGGGGGGGGGGGGAGAGAAACACTGATCAGTTGCCTACCATATAGGCCCCAACCAGGGATCAAACCCACAACCCTTTGGTGTACAGGATGACGCTCCAACCAACTGAGCCACCTGGCCAGGGCCTAGTACTCAGTCTTTAACACACACCTGGCCTCGTGCTCAATAAATAGGCAGTTAAAGTGCCACTATGCACATTACACATTCTTTGCCAGCATCCATCGCAGCTCTCGGAACAGAGTGAGAGCTCACTATTTGCTCTCTTTTCTCTCCCCACCCTCTTGGGGGATCACAGGATCTCTGTCTGTGACGAGGACAAATTTGGCCACAACGAGTTTATCGGTGAGACCCGATTCTCACTCAAGAAGCTAAAGTCCAACCAAAGAAAGAACTTCAACATCTGCCTAGAGCGCGTGATCCCGGTGAGTGCCTCCCCCTGAGGGTGTGACGGGGGGCGCGGGGGGGAGGAGTTCTGGGGGTGCTGCCTTCCTCTGGGCCCGCAGGGTGCCACACAGTACAGCTGCTGAGAGGGGGTGAAGATTTCAGGTCAGAGCCTCAGGGTGGGGCCCTGGCTCTGCCTCGTACCAGCCCGGCGTTAGCGTCAGTTCTCCGACCGGCAGAGTCCTCTTTGGTGGCACTGGGGCGGGCAGAGTGCTGAGGCAGTGGGGCCGGCCTGGGTTCAAAGCCCGGGTCCGCTACACTCCCTGCTCCCTGGCCTCGCTGAGGGTCTGAGTCGCTCTGAGCCTCAGCTTTTCTCGTCTGTCAGTGGGCATGATGACAGTGCCTGCCTCGTGGGAGGTTTGTGTGAAAGACACAATCAGAACAGAACCTAGTCCATAGTGAGCACTCATGCATGGTCAACTGTTGTTCTTACAGGAGTCCTACTGCCGACCCACCTGTCACTCATGAGGGCATAGCTCCCCATGCAGATGAGCAGGGGGCAGGACAGCTCAGTGTTGAGAGCACAGACTCTGGGCCCAGAGTCCCTGGGTTGGAATCCTGGCTCTGCCACTTTCATAGAACCTGGGCCCTTTTTTTCATCTGTAAAACGGGATGTTATTAGAGTATCTATCTCCTCGGGGCGTTTAAGGATTCCCGTGAGAGTTCTTCTAAAGCATGAGGACTTGCTTGTTAGATGCGCTTCTGGCCTCTTGAGAAAGAACAAAAACCAACTTGAGGTTCTCCAGTGGGGCTACGGCTCAGAACCAACTGGAGATTTAAAAACCAGAGCCTCACCAGCTAAGATCCCGACTTCGAGAGGCAGGGTGGGACCAGCCATCTGCACTTTCAGACATAATCCAACCTGCCCTTTTCGACGCTCGGGCCACCTCAGGCCCAGGGAGGGGAGTGAGCTGCCACGGTCACACCGTGAATCCGTGGCTATGTTCCCCACCAGCCGGAACCCAGGTCTCCTGCAGCCGCCAGCTCCCAGGCAGAGGGCCAGCTGCCCGCAGGGGGGTGGGGCGGGGGGGGAAGCCATGGCAGGCGGAGGGGGATCCTATAGCGACCTCCCACCAGATGGCTGGCCCGAGGATGGACTATCTGGGTGCCACGCCGTGTTTGTGTGGCGCAGGCGAAGGAACAAGACACAACAAGGAAAACCACAAGGAAGAATGTGCACCGAATGCCAGGCTCCAAATAAAACTCAGAAGACAGCCCGGGAGGGGAGCGTTTCCTCTGGGCCCTGCCCAGGAACAGCGGGCTCTTCGGGCTTCCGCTTCCTTCCTGCACTCAATGAGTCCAGGTGGCCAGGACAGTGGCCAGGCTGCCGCCTGAGTCGCCAGCTCTTGGGTCTGCCCGTCTTGCTGTGAGGGGGACAGCTGGCCCTAGTGGCTGGACCGACAGAGGCCGCAGTGGCCCCAGACCTCCGCTGGTCATCATCATTCGCTCTGTGCCCTTGGTTCTCCCACCACCAACTTTCCTCGTAGCCCCACCAAGGGCAGGGGCCACATCAGTGCTGTTCCTTCCTCCCCCCTGGGCCTCAGTTTTCCTCATCTCTAAAGTGGGGAGGTTGTCTTTAACCAGCTGTTTTCACACTGTGTTCCCTAGAGCCTTAGAGTCCCCCAAAAGGACCTTAGGAGCCCCAGGGGAAGAAGCACCTGGTGGCCCGACCCCAAGACCCCTGTGCCACCACCACCAGAGCAGATCAAATCCTGCCGGTTTTATGCCTGGGGCGCTCTGCCACTTCTTGGCTGGGTGACCTTGTGCAAGTGGCTTAACCACTCTGACCTTCAGTGTCCTCATCTGTAAAATGGGGCTATGAATAACCTGCATCGCAGGCACTAACACCGTCTGCCAGTGGTTCGTGTTATGCAGCTTTTAGCTAAAAGGGGGAAAGCTGGATGCCGCAGAAGCTCGGAAATCCTGTCCTCGTGGCTCCGGGTGCTAATGGAGGGGGAGGAGCATCCGGTCCTTTCTGCGTAGGGAGATGAGCCCCATGGACGATGTCCTATTTCCTTTCTGTTTCCTTCTCAGATGAAGCGTGCGGGGACCACCGGCTCCGCCCGAGGCATGGCCCTCTATGAGGAGGAGGTGAGCACTGAGTGGACGTTGAAGCCCCAATCGGGGGCTGTCCCCTCCCTCTTCTTTCCCTCCCCGGCCCCACCCCTGCTCTTTCTCCCAAACCCCCCTGCCCGTTGGTTCAGGTGAGAACTGCCTTGCCCATGGTGTTAGGACATGAGTCCAGGTGGATGCTCTTCACACCTGGAGCCCGAGGCCGGGGAAGCCCCATCCTCTCCCACCAGGGACACCTTGAGTTCCTCGGCCTCTTTGGCAAAGGCCCTGCGGTGCTCCTGCAGGACGGGAGCGATGCCACCTCCCTCCGTGGGGACGGACCGGAGGCTCTTTGAGCTCTGGGTGCCCGTGCCCTCAGGCTAGGTCTCTGTGCAACCCCAGGGACCACATTTGTGAGAAAACGGGTTCTATCAGGGATCAGGCAAGGCCAGGGTCAAGGCTCAGTCCTGGGTCAGAGTCGGGGCGGTCACTGACCAGGATCAAAGTCTACCCATGACACGGGTTTAGCTCGGTTGAAGTAAAACCACTGACCTGTGCCCAGACCAGTCCCCTTGGCCTTCAGCATCCGCCCCTCCCTGGAGGCGGGGCTCCGCTGTCCATGGTGCTGACGGCACTAGCCCTGGCCCAGCTCCTCCCACCTCCCCGGGCCCTGCCCTAATGCTCCCATCCAGGTGCCTGGCCCGCTCCCCTCAGGGCTCAGGCGCCCTCTTCTCCTGTTGCAGCAGGTGGAGCGCATTGGCGACATAGAGGAGCGCGGCAAGATCCTGGTGTCCCTCATGTACAGCACACAGCAGGGGGGCCTCATCGTGGGCATCATACGTTGCGTGCACCTGGCCGCCATGGACGCCAATGGCTACTCAGACCCATTCGTCAAGCTGTGAGTCAATGCCTTGGGACTGTGAGTGGGCCCCGGAGGGGGCTCTAGATCCTTGCAAATGGGGAGCCAGAGAGCTTCCCCAAGACCATTGTACGCTGAGGCCCAGAGAGGGAAACGAACCTGCCCAAGGCCACACAGTGAGACCAATGGCCGGAACTGGCTAAGGTGTGAGGCTGGAGTCCCACACAGTCACACTGGGATGTCACTCGCCCATATGAGAAGTCTGTGACTCTGTCCCCTCCTGTGGCAAGTCACAGTCACCCCATTTGTAGCCCCCCAGAACTAGCAACACACACCTCCAGCCCCAGGATCAGATAAGCAATCTGGCCTTTTCCAGATTCGGTCTGGAAATGCTCAAATAAAAGACCTTAGACTTTGGGGTGAGTCCCGTGATCTCACTCGTGGGGGGAAAAGCGACGTTGTCATCTGTTAGTCAGGGTCCTCTGAGAAAATGCCACAGTGGGATTACACAGACGAGGCTTTCATGAGAGGGAATGCTGTGTGCGGGGAGGCAGGGAGAGTTGGGGAACATGCAGAGCTGTTAGGCAGCCCCGAGTCTGACCCTAGTGAGGAGGGGTGAGCGGAAGCTTCCTAGACACAAGTCCAGCAAGGCCGTCGGGGAGTCCTTAGGCCCCATGTCACCTAAGAGTGGGCCTGCCATAGTGCCCCCACCACATCCTGTTGTCAGCTGGGGGCATGGCCTTGGCACAAACATGGCATGGGTTTCCAAGCACCGCAGCTGGGGCCTGGGTGGGTTATGCCCCTTGTAGATGGAGGTTCACCAGGCACATTCTCATAGCTGCCCTTGAATCAGACATGGGGTTCAAACCTCCCCCCCTACCCAGCCCATCTCTGGAAGCTGCTAGCTGTGTGACTATAAGCAAGTTACTTAACCTCTCTGAGCCTCAGATTCTTCATTGGTAAGATGGAGACAATAGTTCCAGTTATTTCCAAGAATGAACATAAGGCCAAATGAGACATCATAGATAAAGCAATTAGAATTGTGCCTGGTACAGAACTGTACCATGATTCTGCCTTGTCTCATGGAGGCAAAGTGCGTATCTGCATGGATGTGGTTGAGAGCCTGGGCTCTGGATCTCGACTGCCTGAGTTGGAATCCCAGGTCCAATAGTCTTCAATGGTCTCTAACTGTGTGACCGCGGGCTCATGCCTTGACATCTCTGGGCCTCAGTGTTCTCATCTGTAAAATGGGAAGGATAAGAGTGTGCATTAGGTCCTATTTTCCTAGAAGCAGGAGCCAAGATAGGATGAAATGTGCATGAGACTTGTTGGGGAGAACGCGTGTGAAAGGAAATTGAGAGGGAGCTGGAGGGGGGCTGTGGAGACAACAGGCCTGGGTACAGTGTGCTCCCTTTGGGGGGAGAGCGGGGGGGGGGGGCGGGGGAGTCAGGAAGAGTCTTAGACTGCAGGGCCGTCTGAGGAAGTTTCAACCAGGTGAAGAGGAATCCAGAAGCACGAAGTCGCCCTCCAAAGGAACCCTGCATCTCTCAGAAACAGGGCTGCCTCGCGTCCCTGCCGGCTCAGGCTGTGGCTGAGAGCAGCCACGGGAAGCATGGCCACGTGAGAACAGAGTGGGGAATCAGCGCCCAGCAGCTTGTCAGGCAGTTCCGCCCCTGCAGCTGGAGACCCACGAGGTGCATTTAGGTGGGGTCTGGTGTATAGTAAGTGCTAAACAAAGGCCTGTCGTTGTGGTTCTAAACAACGACCATCGTTATTCTTACTCAAGGCAACGAATATTTATTAACGTTCTCTCCAGCCTGGGAGGCGCTCTGACCCCACGGCCTCCGAGCGCAGAAAGGAGCACTTCCCTTAAGCCCTCGGTGGAAAACCAGGCCAGCATGGGCTTTACTTCAGATTTCCTTCGAATGAGGATTTAGTTAACAAAAGAACACACGGGTCAGGAGTGAATTTGATCTCCAGGAGTAATTTGGCTTTATTTTCTCGTATGGTCCGGTAAAGTTAACTCACGGGCTGCTGCCCTGCTCTCCATTAAATCCCAGCCACGTGCAAGTTGGTTTTCTTAAATCATTCTCCCCACCGGCCCTTCTCCCACCCACCCAATCCCGCCCGAAGGGGTCGGGTCGCGGAGTCCCCAGTGAAGCAGCTGACCTGGCGGCTGTTGTGGAAAGGGAAACAGGGGACCGTGAATCCGTTTAGGATCAAATAAAGATTTCGAAAGTCAGAATCGCCCTTTATTTTTGTCCAGCATTTGGTACCTTTCGATTCCCCATCTGTTTCTCCTCTTGGAAAGTACCCTCAAAAACAGTTTGGTAAGGGAGAAAGAAATGTTCGCCCTCTCTAGTGGCTGGGAAACTGAGGCACGTTGAAGTTACGCTCAGGCTCAAAGTTGCACAGTTAGCGAGAAGTTGAATAAGAACCCAAATGTCATAACTCTTTGGAGTTTTTAAGCCCATTTTATTTATTCCTCCAGAAACTATTGATTGTGCACCTACTATGTGCCAGGCATTGTGTCACACTAGGGAAGAGCCTTCCAAACAGAGGAAACAGTATGTGCAAAGGTCCTGGGGTAGGAAGGAATGAGTGGGAAATGGGGCGAAGAGCATGGGTGAGATTTGGCTGGGCTAGAGCAGGGACCCAACCTCTCAGGCTCTGAAGGCCACATCAGAGATTTCAAACTTTACGCCAGGACAAAGGGAAGCCATTAAATAGTTTTGAGCAGAGGAGTGACAGTAATTAGATTTGCAGCTTCTCCCCTTTGTCTACACACATGGCGTCTCCCCTGGAGTTGGGGCCAACTTAGGGATAATCGATGGTAAAATGCCAGGCACAGCATCAGGGTCTCAATTTGATCCTTTGAGAGCAAGTCCTGGCTAAGAGCACAGACTCCAGATGCAATAGCTGGGCTCAGTCCCTGCTGTGTGACCTGAGGCAGCTGTCTCAACTTCTCTGAACCTTCAGTTTCCTTGTAGGTAAAATGGGTGGCTGTAGTTCTACTGTCCAGGGTTGGTTGAGGGATAAGTGCACCTCAGGTGCTTAGTGCAGTCAGCGCCTGAATCAAGTAGCTCTAATGCACACTGGACATCATTAATGTGGATTCGCTTTCTGGTCTGTTCGTCAGTTATTCCCCTAACACCAGAAGGAGCCTTTGGGGTCACCAAGGGGCTATTCTTATTCATTGAACTTCACTCATAACAGCCTCTCGTGTCTCCTCTCAGCTGGCTGAAACCAGACATGGGAAAGAAGGCCAAACATGAGATGCAAATTAAGAAGAAAACATTGAATCCTGATTTTAATGAGGTAAGGCTGCCCCAGTTTTTGTCATGCTGTGGAATCTTAACTGTGTGAGAATGGAACGAACGCCCTACTAGAATGCTATCAGGCACATCAAGAAAGTGCTTTCTCTCATAAATCAGCTTGAATTATCCCAAGGAGAGGTGATGAGTTTCTTGTCCCTGGAAGGAATCAAGCCTGAGACAAAAACCTATCGATTAGGCATGTCGTAGGCAGGAAGTTGAGTTAGAAGAGAGATCGAATGAAATCGCCTCCCATAACTTCACCAGTTCTAACAGGCTGCAATACTGAAATCTGAGGAGATACGTTAGAACAGTGACGCCCTTTACCATCCACCCAGCCGGCGATGCCCTCTCCCTCCCTCCCCACATCCATCCGGTACATCAAGCTAGTTTAGATACTCAGTGAATGGCTCCTTCCTCCGTGTGCTCACTGCTGCTGCCTTGCCTGCGACCCTGGCATGTCACGCTTGGACCCTTGCAGTAGACTCCTGCGTCACCTCCACATAAGCACTGAGCTTTGTAAAACGCGCATCTGAATGTGTCACCCCCTTGCTTGCAGTAAATAACCCAACAATGACTCCCTAACTTCTTAGCACGACAGTCAAGCCCTTTCAAACTCACAGCCCACCCCTGCCCCGTCACACAACCCCCCTCCCCACGTCACACTAAATTCCTGCAGGTCCCTGGCTCACCCTCAGCCTTTTGTATCTGCCGTTCCCTCTTCTCAGACTTCCCTCTCCCTCCTCTCCTCTCTGGCTAACTCCTAGTCATCCCTCAAGACTCAGTGTGTGATCCCCCAGAGATAGGCTTTCTCTGTGCTCCCAGGTCTATGCACCCCTCTGTCTTATGCTGTCTCTCTGGGTTTCACCGACCTGTTGACAAGCCTGGCAGACACGAGGGGTCCAGAAATACCCGATGAATATAATGATCTGATGTTGGGCCAGTCAGCCACACTGTTCTTCACCAAATGGTGCAAAGTGGGAAAGGGAAGTTACAACAGTGTGTTTGTGTCATTTCATTTTTTTAAAACGCATGCCCATCAGCACATGCGTGGGGAGTGTTCTGGGGAAGCAGAGTCCAGAGCCACCCCTGGCCGGGGAGCGCAGCCCGTCCTGTCCCAGGTCCCTCCTTCAGACGGCCCCCTGATTTCCTGACTCTGATTCGTGAATTGTGAGCAAAGAGCCAACGACTGCTGTCCTGCCCTCCCCTCTCCTGAAATCTGAGCAGGTCACAAAGTAAGAAATCCAAATCGCCAATCAGCTCATTAGCAATAGAGGAATCACACATCAAGACCAGACGCCATATCTGATAACAAATGGGCACACAGCTGTCGTAAAGTGCGGTGCCCGGTGTGGGTGCACATGTGGGGAGAGGCAGACGCTGGGCGGGGGAGCCAGCGTCCCGCTTCCAAAGGGACGTTTGTCAAAACCCTGCAAAAGCCTTCGATTTTTACATTTAAGTTCCATGTATCTGGGGAATGGGGAATATAGTCACATTCGAAAATTCCAAAAGTCATAGAGGGCATCCGGTCAAAACCCCCTCCTCCTCCAGCCTCTAGAACCCACCTCTTTTCTTCTGAAGCAACGGTATTATCTATTTCCAGGAGACTAGATAGATGAATAGATTCTAATAGACAGATAGATAGATGAATGTGTGTGTGTGTGTGTGTGTGTGTGTATACACAGACATCGGTATAGATACAGCAGATATATGTGTGGCTGACATTCTTATTGGGCACCAATGGTATTGCGGTATATCTCCACTGTTCTCTATCTTACAATTTTACAAACTCAGAAAAACACTTCTTGGAATATCCTGATACGTCATCATGGGTGTACGCATGGTTTAGCTACAAGGGTGCCTTTCATCAAACTATTAATGATCATGAAAAATTGGAAACAACCTAACTACTTGACCATCAGGCATTAGGTGACGGGACAGCCACACAGCCATTCAATGAAGCCATTGAAATGGTGATGCCTCCCTGGCCGGTGTGGCTCAGTTGGTTGAGCATCGTCCCATGTGCCCACAGGTGATCTGTCAATCCCCAGGAGGGGGCGTGCAGGAGGCAGCCGATTTATGTTTCTCCCTCTCCCTCTCCCTTCCTCTCTCACTAAAAAAAAAAAATCAATAAGACATATTTTTTTAAATTTTTTTAAATGATGCAGAGAAATATTTGCTAGCATGGGAAGTTGGTTTTTGCCATGTGTTCTATAAAATGGGAAAAGAAAGCCACAATATGGTATATTCGTCTTATATTTCATATAATACATGAATATTTCATATAATATTCTAATGAATATTCATTTTCATTTTTTAAAACACTGGAAACATAAGCACCTGTTGCTATGTCAGCCTCAGTCCCTTCAGCTACCTTGAATCTCTAGCTGATGGCGGCCAGGGAAACCTGCCTGAGTGGAAGGACTGAATCCATGGCCCTCGGCCTTCAGGGAAACTCGGCTGGGACCAGCTCTCTAGCAAACTCCACCTGCCTTCCCAGTTCCAAACAGTCACTGAAAAGAGAATTACAGGGCTCGAGGCATTTGTTATGGAAAATATTTGTTGAAGAGTGATTGTCAGGCCCTGGCTGGTTTGGCTCAGTGGTTGGAGCATTGGCCCGCACACCGAAGGGTCATGGGTTCGATTCCTGGTCAAAGGCACGTACCTTGGTTGCAGCCCCGGTAGGGTCTCTCTCTCTCTCTCTCTCTCGCTCACTCTTTCTCTTTCTTTCTCTCTCCCCCCCCCCCCCCGACTCCCGCCCTTCCACTCTATCTGGAAATCAATGGAAAGAGAATCCTCGGGTGAGGATTTAAAATAAAGCAAGAAAGAAAAGGGATTGTCAGGCCTGGAATAGAGGCTCAGAGTGGGAGGGCCCCTTGTTCCCAGAACGCCTACTTCCAGGGCCTCCCTTGGTCTGTGAACCCCTCGGACTTGGCCTCTTAGCTCAAACACCCGCCCTCCTCTCTTGCCTCCAGGAGTTCTTCTATGACATCAAACACAGCGACCTGGCGAAGAAGTCGCTGGACATCTCGGTCTGGGACTACGACATCGGCAAGTCCAACGATTACATCGGTGAGCGCTCCCAGCTCCCCTCGAAAACCTGCCCTCTGTCCTCCCAGGGCTGTGGGGGGAGGGGGGCGGTGAGAGTCTTTCTTTTTTTTGGCACCACACCATCCAAACCCTGAGGCAGAAACCGTGGTCCCTACTTGGGTCCAGTTTGAGAAGCTGTCAGAGGAGCGAGCTTACGAAGTTGGGAAGATTGGGTCATGATGGGTTCTTTGCTGAACAGATCGCCTCCGGTGGGATAGTTAAATCACAGAGCACGGGGCCTGTGGCTCTGCAGGAGATGGGGTGCAAAGGCTGTCTCCCTAATCTGTGTGCGAGTCCAGGATGAAGGCTCTGACTTTCCCAGCCGGCCTCCAAACAATGAGGAAGGACGGTCACTAAACATGGATGGAGAGCCCAGCCGGTGTGGCTCAGTGGTTGGCCATCAACCCATGAACCAACAGGTCGCCAGTTTGATTCCCAGGCAGAGCACAGGCTCGGGCTGTGGGCTCGATCCCCAGTAGGGGGCGTGTGGGAGGCAGCCGATCCATGATGTTTCTCTCTCCTCTTGCTGTTCTATCCCTCTCTCCCTCTCCCTTCCTCTCTCTCTACAAAGAAATCAATAAAAACATTTAAAAAAAAAAAATGGAGCGGGGAAGGAACTCCAGGCCAGGGACACAGCTTGGGCAAAGGCGTGGCGGCAGGTGGAGCGGGGTGAGGAACGTAACTCTTTGGGGACAGATGAGGAGTTTCCACAAGGAGCGGGAGGTCGGTTGCTGCGGGTGGAGGGATCTGTGCCCGGTCTGGACAAACAGACAGCACGGTGCCTCAGTAGGGAGCCACGGCAGGTTCGCGAGCAGCTGGCCTGCGGGCAGAGAGGCCAGGAGTCACAACACCGTGACCTCCACCCTCAGAGCGCGGATGCCCGAGTGCCGGAGGGGCTCGCTGCTTGGCGGCAGTTTCCCCCCAACTGGACGTTTGGGTCCAGAATGCGAGTCCCCTGTGTCCCTCCACTCTGACCCCTGTCCCTGTCCGCCCTGTCACCCAGGAGGCTGCCAGCTGGGGATCTCGGCCAAGGGCGAGCGCTTGAAACACTGGTACGAGTGTCTGAAGAACAAGGACCAGAAGATCGAGCGCTGGCACCAGCTCCAGAACGAGAACCACGTGCCCAGCGATTAGGGTGGCGCCCGGCTCCCTGGCTCCGTGCCCTGCCCCCTGCCCAGGTCCCCCCCAGCCTGCCCCAGCCTGCCTCAGCGGCCCACTGCACTCTGGTCTCTCTCCTGTACGCCCCTGCCCCTCCCCTGCCGCCCTCCCTGAACCTGCTTTTGGGGTCCCCCTCACCTTGGGCATTGCCGCCAAAGACCTCCTCTGCCCCCCCCCGCCCCCCCCGGGGATGCTCCTGTGAGGCTGCAAGGCGGGCTCTGAGCGCAGCCCCGCTCCGGTCTGGTCTGGTCCGCCAGGATGGAGCAGTCGGAACAGGGATGGGAGATCTTTACAAAGAGGTCGTTCCTTTAACAACCTCCCGGTTTGGGTAATTACAGACGTTCGTCATCATTTCGGACTGCTTTAGCCCTCCTGGCCTTGAGCAGGCGGGCACGGACACTCCCGTTTCCTGCGTCACGTCTGTGTGTCCCCTCAGCCGTCAGCACCGGACAAAGCTGTGGGGACCCTGAACCGGGGTAGACATAGAGCGTCCAGGCTCCCAGCTTTCTGTCCCTCTCCACCCCCGTCTCTCTCCCCTTCTCCCCTCTCCCTCTCTAAGGGGTTCAATAGCAAAAGCAAAAAATGTCCTAACACAGCCTCACCCCCTCACCTCCTCTCACCTGCCAGACCAGCAATCGGGCAAAACCTGAGCTTCCATGTAGCCCCTTGCTCCCTCAGATGCCCACTTCCCCGTGGGCACCGCCAGGCGGCCTCTGGCGGAGGGCCGGCTGCTGGCCCTGCCCAGGTGCAGGCAGCAGCCCACAGGCTGTGTAGGCCCCCAAGCAGGCCTTTCCCAGCCCCTGGCCTCCCGGGGTGGGCGCAGAAGGCGCCTGGAAGCCAGAGCTCTGGGCGGGGGGCCGGGTGGAGGGGCCTCGCCGAAGCCGCATGGGGTTCCTCCTCCCTCTGCTCTCTGTTCAGTGGACCTACGACCCCTGTCCCTGACGCTCTGACTCGGCTGCTTTGACTCTCGCGCCTGTGTCTCACCCAGAATCGCCCCGAATCTGTCTGTCTCTGTCTGTCTCTCTGTCTCTGTCCCTCGCACCCTCCAATGTGCGGGAGGAATACACCGCCGTCATCGTGGATCTGAAACTGTAGTGTGACAGGTGCCGGTGCCAAAGGCTTTTGTTCCATGGGGATCATCCAGTCTTGCTCTTTAAAAGTTGCTTCCCAAAGGAGAAGAAGGCAGCGCGGACACACATCACCATCCGAGGCTGGGTTCGGGCAGTCTGCGCTGCCTGTGAAAAGCCTTGGTTTTTCCCATTCCCACGGCGCCTGCCCCTGTGAGGATCGCCCCCTGTCCAGCAGCCCACCCTGACCTGAGATGGACGCGCAAACGCTCACTTCCTGGAAACACACGCCTTTTCACCTTCCCCCGCCAGGCTCTCCACCCCCAGCTCTGCACAATTCACTGAGAGCCACCGATTTCTAAATGTTCAGTCCTAAACCCCACGTTCCCCGTCCGCCCCGAGATGGCCAACAGCTTCCTGGCTGCCGTCGGCCCCCTGACCCTCCACCTGACCCTCCGCGGCCCCGGCGCCCGCCTCTGCCCCTCGGTTTGCCCTTAGGAGAAAGCATGCTGGCTGCGTCGCCCAAGCCTGGCACAGGTACTGGCGCTGGAACCAGCATGTGGCGAGCTCCCAGTGCCCGCAGTCCAGGCGCACGCTCTCTCCGCTCTCCCCACAAATGTAACCGCCCCCCCCCCCCCCCGCCTTGAGTACACACACGCCCTCCGCCCTCCGGTGCATGCAGAACCCCAGAACTGCCCACCGCCTTTCTTTGTGATGATGTAGCCAAAAATAAAGTAGGAATATCCAGGAACACCGTGGCCTGCGCTCTTCCTTTCTGGTTTCCCGGGGTTCTTTCTCCCCGCCAAGACACACGCCACTGCCTGGATAGCCAGTGTTTAATGAGCATCTACTACGTTCCAGCCACTGGGGACACGGTGGCCAACAAGGAAGGCGTGGTCTCTGCCCACCTGGAGCTTGCTTCCTGGTGGATGTCAGCTTGGGCAGGTAGGCTCAAGGCCACTCATCTCACCCCACGGCCTCTTAGAAGAGGACTCTGCTGGTGCCCACCCACCAGGCAGGCAGCACCCTCAGCTCCTCCCTACCACCCCAGCCTTGGGGGGAAGTCCCACGTGGTTGTGGGCTCAGATAACGTGAAAGCTGTCAGCTCACTCATCCGACTGGTGAATAACGCAAAGCCCAGAGGAAGAACGGTCTAGGGGAGGGAGCTAGATAGGGGATGCCCTGGGGGCCACTCTTGGCAGGTTGATTGACACCGATGAGATCACCGAGTACCTCCTTTGTATTCCAGCACCTTCCATCCCATCCCGCAAGCAGCCTTCACGGTGGCCCCTCCCTCGAGGTTCTCCACGTCCCGAAAGTGAGCTGAGTAGGTAACGAACTTTCCAGCCGGATCCCCAGTCCCACTGTAACCCGTCCCCAAGGTGCTCGGCAAAAGGTATCAATGTTGGTTTCCTCCCAGAAGGAACCGTCAGTTCCATCCGGCAGAAGCTGGGCCTTTTCCAGGCCAAGTTCGAAACAAGTTCCTTGTCTTGTCGCCCCAAAGGGAGGTTCCCAGGGTTGGGGCAGAAGTCGGCATAACAGGTTCACTGGGGAGATTTTTTTTCAGTCTACCCCAGCTCTGCCCACCAGAATACTGACTGTTTCATCCGCTTGCCGTGGGTTAAAATATTTCCTGGTTGATATCTGTTTCCGCCTCCATTGTGACTTGGCAAACCACTGCCCTAACATCCTGTTTGTTTTTTTCTGCAACTCAGCTGGCGGCCACCAGGTGGAGAGAGGTGCCGATTACAGCCATCCAGGCCTCCCGGGAATGGCAGGGGGCACTTGCCACTCTCTCCCTCTGCTCATGGCAGACATCACTAATCGATATGGCCTCATTCCCACAGAGCCTCCTAGCAGCCTCTGAATCCTTCTTAACACAGCAATCCAGGCAGCCGCCACCACTCCGTCATGGGCAGTTGAAAAACCTAATTTCCTTCTCTAGGCATGGGACATCCCAAAGAAACAGAGAAAGACACGCAGGAAAAGTTCTCATAAATATCGGTACACCTGACTTGGCTAATCATTTCCCCCCTACCCCCGCCCCCGCCCCCCCACCCCCATTGAAACAAAACAGAGGCAACACGATGTGGTAGAAAGCACCTGACCAAAAACCACAGCAGCTTTTTCGCTCGTTCAAGTCCAGCGTTCAGATCCTGGCCGCCACTTTCTAGCTGTGGAGTCTCAGTTTCCTCACCTGGAAAATGGGGACAATGGTAAATACTTCAAAGAGGTGAGACCAAGTTGCCAAACTCTGGTCTCCCATCAGGGCTGACACAGGTGAGTCCCGGGAAGGGGGAGGGCATCAAAGGGCCCTGGTTCCTGGTGGAAGCCGTATGAGCTGGGCCCACAGGCAGATGGATTAAACGGTCAGTAGTCTGGTCCCTCCTCCACTCAGATCTGCCAGGTACATTGGCCTAATGAAGTTCAACAATACAGCCCAGCCCCACGGAAATACGCATCACCACGCATGCATGTAAGAGGGATATTTTGCTCGGCCCTGGCCCAGGACTGCTGCGTGACCTTGAGCAAGTCACTTCCCCCTGTGGGTCTTCAACTCCATAGGGAGGACATCAGAGTATCATAATCCTCTCACTTGGCTGCCAGGGCCCACACAGGGGCCTTCATGTCCCAGTCATTCAAGAAAGGCCTAGGCCAGGGGTGGGGAACCTTCTTTCTGCCAAGGGCCATTTGGGTATTTATAACATCATTCAAGGGCCATACAAAATTATCAACTAAAAAGCTAGCCTGCTATAGTTGGTCAAACATTGAATGAACTCACCCCTGATGCCTTGGCCAGGCCAGACCGAATGATTTCCAGGGCCGTATGTGGCCCACGGGCCGGCCGGCCCCCATGCCTGACCTAGACCTTTTCGCTGAGGCCAGGCCCCTGGAGTGGAGACCTGTGTGGTCTGTCTTGTACGAAACACACAAGAAAGCACCATCTATAATTTCCTGTTCCTGTTTCTTTAAAGGGAACAAGAACTTACAGCCACTTGCAAAAGCATGAGGGCGTAATTCTGTATTCTTCCAATTATTTCCTCAATCTTTTACAGTTGTAATTCTTACAACTCACGCTTCCCTAATTCTAGGCAGTGTTTTGTGAAGCATGCTTTTATTACATTTTTCCAAAGAATACAATGCTGGTTTCCTAAGGACAGATCTCTTCCGAACTCATGCTGGATCTGTTTATATGTAGAGTTAGCCCAAAGTATACATTTCATGAACAAGTACTTTTGCCATAAAGGCATTTGGGAGCAAACGAAATCTTTGATATATATATACACGACCCAACTGGCGGGCAAAATGAGTGTTGTGTAGAATGATACCCACCCCTTCATAGTTACATTTTGCTTTAAGCAAAAGTCAACATAGTGCACAGTTAACTGAGGAGCTGGTGAAGAGAAGGGTAATTAAGAAAGATAGCTAACGGGCATCGATACACGACTTCATCCAACAATAACAGAATACACATTCTCCTCAAGCTCACAGGCAACATTCCCCAGAAAACACACCTTAACACATTCAAAAGGATGCAGCTCATCAAAGTATGCTCTCTACCACGATGGAATTAAACACTCTATCAATAATGGGAGGCTATCTGGAAAATTCCAAAATATTTGAAGACTAACACACTCTTCACTGACACGAGTCAAAGAATCCTCAAGAGAAATTTAAAAATAGTTTGCACGGACTGACAATAAAGAAACAACAATTAAAAGTGTGGGATGCAATGGAATCGGTGATTAGAGGGAATTTTTTTAAAATCCTCACCCAAAGTTATGTTTATTGATTTTAGAGACAGCGAAAGGGAGAGAGAGAGAAACATCGAAGTGAGAGAGAAACAGCGATCCCCTTGACCGGGGACCAAACCTGCAACCTGGTGTGTGCGCTGACCGGGCGGCGCACCGGCAACCAACACATTCCAACGGTCGTTTTTGAGGTTTGGGGTTATGAATGGGGTTTTATGCTTCCTGAGTTTTCTGACTTTTTTCCCTTTGGCCATACGCATGCACATACTAATCACAGGAGACTATAAAACAATTGTCAGCAACAATAACAAAACAAAACAAAAACTAGGAAGAAGAAAACCAGAAATTGGTTTGGGATCCTGATTTCTGTCGGGTGAGGTTCTAATGGGGGTTAAAACACAGTGTTTCCAGAGTGCAGTTCGAAGACAGGCAAACGTTAAAGGCAGAGGTAGGCTGCAGAACGTGGGGGAGGGCTCCGGCATCCCGGGAGTGAGTCATCTGATAAGAGCCAAGAGCATAGCTCCTCCCTTCCCAGGAAACGAAACCCAGGGCAGCTCAGACCTGGGCCACAGAAGAGAGAGACGCTGCCGGAGGTTTCCTTCAGCCCCTGGCTCTTTCTGTCCCTGCCCAGCATCACAATGTGGCCGCTCCAAGCGATCGTAGCCAGGGATCTCGAAGTGATCCCAGCCAAGGATCTGGACAGGTTCATCGAACACCACCTCCTGCCAGACACTGCTTTCCGAATGCAGGTCAAGCAAGCCATTGACATCATCTGCAGTTTCCTGAAGGAGAGGTGTTTCCTCCAAGATAGAGTCCGGGTGTCGAAGGTTGTAAAGGTGAGTCTACCTGCCAGACCGGGGAGGGGGTGGTTGGACGGGCAGGAGTTCCCACAGAGAACGAGATCTGGGGCTGGTGATTTCCAGTGGATCCCTACCAAAAGCATAACCACAGTTTGTGAAAATAGATTCTGCAATTTATTTAATAAATATATTTTTATTGATTTCAGAGAGGAAGGGAGAGGGAGAGAGAGAGAGAGAGAAACATCAATGATGAGAGAGAACCATTGATCGGCTGCCTCCTGCACACTCCCTACCGGGGATTGAGCCCACAGCCTGTCATGTGCCCAGACTGGGGATCCAACCGGGACCTCCTGGTTCATAGGCCGATGCTCAACCACTGAGCCACGTTGGCCGGGCCAGACTCTGTAATTTTTTAACAAATGCCCCAGTGAAGTTCATGAACCACCGTCCTAAGCCACGTCCATTTCGGAGATAGGAAAGCGGAGGCCAGCTCTGATCCACAATCTACTAATTAATGGCCAGCCTGAGAACTCACCATTGATGCAGAGTCTAAATTTTGACAGGTTGCTGGTTACTAGGTGAATGGAGATCGGGTGGGGTGGGGTGTGTGGGGCGGGGGGAGAGAATGAAGAGAATAAAAGGGTTCAAATACAATGTGACACGAGGAGACTGGTCTTGGCTGGTGAGCACACAATAGGGCAGGGGTCCTCAAACTTTTTAAACAGGGGGCCAGGTCACTGTCCCTCAGACCGTTGGAGGGCCGGACTATAGTTTAAAAAAAAAAACTATGAGCAAATTCCTATGCACACTGCACATATCTTATTTTGAAGTAAAAAAACAAAACAAAACGGGAACAAATACAGTATTTGTATTTGCATGTGGCCCGCAGGCCGTAGTTTGAGGACCCCTGCAATAGCGTATGCAGATGTATTACAAAGTTGCATACCTGAAACGTATGTGATATTAACCCACGTCACCCCCAATAAATTTAATAATAATTGCAAAAAGAAGGTAGCCCCTGCTGGCTGTAAAACCTTGAGCAAGAAACTTAGCTTCTCTGTGCCTCAGTTTCCTCATCCATACTTCCCAATACGTTACCGGGCTGTGCAGAACCAGTAAACCACCCAGCATGGGCCAGGCTACAGCATATAATGACGTAAGACAGTCAAAGCCAGGGAGTGAAGACCACAGCTTCTAGAACAAGGCAGCTGGGGCTTGAACTGAGTCCCTGCCACCTGTCAGCGGTGGCTTGGGCCCATAGGTAATCTCTCTGAGCATCTGTCTTCCCACCTGTGAAATGGGAACTAATAATAACGCCTAAATAGCAAAGTCCTCCTCCATCGTAGGAGGTAAGACGGGCGATGCCCTCAGGACAGTGGCCGGTGCCCAAGAATGTTAGCGATGGGCTTGGCCTTTTATGTAGGGAGGCTCTTCTCAAGAAACGCCAGTCCTCCTCCTCCTCCTCTCTGTTCCAGGGCGGCTCCTCGGGCAAAGGCACCGCCCTCAGAGACCGGTCTGACGCCGACCTCGTCGTCTTCCTCAGCCCCCTCACAAGTTTTCAGGAGCAGTTTGAGCGCCGAGGAGAGTTCATCCAGGAAACCAGAACACAGCTGGAAGCATGTCAGCAACAGAGAATGTTTACCGTGCGCTTCGAGGTCCAACCTAAATTTCAGAACCCCCGCGCACTCAGCTTCACCCTCAAGAGCCGCTCTTCCCGGGCGGAGGCGGAGGTGGAGTTTGATGTGCTGCCCGCCTACGATGTCCTGGGTGGGCGCCCTGACATGAGCGATGTCGGCCTCTGCCCTATGGCCCGGCTTCTTTCTCTCTCGGTTCATATTTCTGACCGGAAATCGTTCACCGTTAGTCTTCCCAAAGCAGGGCATCCCTCTAAAACGGGGAAAAGACCTTCGGTTCTCTCCCGGGGCAAGAAGGAAGAAGGTCTGGCCGGCCTCAGGAGTGACATTAAACAGCAAATTGGCACGATTAGGGGGCAAGGCATTTCTTAGTATTTTATCTTCCTAAAAATGAGGAAGCATGGATCTGGCATGTTAATTTCATCTTTGACCCAAAACATGAGGAAGCCTCATCACCTTACTCTGAGGGCTGGGAATCTATGGGTGATGTACAGGTGGGCAGGGAAGTACACCTTCTCGGAGCAGGCTCAGTCCCCACATGAGAAAAACTGTAAAACCACACTAGCTACGTCATACTTATTTTAAAGTATTAAATGAGCATCTACATTAAGCTCTTACACAGGGCCTGGCACATAGTAGGTGTTCACAAATGGGAGTTCCCCAGCTGTGCACCCAGGCACCCCAGGACACCCCAGTGAACTGGCTCACAGGGGTGTGTGTAGGAAGAGTTAGATTTTAAATTTCTGAGTGAAACTCAGCGACACCTGTCGGACACCGTGAAAACTGCTACTATTAAGTTGTAGGAACGGATCTACTTAATACACAGAACTGAGAGGGATTTCTTTTGGCCTAAGGGACTCTCGAGAAAAACGCCACAAAATGAAAAAAGTTTGGCAGTATCCCCTGGTTGCCATGTCCTGTGTTGGCTGCTGGGGTACAGTGGTCCTAAAAGAGAGAGAGAAGGGAGGAAGGGCATGCCAGGCAGAGGGCACAGCACAGGCAAAGGCCCGGAGGTTAGAGGGGACCTGAGTGTAGTGGGGGAAATGCAGGACGCTGAGGACGAAAGGGGAGGAGAGGACCAGCAGGAAGTGATGGAGAAAGCAGGCGGGACAGCGGATCCTGCAGAAGCCTGTAACCTGAGTGGCGCGGACTGGGCGATGGCAGCGGATGGGAGCATGGGGCTGGAAATGGCCCTTTCCCTGTATCCACGCCAGCGAGCTTGCCACCCCAGGGCGACGGAAAGAACCTCAGGGAAGAGCTGGCATCTTAAAGTTATGGATTTGTCCCTAACAGGTCAGGTGACGGAGCCCTACAGACCTGACCCCGACATCTATGTCAGGCTCATCCGCGAGTGCGAGAGACTGGGGAAGGAGGGCGAGTTCTCCCCCTGCTTCACGGAGCTGCAGCGGGCCTTCCTGAAGCAGCGCCCCGCCAAGCTCAAGAGCCTCATCCGCCTGGTCAAGCACTGGTACCAAAAGGTGGGGGTCCTGTCCAGACCCCAGGAGGAGGGAGGGGAGGGGAGCAGGAGAGGCAGCAGGAGGGGAGGCAGAAAGGGACGGTGGGAGGGGAGGCAGGGGAGGAGAGGGGAGGGATGAAGAGGGAAGGAGGGAGGGGAGGGGGGAACATGGGGGGAGAGATGAGAGGAAGAGGGGCATGGCTTCTAGGCCCCACCTCGTCCATGCTCTGCCTCTGTTTCTTTGGATAGAGTGCTCCCAGTTCTTTCCAAGCCAGTGTTTGACTCTGCAATATTTAGAGCTTCGGGAATTTATTGCTATTTGGTCTCTTTTTTTTTTCTTCCTGTCGGTGCCGTTTCATTGTGTGCCTGGCTATTCCTATGCTCCTCATAGTACTTGAGATTATTTGTGAGATAATTTGGGGCTTTGGATCATATATCTCCCTGCAGAGGGAATTTTGTTTGCTTCTAGAAGGCACTTAGGAAGTGCTTAAAGTGCTTCTCTGAATTAATTTTCATAATATCCTTTTTCATTGCTTTATTGATTTCAGAGAGGAAGGGAGAGGGAGAGAGAGATAGAAATGATGAGAGAGAATCATTGATCGGCTGCCTCCTGCACGCCCCCCCACTGGGGATCGAGCCTGCAACCTGGGCATGTGCCCTGACCAGGAATCAAACCGCGACCTCCTGGTTGATAGGTCGACGCTCAACCACTGAGCCACACCTGCCAGGCTCATAATATCCTTCTGAGGTAGATGCTATTATTACCATTCACTTGGCAAATGAGAAAAGCGAGGCTTCAAGAGTGGTCTGCCCAGCCCGGCCGGTGTGGCTCAGTGGTTGAGCATTGACCTGGCACCAGGAGGTCACCAGTTCCATGGCCGTCAGGGCACATGCCTGGGTGTCGGTTCTTTCTCATCGATGTTCCTATCTCTCTCTCTCTCCTCCCTTCCTCTCTCCCTAAGAACCAAAAAGAACATATTTAAAAGAAAGAAAGAAAGAAAAAGAGTCGTCTGCCCAGAATCAGGCGAGGTTGAAGCCAGGATTCAACCAGGGCCAGCGAACTCTTTCCATAAATGACGAGGTAGTAAATATTTTAGACACTGGGTCAGGGCCAGGTCTCCGTCTTAGCTACTCAACGCAGTCTTTGGAGCGTGAAAGCCGCAGACGATACGTGCACGAATGAGCGTGACTTTGCGCCAAGAGAAAACGTTTTTTACAAAGGCAGGCGGTCGGCTGGATTCGGCCGCAGGGCTGGGCAAGCCCATTTTTCTGGCTGTTTTCCCCCCTCTCAGTGTAAGGAGAAGCTTGGACAGTCCCTGCCGCCTCAGTACGCCCTGGAGCTCCTGACCGTCTACGCTTGGGAGCGTGCAGGCCGGCAAACCGACTTCATCACAGCGCAGGGATTTCAGACGGTCTTGGAATTAGTCATGAACTACCGGCAGCTTCGCATCCACTGGACACAGTATTACGACAGTTCACATCCTGTGATTGGCCCATACCTGCGGAGGCAGCTCCAGAAACCCAGGTACTCTGTCCCCACAGGGCCCCTCCCCGCACCCATGGACCCAGGCTCAGCTCTGGCGCCTGGGAAGTGAGGAAGGCGGGGCTCCACGTCGGTTGGTCATCTGCCGCTGCGGGTCCCAGCGCCAGGCCCCTTACTGCCATCTGACCAGACAACAGGCAGCCCTGTGAGGCGGGCACTGTGCTCCCGCCTATACTAGTAACTAGTAGATGAGGACACAGGTTCTGAGAGGCGAGGAGCTTGTGCGACCCTTCCCAGGAAATGAGCGCGATAGCTGAACCGTGGGCTGAGACAGCCACAGCCACAGCCACAGCCACAGCAATCCGATCACTGTTCCCCGGGTGAAAAGCTTGCTGTGGGGCTAGCACACTCGAACAGGAAAACGTCTTATCATGAGGACTGATGTGGATGGGCCCCCATTAGCTTGTGTCCCACGTACTGTGCGGAGCATTCACATCCTTGGAGGTGGGCATATTCAGCTCGCCCCATTTCACAGATGAGGAAACCGAGGCTTGGAGAGCTCCAGTGACCTTCCCACGGGCACACCACGCATCAAGGGCAGCGGTGGCATTCCAGCTCAGGTCTGTAAGGCCCAAGAGCAAGGCTCCTTCTCCTGGGTTTGCTGTTCTCCAGGACACTCAGGATGAGTCCCAGGAAGCAGCGCCCTGCTGGGCCCTTCCTCCTACCCACCGGCCCACCTGCCCCAGGTGTTTTGCAATTATAGGGGCATCTAGACTCCGGAGACCCAGCCCAGCTCCTCAGCTGTCCCTCTCTCAATGTTGCTCCTCAGGCCTGTGATTCTGGACCCAGCGGACCCTACAGGAAACGTCGCTGGTGGAAAGCCAGAACGCTGGGAGCCGCTGGCGGGAGAGGCTAGGGCCTGGATGAAGTACCCATGCTTTCGCAAAGGAGATGGGTCTCCAGTGGGCTCCTGGAACATATAGGTGAGACCCCTGCTCCCTCCCTGTCGTCCCCCCCTCCCCTCCACCCAGCTTGGGGACCCTTGTTTCCAAAGAATTGCCTCTCACGTTCATATAGCTTCAGGCTGAGCTCCCGATTTTACAGCAACTTTATAATCACGTTGACTCCACTCAGCGGGTTCCTAGAATGTCCACGCCCTTTGTTCAAAGTTCATTCTTTAACTGGGGCTGCCTTGGCCGAAGGTCACTTTCTTAACCACTCCCATTGTCTCACTCTCCTAACGATAACAAACATAGCAACCACTGCTCATGGAATGTTGGCCTGGCGCCCAGCTTCTGTCCTAAGGCCTTTAGCACACATTGTTTTATTCACTCATCGATCCTCGCAGCACCGGATGAGGTAGGTTTTCCGCTCTCATCTCACGGATGAGAGGAGGGGGCTCAGAGGGGTGGTGCCGCTGCTCAAGGCCTTCAGCGAGGGAGCCGCAGAGCTGGGACTCAAACCTGTGGAGTCCAAGGCTGGTGCCCATTCCCCTGTGTAAACAGCCTGACTCTCCCCCCGCCCCTCCCCCCGCCCCCCAGCACCTGACAAACGGGAGACTCACAGCAGCTGCGTGGCGTGGGCATGCCACCCAGCCAGTAGGGGCAGGCACTCCTGAACCGGGATCTTTCCACTCCCAGGGCCGGGGTCTTTCTCACGCCAGGGGATTGGTGATGTCATGGGGGTTCCCCAGGAAGCAGACGCCGAGAGGGGGTGTGGTGTGAGGAACCAACACCCGTGGAACGGAGGGGAAGGAAACAGGTGTGGGCACAAGGAGAGTCCAGCTGGGATGCAGCCCGGCCACAGTGTCAGCCCCCCCCCCCCACCTCGGGAGCCCCGGATTGGCCTCCTGCAGTCTGAGGGGTTCAGGCCGTTATACCCGCCCTGGGCCCTAGATGGGTTCCTAAATGGGGCAACTGAGGACGGGGCGTGGCCTTAAGCCAGGGGCTCTCTGCAGCCCAGGCAACCCTAAAGGGGCCGATCACTGAAGTCTGTTGCTGACAGCCCCCCGGGACCTGCTCCTCTTTCCTTGAGGAGCCGAGTGGCAGGTCACGGAGCCACCGCAAAGCCAAGGTGGGCACCAGCGCTGCCACGTGATCGCGTCCTTTCCTCTTTACAGACCTAAGGAGGCAGCGAAGATGCCTGGCTAACCTCTGCTCTCAAGACACATCAGCTCCCCGATGGTGGACAGCGCCCTGGGTCCTTTCACCCCCGCATTCACCAGGCGGAGTGCCCCTCCCGGGTGGAAGAGAGCAGAGCACACACTCACCTTTCAGATGCAAACCAGCCAATCAGAGCCCAGACTCCCACTCACCCAGGGCAGGTCCCAGAGGACTGGGCACAGCCCCACACTCCAGAGCCCGCTGGAATTCTTCGCACTGGCCCATCCTAGCCTGCTTACCCCGCTTGCCTTTCCCGTGGGAACTATGATAAAGGTTCTTTTTTGGGTTAATCCTCACCCACAGATATTTCCACATTCCCGCCAACACTTGTGTCTTTTGGGGGTTTTTGTGTGTGTGTGTTTTTTTTGTTTTTGTTTTTTTTTAATGGAATAGCCATTCTTCCCTAGCTGGTTTGGCTTAGTGGATAGAGTGTCAGCCTGCAGACTGAAGGGTTCCGGGTTTGAACCCCATCAAGGACACATGCTGGGGTTGTAGGCTCGATCCCCAGTAGAGAACATGCAGGAGGAAGCCGATCAATAATTCTTTCTCATCGTTGATGTTTGTATCTCTCTCTCCCTCTCCCTTCCTCTCTGAAATCAATAAAAATATATATTTTTAAAAATGGAATAGCCATTCCAACAGGTGAGAGGTGATAGCTCATGGTTGTGATTTGCATTTCCCTGATGATTAGTGATGTCAAGCATCTTTTCATGGGCCTGTTGGCCATTTGTATGTCTTTTTTATTTTTATTTTTTATTTTTTGAGAAATAGCTATTTAAGTGCTTGGCCCATTAATAGTAATAGGACTATTAGATTTTTTTTAAAATTGTTTTGCTCTTGACTTGTGGGAGCTTCTTCTTATTTTGGAAGTTAACCCCTTATCAGGTTTATGGTTTGTAAATATTCCTCCCATTCCAGGGCTTGCCCTTCCACTCTGTGGATGCTTTCACTTACTGCGCAGAAGCGCTTTCGTTTGCTGTAGTCCCTCCTGCCTGGTTTTGCTTTTGTTGCCTGTACTTTGCGCATGCAGTCAACTGATGTCCAGCAAGGCCGGGTAAACTTCCTGCTGGGGAAACGAAAGGTTCTCTCTTCAACAAATGGTGCTGGGAACGTTGGGTAGGATGAATTGTACCCCTACCTTACACCACACACACGAATCAACTCAAAATGGGTCAAAGACTCAAAGATTACATGAATTAAAATCCGACCTTGTCTGAATGACTATAAACTTAAAATAATCATTCATATCTCATAGAAAACTCTGTTCTCTCTTTTTTTTAAAAAAAAAAAATCAAAATCCATGGCTTCCTTTGGCCTTTCTATTTCCATGTTAATTTTATACACAATTTGTACAATTTCACCCAAAATATGGGGAGGTGTTTAATCAGAGTTATACAAATTAGGTTAGGGAGAATGGCATCTATGTAGTACTGAGAATCCCAGTTGATGAAGTTGAACTTTCTTTTCATTTAAGTCTTTAATGACTGTATGAGTAAGTTTTAGAATTTTCCCTGAATTTCATGGGGGTTTTTTTGTCATATTATTCTTAGTTACTTGTTTCTGTGTTGTTGTATGTAAGTATGTTTTCTTTAATTTCATTTTGTAATGATTGATTCCTGGAAGACCTAAATGTTTCAGTGTGTATATTTGATTTTAGCATTATGAGTGATCTTAATACTTTTCTGAATTTTCTGATGTTATATAAATTTAAACTTTTATTGCTTGTATGACCACAAAAAAACAATAAAGCAATTTTTCTTGCAAAAACATAGTTTAAAATAAGTATTTCTCTCAGCGAAGCTCGAATTGTTTGTGAAATGCCAGCAAGCCCAGGTTATAGAAAGATCTGGCGTGCTGGTATTTGGAGTTGCTGGTTCAGGGGCAAGTTCATGAGATTTGGAAACGGGGGAGCAATTGTGGAAGGGATGATGGAGATTGAAACACCTGAGCCAGCCCTCGCTGGTGTGGCTCAGTTGGTTGGAGCACCGTCCTGTACACCAAAAGGTGGCGAGTTCGATTCCTGGTCAGGGCGCATACTGAGGTTGTAGGCTTGATCCCTGGTCAGGGCGTGTGGGAAGCAACCAGTGGATCTTTCTCTCTCACACTGAGGTTTCTCTTTCTCCCTCCCTTCCTAAAAAACAAACAAACCTGAGACATAAACTTCTGAGGCCTCAGGGATAAGGCTACTTCCTAGGTAACTTCCTGCTGGGGAAACGAAACTGAGAAAAGAGCTAATGGTTAGTCAGCAGAGATGAGGGTGGAGGTCAGGGAGGAGTTAAGCACAGCTGAAAGGCTGTCAGAGAGGTTGTGTCCTGTGAGGTTTGAGGTCCTGGGTTAATGGGGGAACCCCAGGGTGCTCAGACTTATGCTGAGGTCCCCCCAGCTCAACCTGATTTTCTATTTGTTTATTTTTATCTTTTAATTGATTTCTTTAGAGAGGAAGGGAGAGGGATAGAGAAATAGAAACACCAATGAGAGAGAAACATTATAGATCAGCTGCCTCCTGCACGCCCCCTACTGGGGATCGAGACCGAAACCCGGACATGCACCCTGACCGAGAATCAACCCGTCACCTCTTGGTTCCTGGGTCCGTGCTCAACCCCTGAGCCACATCAGCCAGGCGTAACTGGATTTTAATGTTCTGACACCCCCTTCTCCGTCTCCGCCCACAGCCCCTCCCTGCCTGCCCCTCGCCTTTGTCTGTGTGGGGATCCCTTCCCACCCCTTCTTCCTGTGCTTGGGGCTCTAATTTCCTCCTTCATCCAACCCCACATCCCCTACAGGAGTCTCAGAGGACGCGGCAACAGTCCTCGTTATGCTCATCCCTCCTGTTACTCCTGGAGGTCTGGGGCGGAGTGGAAGGCTTGAGCATTGGGTCAGTCTGCCACCTTGTTCCAATCTTGACCCTTCTGCTCTTTACTTTCTAAAAACCGCTCAACCGTTCTGGTCCCTCGATGGCACGCCCTCTCCATTTCCAATCTGTTGAGTTCCGTGATACTTTAAGTATGTCTTTGCTGCCCGGCTGAGGTGGCAGGTACAGAAGGCAACCAATCACTGTTCTCTCTCATGTTGACGCTCCTCTCTCCCCCTACCCCCTCTCCCTTCCTCTCTCTAAGCATGTCCTCAGGTGAGGACTAAAAAAATTAATACATCTTTGCTGTCATTTCAGTAGGGTCTTGAGCAGACGTTCAGTCCACCGTCTCAAAACAGATTTCTCAAGTGACCTGTGAATCGGGAAGACGACTGTGATTAATGAGTAAGTGAATCCCCTTCACAACCTCTAACCTATAATCCAGTCTTCCTCCTCTACTTGAATACCCCAGTGACGTGGCACTCACTACTCAAAATATAAACTGTGGACACGCTGGTGGCCTACCATCCCTCCCTCTGACCTCTGAAATGCGTTCACCCCCTGACCCCCCTATCATTGCCTTTCAGTTACGGCGGGCTCACGGAAGCTCTTGTCAAGATTAACCGTTACCTGGGGTTTACTCAGAGGCAGAATAAATGCTGGATCCTTGAGTGACGTGGCAGAGGACGGATGCGTTTTGAGTGACAGGGAGGAGGGGGTGGACCCTGGCAGGGGCCCTCCAGAGAGAAGCTCGGGTGTGCAGAGCAAAGGCGGTGGGGAAGCAGCTGAAAAGCGAGTCCAGACCGGGAAGCTGGAAACAGCACTGGGCTCTCACACTGCAGCTCACCTGCCTGCCTTGGTCCCGTCCCCAGAGGAGGTTAGTCCTGAAGCTTTATAACGTTAATAGGTGATACTGTGCGAAAGCGGCCATTCTAAACTGACTTTTCTTTCTCATTTCTCCTCATTTAAAAACACCAAAAAACACACTTAATTCTTAGTCACTTTAGGTGATGTGTTTGAAATGTTAGGAAATGGAATTTTTACTGGAATTGCATCCAATGTATAAACTATTTGGGAAGCGTTGGCTCCTGCAGGCCTAGAGTGAGGGTGAGAGCTGGCACAAACCGGTGTGAATCCGGTTGGACGACTTCCCACCCGTGTGACCTTTGACAAGAGGCCCAGGTTCTCGAACCCTCACTCCTCGCCCAGGAAACGGTGTGATAACGGGGCGCGCACACCAGCCCATCATGGTTGTCGGGGGGCATGGAGGAGGTGATACTGTAGGCGGTGCAGGACCCACTCTCTGTGATCGCTCCTGGCTGGGTGTTTAGGACGCACCCTCCCCTCCAGCCGGGAGCGGGAGGCTCTGTTCACCGGACTCTGCTGCCTTTTCCCCCAGAAACCCCGCGGGTCCCGTCCGCGCTCCGCTGACATTACTGCCCCCGCCGCCGCCGTCTGCGGACCGGACCGGCTGCTGTGCCCTGTGTTTCGTGCATCAGGCCCCAGGGCAGGTAGGCCCGGAGCTGGGAGAGGGGTGGCCGAGCGAAGAGAGGGACCGCGACTGGGAAGGGCCCGGAAATGGTAGCACAGACCCAGAAACGAAACCGAAAGCTGGAAAGGAGGGGAATCGGGGGGAGGAGGGGGCGGGAGTGGGGTGTGAGAGGGCGTGGGGAAGCTGGGGAGACCGCTCCGGAGCATCGGTCCCGCTCCCCATTCCCTCTCCCCAGGCGCACGACCTGGACGGCCCCTGGGACCCAGAGGCTGGAGAGCGCTGCGGCGCCCGCGACCCCCACGCAGAGCCCCTGCCCCCGCTGCCCCGCGGGCCATGGACGTGTACCGCACCCCCGCCGCCGCGCTGGACGGCCTGGTGGCCAGCAGCCTGCAGCCGCCCGCCGAGTTCGTGGGGACCGTGCGGCGCGCCCTGGGCGACCTGGGAGCGGCCCTGAGAGAGCGCGGGGGCCGCCCCGGACCCGGACCCGGACCCGGAGCCGCTGCCCCTGCGTGGCGGGTGCTGAAAATCGCCAAGGTGGGCCCTCAGGGAACAGGGGCGACCTCAGGGGACAATCCTAGAGGACGCTGGGCACATTGAGATGGGGGGGGGGGGGCGTTATCAGTCTTTCCATTCATTTTATCACTTAGCACATTTACTCGCTCCTGGCGTTCACAGGGACCTGAACATAGACTGCTGCTCACAACAGCTCTGCGTGGGAGGTGCTATTTACCCGCCTTGACAGATAGGGAAACTGAGGCACGGGGAGCCGAAGTAACATATCCTCGCCTGTAAGAAGTCCAGTCAGGATTCAAAGTCAGGAAGTCTGATTCCTGGATCTATGCTGCCAAGGGCTGCCTCTTATTCATTCATTCACTCATTCATTCACTCATTCATTCTTCACTCACACATTCACCCAAACAGACCATGGACCTCACTAGGCCTGCCCCTAAGGATGCAGATATGATAATTCTCTAGAATAGCTATAACAGCCCCATTTACTGAGGAATCACCGAATAACAATGAGCATTGTCTTATTAGTCTTATCTCATGTAATCCTCCCATTTAGTCTGGTGGAGATTATTGTCCCTGTTTTTTTTTTTTGGGGGGGGGGGGTTTAAAAATATATTTTATTGATTTTTTACAGAGAGGAAGGGAGAGGGATAGAGAGTTAGAAACATCAATGAGATAGAAACATCGATCAGCTGCCTCCTACACACCCCCCACTGGGGATGTGCCCACAACCAAGGTACATGCCCTTAATCAGAATCGAACCTGGGACCCTTTAGTCCCTAGGCCGATGCTCTATCCACTGAGCCAAACCAGTCAGGGCAATTGTCCCTGTTTAATGGATGGGGAAACTTAGCCTGGGTCGCTTTTTGTCACGCTGACTCTGAGCTCAGGACGCCCACAGACTCGGGGAGGAGACAAGTGCCACCTACTGTGTCCTCAAGACAAACTCCAGGGGTGCCGGGTGGATCCAGGAAACCTGGGGGGCATAGAGGGGCACCTGGAGCTTATAGGGGAGAGATGAAAGCAGGTGCGAGCTGGCCTCAGAGCAGCCGGCAGTGCTGGGGCTTTGGAGGCCCGGAGCCGTGTGGCCACAGTCCCCACCTAGCCCACTTGCCTCACTCACCCTGCCAGCCCCTGGGCACTAGGATTGGAGAGTGCAGAATTCTGAGGTTTGTTTTTTCTTCACAGGGAGGCTCCTCTGGCCGGGGCACAGCTCTGAGAGGTGGCTGTGATTCTGAACTTGTCGTCTTCCTCGACTGCTTCAAGAGCTATGAGGACCAGCGGGCTCTGCAGACAGAGATCCTCAAGGAGATGAGGGTGCTGGTGGGATCCTGGTGGCAGAAGCCGGTCCCTGGTTTGAGCCTTAAGTTTCTTAAACAGGACACGCCCGGGGCCCTCCAGTTCCGACTGGCATCCACAGACCTTGAAAACTGGATGGACATTAGCTTGGTGCCCGCCTTTGACGCTCTGGGTGAGTGGGCAAGATGTCCCGGGGTTGGGGCAAGACCATTAGGAGTAAGTCAGGGCCAACAGTTCGAGTCCTGCCACCAACTTGCTGTGTGACCTGGGCCACCCTCTCTGGGCTTCCGTTTCTTTCTTTTCTTTTTTTAAGTATATTTTTAAAATTGGTTTCAGAGAGGAAGGGAGAGGGAGAGAGATAGAAACATTGATGATAAGAGAGAATCATTGATCGGCTGCACACCCCCCTACTGGGGATCAAGCCCACAACCCAGGCATGCGCCCTGACCATGAATGGAACCATGACCTCCTGGTTCATAGGTCGATGCTCAACCACGGAGCCACGCCGGCTGGGCATGGACTTCAGTGCCTTGACTAAACATACTGGGTTTGGACCAGACAAGGGCCAAGAAGGCCCATTCCTCCTGGATCTGTGGTCCCTGTTCCAACAACTGGGGAGAGTTTTCTTCAGCCACTGCCTCCTGCAGCGCAGCTCAGCCCTTCCATACACACCCCGGAGGAGAAGGCAGATGGGCACATGCCCGGCAGCAGGGGTCTGGGGACAAGGCCAGAATTCTGCAAAATCTCATCTTTTATCTTAAAAGCATCAATGGGATTTTTCACTCCCTTTTGTAATAAACCCACGCTTGATTTAATATAATAATATGCATCTGTGAAATGCAGATAATAATTACAGGACAATAGTAGTTTGTTCTGGAAAGACTTTATGTGTTAATGTGTGTAATGAACTCAGAGCAGTGCCTGGCACGTGATAGGGCTATATGAGTGCTTGCTATTCTTATTTCTATTCTTTTTTTTTTTTTTATATTTTTTTATTGATTAAGATATTACATATGTGTCCTTGTCCCCACGTTGCCCTCTACCCCCCACCCCCCCACCCCCGCTCATGCCCTCACCCCCCCGTTGTCCATGTCCATTGATTAGGCCTATATGCTTGCATATAAGTCCTTTGGTTGATCTTTCCCCCTTACCCCCACCCTCCCCTACCTTCCCTCCAAGTCCCGACAGTCCAATCAATGCCTCTCTGTCTCTGGATCAGTCCTTGTTCATCAGCTTATGTTGTTCATTATATTCCACAAATGAGTGAGATCCTGTGGTATTTATCCGCTCTCAAGTTCCATCCCTGCTGTGGCAAATGGTAAGAGTTCCTTTTTCTTCTTCCTCTTCTTAAAGAATACCTTTCAGCATTTCATATAATGCTGGTTTGGTGGTGATGAACTCCTTTAGCTTTTTCTTATCCGTGAAGCTCTTTATCTGACCTTCTATTCTGAATGATAGCTTTGCTGGATAAAGTAATCTTGGTTGCAGGTTCTTGCTATTCATCACTTTGAATATTTCTTGCCAGTCTCTTCTGGCCTGCATGGTTTCTGTTGAGAAATCAGCTGACAGTCGTATGGGTACTCCCTTGTAGGTAACTTACTGTCTTTCTCTTGCTGCTTTTAAGATTCTCTCTTTATCTTTTGCTCTTGGCATTTTAATTATGATGTGTCTTGGTGTGGTCCTCCTTGGATTCCTTTTGTTTGGGGTTCTCTGCGCTTCCTGGACTTGTAAGTCCATTTCTTTCACCAGGTGGGGGAAGTTTTCTGTCATTATTTCTTCAAAAAGGTTTTCAATATCTTGCCCTCTCTCTCCTTCTGGTACCCCTATAATTCTGATGTTGGTACGCTTGAAGTTGTCCCAGAGGTTCCTTACACTATCTTCATATTTTTGGAATCTCTTTTCTTTTTTCTTTTTCGGTTGGGTATTTTTTGTTTCTTTGTATTTCAAATCTTTGACTTGATTCTTGGGATCCTCTTTTCTGCTGCTGGATCTCTGTAAATTATTCTTTATTTCAGTCAGTGTATGCTTAATTTCTAGTTGGTCCTTTTTCATATCCTCCATGGTCTCCCTATACTTATTGAGGGATTCATTAAATTTATCGGCGGTTTCCATAAAATTCTTGAAAAACCTTATAACCGTGGCCTTAAACTCTATATCCAATCGTTTGCTTTCCTCCATTTCTGCCATTTGTGACCTGTTTCTTTGTCTCCGCATTTTGGCTGCTTCCCTGTGTTGATAGAGTGGCCCTGTGCGCCAGGTGTCCTGTAGGGCCCAGTAGCTCAGCCTCCCCAGTTACCTGGGGTGGACACTCTTGGTGCACTCTTGGTGCCTTGGTTGTTGTAGAATCACTGGGAGGAATTGACCTCCAGGCCAATTGGCTGTGAGAATCAGCTGTGTCTAAAGTGGGAGAACTTCTGTGCTGAAGACACCCTTCTGGGGCAAGACTTGCTTCAGTGGGGCTTTGGTGCTCACTGAGTCTGCTCCCTGAGTGCGTCCCTTATGGATCTGAGGAGTTGCAATCTGGATGGACCCCCTCTGACCACTGGGTACAGTGGCTCCTGGTTCTAAGGAGGTGCTAATTCAGCCTCTGCCTGAGGCCACACAGCAGGAGCCACGAAGAGGCTCAGCTGTGAAGCAATGCAAGCCGCTGCGGGGCCTTGGGCCTTCTCTTGGAAGTTCCAGGTCTGCCTGGTTCGGCTGCAGTTAGGTACATTCACATGCAAAAGCCTCTGCCGCAGCCTGGGTGGGGCGGGGTCTCAGGGAGTCAGAGGGCGGAGAAAGCAGCCATGGCCGATTCTCCGCCCGGAGTCGCGTCTCAGTGTTCCGGTAACGGCTGCAAGCACCTCTGAGGGAAAGCCGCCCTCAAGTTCGCTCGCTGCCGGACAGACCAGCTTCTCCCCGTGTGAGACCTGGGTCCCCAGAGACTTCCCGGAACCGGAGTTCAGAGCAGTCGGGAGTTGGTGATTCAAAAAGACAGCCGCGTCCTCAGGCACCACCCCCTTTCCGCGCGCGCGAGCCGCAGTACCTCTGCACTTCACCTCCGCAGCGCCTCTGGCTCTCAGCGTGCTTTTCTTTCCTTCTAGTTGTGGAATTTACACTCAGCCAGCCTTCCTGTTGTTCTGGATGATGTTTGCTCAGTCCTTTGCGGTAATTTTCAATTGTTGTGAGAGGCGGCGAATTCCCGGTGTTTACCTATGCCGCCATCTTAGTTGCTCCTCTTTTATTTCTATTCTTATTATTGTTTCTGTTATTATTATCATCATCATCATCATCATCATTTACCATGATGCTCTGGGAGATAGCTGTCTTGAGTTTATCCAGGGTTCGGCTGACCTGGCGGACAGCCACACTTTCCTAAATACCCACCTTGTTATTAATCATAATAGCTACTCCTTATTAAATGCTTCACTATTCCAAGCACTTGACATGTTTTGTCTCAGTCCTCCTCAAAACAAACCTATGAGGTCTGCACTGTCTCATCTTCCATTTTACCAGTGGGGACTCTAAGGCACAGAGACGTACGGTGACTCATCCGAAGTCACACAGCAAGTAAATGACGTCAGGGACCTAGGAAGTTCTGGGGAGTGTTTACGTTTCCCGAGCCTGGCCCAGGAGAGGGAGGCACGTACTGCAGAGCCGGCTCTGCGTTCCCATCCTGCCTCCAGCTGTATCACTGAGTGTCTTTGTGCCTCAGTTTCCCCAGCTATAAAGGAGGTGGAGAACTGTCGGCTTTGAGTGGGGATACAATGAGGGGATTGGTGTAAAACTTTCAGCACAGTGCCCCGCATGTGGTAAGTGCTCAAAACATATTAGCAATTACTGCTAAGGAATCAGAACCTCTTGCCTTGTATTTCTCCGGCATCATTTCCTCTTCGCGGGGCACGGATTAATTAAAGGCCTGTGCAGCGGTATTTTAGTATGGCCTGCGGGGAGCCGCGGGGAGGGAAGGATTGCCAGGTTACAGAACAGCCGACTCAGCAGGAAGCATCTTGCCTACTAACCTGGGAATGAGGCTGCACTTCTTCCGACGACCTCTGGGGGCGCCTGGCCATTTGGGAGCAGGAACCCTCCCTTCTGGTCCAGAGCTTTCTTTTCCTCTCTGGCTCCCTGAGGCCTCCGGGCTCTCTTCCTCATCCTCCAGCGCCCATGCAGGGGTACCCCGCCCCTCAAATCCTGCTCACTCTCCCCCAGCGCCCGCAGCTGAGCCCACACCAGCACTGCCCTTCATCCTGGGTCCTCAGCTCCCTTCCTCACTCACAGGCCTTCACATCCCCAGGTCAGCTCAGCTCCAGTGTCAAACCCAAGCCCCAGGTCTACGCCACCCTCCTCGAAAGCGGCTGCCAGAAGGGCGAGCACGCGGCCTGCTTCGCTGAGCTGCGGAGGAACTTCATGAACACCCGGCCGGCCAAGCTGAAGAACCTGATCCTGCTGGTAAAGCACTGGCACCGCCAGGTGAGGCCGGCAGTGCGGGTCCTGCGCCAGGCGTGTGCCTGACGGGATGGTGTGCCTCCGTGATAGTGAGACTGTTTCCCTGTGTTTAGCAGCCATTCGTGTTTCTCCTTCTGCGAATTGTCTGTTCATGTAATTTGCCCGTTATTTTCTAGGGGGTTAGCTGCCTTTCTTGTTGTTGATTGGGTGGAGCTCTTTATATATTGTGGGTGCTGGTTTTTATTTCGCTAACAGTGCAAATCTATCCTCCCCACCTGTGGCTTTTACTTTCACTTTGTGTATAGATCTCTTGACACAGAAAATGTTTGTGTTTTAATGTAGTCAGGTGTGTTCACCCCTGTCTCATGGGAGGTGTGCTTTGTGCATCTTGTTTAAGAAGTCTTTGCCTATTCTGACTTTCTAAAATTATTCTCCCGTGTTCCCTCCCAAAAAACTATTTTAGCACTGTCTTTTCATATTTAGGGCTTTGAAACTGTCTGGGATGTTTTATGTACGGTATGAAGTATGTGCAGTCTGTGCACCTCTGACCGCAGCCACAGGGATGCCCTGAGCCTGCACTTGGTCCTTCTCCTCCTAACGCAGGCCTGGAAGGAGGAGATCCTGGAGGCCAGCTCCTGCTCAGCCAGGGACTCGCTTTGCTTTCCTTGGGGGATAACCATCTCTGACCAACCGCTGGCCCCTCCCTGGCTGCTCCCCCCTCCTGGGGGCTTGCAGCTCGTACCTCTCCCTCCCCCACCACAACACGACCCAAGCACCTTGCTGACGCCCCAGCGTGAGGGAGGGTGGGCAACACCAGGCTGCTTTGGGAACAGGCTTGGCACACAGCACCTCGTCCCAGGCTCAGCCTGCTGGTGTCCGCCCTGGAGGCTGGGAGATCCTACAAAATTCTCCAGAGAGATGGCTCCTCCTCCTCTTCCTCCTCTGAGCCACCCCCTCCTCTCCTCCGCCCCCCCCCCCCCCACACACACACACACACACGCCCTGTCCTCTTGCAGGTGTGCCCGAAGGCGGGGCAGAACCAGATGCCCCCTGCCTACGCCCTGGAGCTGCTGACCATCTTCGCCTGGGAGCAGGGCTGTGGGAAGGAGGCCTTTAGCCTGGCCCAAGGCCTCCGCACCGTCCTGGGCCTGATCCAACAGTACCAGCACCTGTGTGTTTTCTGGACCACCAACTACAGCTGCGAGGACCCTGCAGTGAAGAAGTTCTTGCAGCGCCAGCTTGAGGGACCCAGGTACCTCCTCGTACCCAGCACCCGCTCTCCTGTGCCTGTGCCTGTGCCTGGGAAGCATTAACAATGATAAAGCAGGTCATAGCTAACGAGAGTCAAAGCCAACTGCTACCAGGGCACCTCCTCATACGGCGCCTTCAGCCCCAGGTGCAAATAAGAATCCCTTAAGGCAGTGGTTCTCAACCTTGGCTGCACATTAGAGTCACCTGGGAATCTTTTTAAAATCCTGATTTCTGGGCCTCATCCTCCGGAAATTCTGTTTTTGTTACTAATGTTGTGGCCCCACCACATAATAAAGAAACAATTTCCGGAGGATGAGGCCCAGAAATCAGGATTTTAAAAAGATTCCCAGGTGATTCTAATGTGCAGCCAAGGTTGAGAACCACTGGCATAAGGGATGTTGTTTTTTTTAAAATATGTTTTTATTGAGAGGGAGGGAGGGAGGGAGAGAGAGAGAGAGGGAGAGAGAGAGAGGCATCAATGATGAGAGAGAATCATTGATCGGCTGCTTCCTATATGCCCCACACTGGGGATCAAGCCCACAATCCAGGCCCTGATGAGGAATCGAACCATGACCTCCTGGTTCACAGGTTGATGCTCAACCACTGAGCCGTGCTGGCCGAGCGGGGGCAGTTTTTAAAGCATACCACCGTTTTGTGTGTGAGCGTTTTAGCGAGGCATAGCACATTCTGATGATTTGCTAAGAAGTGAGCTCACCTGGGAACCCCCATTAGATCAAGGCAGAGTATCCCAGCACCCCGGGGGCTTCCCCTGTGCCCCTCCCACAGGGAACCCCTTTCTGACTGTGATCATTACCTTTAAATGGGACCGTACAGCATAGACTTCTGTGTGTGCCTTCTCTCTCCCAGAATTAAGTCTTTGAGATTCTCCGTACGGTTGCGTGTAGCGGTGGCTCCTTCTCTTCCATTGCTGAATAGCGTTTCATTGTGTGAGTTTATCACAGTGTGTTCTCCATCCTGCTCACCACGCGTGTCTGGGCTGTTCCCACTCTCGGGCTCTGACGAAGAGGGCTGAGACACACGGCCTCCTATGTCAGTGCAGACACTGGGTCCTGGTATCTTATGACTCTAACATGCAGGTGGGGTTGAGGACCATAGTTCTCATTTAATCTCAGACCAGGCCCAGCAGACCAGGCGCCGCTGTGATCCCCACGTTGAAGATGAGGGAACGAGGCACAGAGAAGCCAGTTGTCTGCCTCTGGTCACACAGCTGGAAAGTAGCAGAGTTGAGATTGGAACCAGGTCGGCCTGACTCCAGAGCCCCTGACTTTGGCCGTCTTGCTAACCAGAATCTTCTTGTCCCTGTGGATTTGCAGGCCCGTGATCCTGGACCCGGCTGACCCCACGTGGGACGTGGGGAACGGGGCAGCCTGGCGCTGGGACCTGCTGGCCCAAGAGGCAGAGTCCTGCTACGACAGCCCGTGTTTCCTGCAGGCCGCAGGGGGCGCTGTGCAGCCCTGGGAGGGGCCCGTGAGTGAGGGGCTCCTGGGACCCTTGGCATTTACACCTAACTTGTGTGCGTAGAGTTTTCTCTGCTGGAGGCCATGGGGTGTGGAACAGAGTTGAAAAGTGGGGACTGCAGGCGTGTGAAACCGTCCAATCGCCCATCTTTGTGTAGTTATTGTCTGCTTACCAAGTGTCCCACCTCAGGGGGACCGTTTTATTTATTTTTTCATTAAATATTTATTGTTGAAAGTATTACATATGTCCCCCCTTTTCCCCCACGGACCCCCTCTAGCCTGCCCTGGGGGGAGTTTTTTATAATGTGTCGCCTTCATCAGGGCACCTCTTCTCATTTGCACAAGGCACCCTACAGGCTACCTCTCCCTTCCCCTCTCTGAGCTGCCGTCACCCTGATGAGGTGGGGGGCAGGGGCTGCCAAGAGAAGGAACGTAGAACCCTGCCTGTGTAAGGCAGCTCCTTCCCCAACCTTCCAGGGCCTTCCACGCACTGGGCGCTCCGGTGTGGACCACCCCATCCTGCGAGACTCTGCCCAGAGGACCCCCACGGACAGCAGCAGTGTGGATGCTGGATGCTCCAGGGCAGGGGACAGGCGGCCCTCATGCCCCGCTCCCGGCCCCTCGGTGGACGGCATCACCCCCGGTACACCGGAGGGGGTCCCGGGTCTGTCTCAGGTCCCCGCCAAGGAGCTGGACCGCTTCATCCAGGACCACCTCAAGCCAAGCCCCCAGTTCCAGAAGCAGGTGAGCAAGGCCGTCGATGGCATCCTGGGCCGCCTCCGGGAGAACTGTGTCTACAAGGCCTCGAGAGTCGGCAAGGTGAGCGGCAGGTGGAGACACCGAGGGGACCCGCCGGGAGGACCGCCGTGGGGACGGGAGGGAGTGACAGAGACACAGCTGAGGGTGGACAGAGGAAGTGGACGTCATGGAGGGCAGTTTGCTGGGGGAGGGATATATGCTAGTGTATAAGAGCCAGCTGCTTTTTTTTTAATGATAGGGGTTTTTTTTAACCGCTATCACCATAATCAGATCACTTCCCTTCTCTGCACAAAACCCTCTAAGGTTTCAGAGAGGACAGGACAGTGGCCTCAGGCTTGGGGATCTGGCCCTGGTCTCTCTCTGCCCCTCACTTACTCCACGCTGGCCTCGTGGCTGCTTCTTGAGTTCCCCAGGCACACCTCCCCACGGCTGCTTTCTCTTTCTCGAACGTTCTTCCTCCCACTTGGCTCTCTCCCTCTCCTGTGTGTGTGTGTGTGTGTGTGTGTGTGTGTGTAATTGATTTCAGAGAGGAAGGGAGAGGAAGAGAGAAATAGAAACCTCAATGATAAAAGTCATTAATCAGCTGCCTCCTGCACACCACACACTGGGGATCGAGCCTGAAATTCAGGCATGTGCCCTGACCAGGAATCAAACCGTGACCTCCTGGTTCATAGGTCGGCACTCAACCACTGAGCCACACCGGCCGGTCCCTTCCCTCCTTTAAGTCTGTGATCCAAGACCCCTTATTATTGGCCTCTACACAGCACTTAGGGCTTTTGGGGGGGGCTACTGTTTGCTGACTGTCCCTGCCTCCCCCTCCCTCTGCTCCTGGTACAATATAAGTTCCAGGAAAACAAGTAATTTTATCCACTCGCATACCCATCTATGTAATTGCTCAATAAATATCTGTTGAATGCATGCATGCATGCATGATTGAAACAGGCCAAGTACATCTGTGCCGGGAGCCAGTCCAAAGGTTGTTTCCCCAAGTATGGATTTTCCCCTGAAGTTAGGGAGGGAATAAAACCTCTTAACTAAGTGCCAGGCGGGTAATTAATCACTTTAACTATGAACAATCATGCTTAAGCTACATAATCTTTACTCCCTGGAATGGAGATAAGAAACGCCCTAACCTTTGTAATAGAGATTGATAGGATTGAATCAACTGGTATAAATACAGACGTAACAAGACAGCAAGACACAGAACTTAGTATACGGAACCAAGAGAGACAGAACCTAGGCACAGAACCTACACAGAACGTTCTCTAGAGACAGAAGAACTTCGCTGGAGAGAACATGGCAAAAGATCCTGGACAGAAACTGGCCTCAGAACCTAGAGATAGAACCTAGGGAGAGAACATGGCAAAAGATCCTGGACTGAACCTGACTACAGAAATTGACAAAAGAACCTGACTAGAACCTGGTTACTGAACCTGGCTGGAGAACCTGGACAGAACCTGGCTGGAGAACCTAGCAAGACAACATGGACACAGAACCTGGCTGGAGATCCTAAGCAGAACTTCGCTGGAGATCCAGACCAGAACTTGGCTGGAGATCCTGGCTAGGCTGCTGATCAGCTGAACGCTGTCTCCGTGTCGTACCTTCTTCGCCGACTCCGTCCACACCTTTGGGGACCCCTGGACCCGCTGGGGTTGGACCCCGGCACATCTGCAGACCCTTATGGGGCCAGGACCCCCATTTGCAACCTGTGATCCAGATGTGCAGTCAGTAGGTGCTGTAGATGTTTGGCTAAAGTCTTTGACCGCTGCCCTCTCCACCCAACCGTCCCTGTTATCTGCTGCTGCACCTTGTCTGACTTTGCACAAGCTTCGTGGGCTGGAAGGCAGATGCCATCAGATATAGTCAGATGTAGCCTGACTCTGCGGGCTTCTGATGGTCAGAGGTCACAGCCTGCATCTGTCATGGTTCCCCAAGAGCCAGCATCAGTGAGCGAGCAGTTCCAGGGCTGCAGATGGGGAGGGAGGGGTTCTGGGGGGGGGGGGCGGTCCCAGTCTGACTTAGAGTCACGAGTCTGAGAAGCTCTTTTCTCTGCAGGGGGGCTCATTTGGCCGGGGCACAGACCTCAGGGGTGGCTGTGATGCCGAACTCGTCATCTTCCTCAACTGCTTCGAGAACTACAAGGACCAGGGGCCCCGGAGGGCGGAGATCCTCGCTGATATGCGGGACCAGCTGGAATCCTGGTGGCGGGATCCGGTCCCCGGCCTGACCCTGAACTTTCCAGAGCAGACCATGACCAAGGCGTTGCAGTTCCAGCTGATGTCCCCGGCCCTAGCAAGCTGGGTGGACGTGAGCCTGCTGCCGGTCTTTGATGCCGTGGGTGAGGGGTGCCTGGCCTGTGCCTTGGGGGGATCGGGGAACATCGCACGGGGTGCTTGCAATCCTCTCTGTGACTCACTCCCCTACTTCACCAGCATTGGCACCACTCTGTGGTCCCTACAGTCCTGGTCATCATCAGCTCGTAACTATTTAGTGCTTTTAACTTTACAGAAGTTTTCATTATAAACTATTTCAAACACACAGAGAACTATAGACATCATATGACCGTGTACTCCAATTCCGATTTCATGAGTGTTAACAGTTAGTTCTCCATGTCTGCTTGGGATGTGTGTTTTTTTAAAAAAAATTACGTGTAATTTCCTTCCTTTTTTTTTTGTTAATCCTCACTTGAGGGTATTTTTTCCATTGATTTTTAGAGAGAACGGGAGGAAGGGGTTGGGAGAGGGGAGAGAAAGAGAAACATCAATGTGAGAGAGACACATCGATTGATTGCCTTTCGCAAGCGCCAGGGCAGGTGATCAGACCTGCAGCCCCAGGATGTGCCCTGGCCTGGGAATCGAATCCACCACCGGGAATTGCACCGTGACCTCCTGGTTCATAGGTCGCTGCTCAACCACTGAGCAACACCAGGCTCTTTTTCTATTTTTAATTGTAGTCAGAAAATATACCCCCAAAATATCAATCCTTTGGAATTTGTTAGCACTTCCTAAGTTTCCCATGGCCGAACAGAATGCATGCTTCCCGTTGGTGAATGCGGGCTTCTGTACAGACCCTTTAGAGTTAGCTTATGATCTGTGTTCAGATCTGTGTTACTTATTTTTTCCTTATTTTGTCTATCAGTTTATGAATGGGCTCCCAGAATCTCCCGCTCTGAGTAGAGATTTGTCAGTTTCTCCTTGTAATTCTGGAAAGTTTTGATTTTAATATTTTGAGGCTACGTTATTAAGGAACATGTAAGAATATAATTATATTTTATTGGATTGTTCCTTTTGTCATCAAGTAATAATCCTCCTTATTTCTAAAAAATATATATATTTGCCTTAAAGCCTTTGATCTGACATTAATAGAGCTGCACTGGTCTTGGCAGTGTTTTCCTGAAATACCTTTTCCATTTTTGATTTGTAAGGATATGCGATTAGATTTTAATTGTACCTTTTATAAGTAACATAAAACTAGAAGACAAAAAAGGAGCAAACATTAATAATATGATCATTTTGAGGGGGTTAGTAATATATTAGAACAAACATACAAGACACTAACAATAAGAAAGATTATTTTCTTTGCTTTTGTTTTTATACCTGTGTAAATTAAAACCTCTGCGCATAATTAGAAATATTTTCCCCCCTCACTAATGCTTCTTAATTTCCAGCTCTTCCTCTGCATTCATTTCCTTCTTACAGAAATACATCCTGTAGTTCTTTCTCAGAAGGGGTTTCTAAGTGATACATTTTCACAGACTTGGTCTAAAAAACCTTCTGTCTCGCCTCCCTCCTGGAGGAAATGTTGGACATTTGTTCTTCTCGGTTTCTACTGTCTTCTGACCTGTATAGTTGTTGATGAGAAGTCGGCTGTTTACTTCTTTGTTGGGGTGTGTGTGTGTGTGTGTGTGTTTCCTTTTTGGTAGCTTTTACGACTTTTCTTAGTCCGTAGCACCCTTCAGTTTCTGATGTTTGCATATTGATTTCTTGTTAATCATACTCTTTGGAATTTGTTGTGCTGAGTGGATCTGAGGACTCAGTTCTCCCTTTAGTTTTGGGAAAATGCCTCCCAGTAGCCCTTCAAACATCGCTTCTCCTCGGTCTTCTCCGTTCTCTCCTTCGGAAGCTCTATTCAATGGCGTCTCGCCTCATCCTCCACGTCTCCTCGCTCCCATGGTCCCATCTCTCGGGGCTGCCTGCTGCTCCGTCCCTCAAATATATCCTCCAGCCTACTTTCTTCAGATGTGCCTGACCTGCTGCCTCAGCTTAACTTTTTAAAAGTCCCAGGGCCTTTGTCTTTCACTTCTGTAAGTTCTAGGAGTCCTGATTGTTACTCTGTGCTCTAGATTGTGTGTCGTTGACCGCGATGTTATATATTTAATGTTTACATATTAGAGGCAGGTGAGCGGCTGGGTTGGGAAATGCCGCTGTCTTCCATGAGCCATGCATCCCCGGCATCTTTCAAACACCCACAGGGCAGCTCAGTGCCGGCACCAAACCGGACCCCAAGATCTACCGGACTCTCCTGGACAGCGGCTGCCAGGACGGGGAGCACAGGGCCTGCTTCGCCGAGCTGCGGAGGAGCTTCGTGAACTCCCGCCCGACCAAACTGAAGAGCCTGATCCTGCTGGTAAAGCACTGGCACCGCCAGGTGAGGCCTCCCTGCCCCCTTGCTCCCCCAGAAAACCGGTGCTGTCATGGCAACTGCCTCGGCCAATCAGCTCGTCCCCAACACAGCGCCCCTCCTTTGAGTTTTATTGGGCATTCCAACCAGAAGGACTGCCTCCTCCACCTTCATTCCCTGATAGCCCCCCCGACCCCCACACCCCCCCCCAACCCCGAGGCTGAGAGAGCATCTTCTCCATCAAGTCCCCAAATCCTCGTGTATCTTGTGGTTGGCGTTCCCCGCCCCTTCTAGCCTTCTCCCCTCACACTGCTGATGCTTCCCCTGCTGTTTCTCACCTTCAAGCCTTTGCTTATGTCACCATCTCCTTCCCAAGCTCTGCTAACTCCTGGGCAGCCTTCAGAGCCCCCGCAGCAAACACTCTCTGAACGCCAACTCACTCATTCAACCGACATCTGCTGACCACCCACCGTTGCTAACTGGTGATGGGTGTTAAATGCCAAGATGACTGTGTGGCCGACCCCACTCCCGTTAGAAAGACGCTAGGCACCGACCAAGTCTGAGCTTCTCCGTGGCCTTAGACAGGTCACTGCCCCGCTCTGGACCTCAGTTTATTCACCTGTAAAACGAGAAGGGTGCGCCAGGCCAGCCCCAGGGTTCTATTCTTCCTGTGTGTTGTGTTTTCTATATTCCCCGCCTTCTCCAGGGAGGGCCGTGCTCAGCAGACAGTAAGTGCTCACTCCGCTGACTCTGTGATTTGGGGGGAACGTAGGTTGCTGCCCGGAACAAAGGAGAGCGGCCGGCCCGTGCCTCCCTGCCCCCAGCCTACGCCCTGGAGCTCCTGACCATCTTCGCCTGGGAGCAGGGCAGCGGGAAGGACCGCTTCAGCACGGCCGAAGGCCTGAGGACCGTCCTGGGGCTTGTCCAGCAGCACCGGCAGCTCTGTGTCTTCTGGACGGTCAACTACAGCTCTGAGGACCCAGCTCTCAGAGCGCACCTCCTCGGCCAGCTCCGGAAACCCAGGTGCACACCCACTGCCTCCTCTCCCGCCCTATCATCCTCCCCCCCACTGTCACCTGGAGTCACTGCATCCAGGAGGGGTCCAGGGTGGGGTTTGGGGGCCCCAGCCCCATCCTCGCTCTGCATCCTTCTGGACTCTTTGCTGAGGAAGCATGGACACATGACCCCCAGAGGAAGCCAGGGCCACTTACGTTAATACAAGACAATCCCCGTCTCAGATTAAGGGGTCACCCAATAGCTTCCGGACCAAGGTGGCCAGGCAGGGACCCTGCCGTGCGTGGGCAAGATTGCGCCAACCCTAAGGTGCTGACAGTCTTCTTGCTCTCCCCGCCCCCACACCCCGTCCCGAGGTCTCCCACCCCCTGCTCCTTCACGGATTCTCACCCGCCTGCCCACCCACTCTGCCCCAGACCCCTGATCCTGGACCCTGCCGACCCCACCTGGAACGTGGGCCTGGGCAGCTGGGAGCTGTTGGCCCAGGAAGCGGCCGCCCTGGAGACGCAGGCCTGCTTCATGAGCGCAGACGGGACGCCCGTGCAGCCCTGGGATGTGATGGTAAGAGGTGGGTCCTGGAGCAGGAAGACGCTGCTGGTGCCTGTTCCAGGGTCCCAGGTCCCCCTTCCCTGCCGGTGCCACATCCCCAGCTGCTAGGAGTGTTGGGTGCTGATGGCTTACAGCCAAGGCACCGGCTGTTCCATCCCAGCGAGTGCTTGAGTGACATGCGCATAAAAGGCCCGCCCAGTTGCAAGGCAGGACCAACTCTGTGACGCAATTGCTGCTCCAGAGCCCGCTCTGGCTTTCGGGGCGGGGGTGGAGGGGGGGAAGCTTTCCCCAGCTGAGCGCCCCCACCAGCTCCTGCTCCCCTCGCTCCCCTTCTGCAAGCCCTGTCCCGGATAATCACATGCACAGGAATCCCCGCCTCAGCTCTGCTTCTGGGGAGCCCCACCCACCACAATAGCCACGGGCAGCTCCCCAAAGGATAGAATTCCATCGCATTTGCTATTTTGCAGAATCTCATAACCAGTGCTTCACAATGAAGGCAATCCATCAGGCGTGGGCCTCATTCTTGCCCCCATTTAAAGATGGGGAAGCCTGGCCAGTGTGGCTCAGTGGTTGAGCGTCGACCTATGAACCAGGAGGTCACGGTTCGATTCCCGGTCAGGGCACATGCCCTGGTTGTGGGCTTGATCCCCAGTGTGGGGCGTGCAGGAGGCAGCTGATCAATGAGTCTCTCTCATCCTTGATGTTTCTCTCTTTCTCTTCCTTCCTTCCTCTCTGAAATCAACAAAAAAATATTTTTATAAAAGATGGAGAAACTGAGGCTTTGTGGTGATGGTGGAACCAGAGCTTGAACTCTGGTCCCTCTGATGCTGCGACCTGACAGCCAGTTGAGAAGAAAAAGAGTCATAGGAGATCGTTCTCACGGGAAGCCAAGGGGCGGGGCCTGGGCATTCGCAGGCAGTCCTTCTCCACCTGGCCCTACCTGTGTTCTCTCTGCAGCCCACGCTCCTGTACCAGACCCCAGCCAGGGACCTCGACAAGTTCATCAGTGACTTCCTCCAGCCCAACCGCCAGTTCCTGGCTCAGGTGAACAAGGCGGTTGACACCATCTGCTCCTTCCTGAGGGAAAACTGCTTCCAGAACTCGCCCATCAAAGTGCTCAAGGTGGTCAAGGTGAGCTCCAGGGAGCTGTGGGCCCAGGGCTGCAGGCCGGTGATCTCATATCGGCCCAGACCAGGCCTGACCCACTTCTGTGAGCTCTGCAGCTGCCAGCACAAGGCCAGACATGGAAGAGAAAGTGGAACAAGGTCACGGGTAGATGGCCCAGGGAGAGCCCATATCGGCCCAAGAGGTTCCTTTGGGTTGCTCATGGCAGCCAACTCCAGAGAAGCAGCAAAGGAATGTGTTGGCTGATGGGAATGGATGGCCTGGAATAGGCTGCCTTCAGGCACAGCTGGATCCAGGAGCCCATGCCGGATCGTCAGGGCTCGGCTTTTCTTCCTAGCTTTGGGCTCTGCTTGCTTCTGCTTGGATGGGGCCTGTCCATGGGATGGTCCTTGGCATCTCTTCTAAAAAGGGGAATTCTCTTTTCTCAAAAGTCAAAGAAGTCTGGGAATTGAGTTTCATTGGCCTTGCAATGTGTCCCTTAACCAGTCACTAGGGCTGGGGAGGCACCGTGTGCTGGCTGGCCAAGCCTGGGTCACATGGTAGGGTCAGCCCTCCTGGGTGGAGCGTGGAAGAGCAGTGATTCCCCCGAAGAAAGCCCAGTGCTGGTCCCAGCAGGAGGAAGGGTGCTGGGGGTTGACAAAAAGTCACAGGATCTGCTCTATCAGATATGACCTCGTTTCACAATTGGAGTCACCGGGAGACACAGGTCAACTCTGGAAAGAGCGTCAGCATAGCGTCAGCCAGTGACAAGTCCTGGGCCTGGGGGCTTGCTGTGTGACCCCAGGCAGATACCTCCCCCTCCCTGTTCCCTGCTTCCTCCTCCATAGCACCTGAGGACAGCAGCCCGACTCACTGGTTCTCAACTGTGGCTTCACTTAGAATCCCAGGGAGGCTTTTAAAATAGATACTGATGCCTAAGACCCCTCCCAGGACAATGACATCACAGCCTCGGGGACATAGGAACCAGGCCTGAGTCGTTTTTAAAACATCACCAGCCACAGACCTGAAAAAAAAGAAGGAAAACTCAAATCTCTCCCAGCCCCAAACATGACGCAGTGGAGAGTCTGCCTTAGTTGGAGGATGGCACCTTACGTCTTGCACATGTCTCTTTCTCACAGCTGTGCCCTATATTAACCCCCCATTAAAGATCTGAGACAGAGACGTTAGGTGACTTGCCCAAGGTCACACAGCAAGTTCCTAACTCAGAGTCCAGAGCCCATCGGCTCGGGCAGGAGGACAGGAAGCAGGACTTGAGGGCTCCAGCCACCTGCCATGTCCTCCCCAGGGCGGCTCTTCGGCGAAGGGAACGGCGCTGCGGGGCCGCTCCGATGCCGACCTGGTGGTGTTCCTCAGCTGCTTCGGCCAGTTCACCGAGCAAGGGAGCACGCGGGCCGAGGTCATCTCAGAGATCCGAGCCCAGCTGGAGGTGTGTAAGCGGGCGCGGCAGTTCGAGGTGAAGTTCAACCTCCCCAAGTGGGAGAATCCCCGCGTGCTGAGCTTCTCGCTGACGTCCCAGACGATGCTGGACCAGAGCGTGGACTTCGATGTGCTGCCGGCCTTTGATGCCCTCGGTGAGGTGCCGGGCACCGTCCCGAGAAGGGAAAGGCGGAGGCGGCGCCGCCGGGGACGGTGGCAGAGGTTGGGCGCCTGCTCGGTCGTAGGCACTGTCGGGGTACATGTTTATCACCACTTCCCTGCAAAGGGTCTGCAGAAAAGGACCCTGAGCTGGCTTCTGGTCCCATCAGTTCCACCAGCATCTGGGTGACCTTGACGGGGGGCTCCTCTACCTTGAGCCCCAGTGTCTTCGTGGAAGTGTCTCGGTGCATCCCCAGCTTTGGATATGTGTGTGCCACCTCCCCCGCCTGCCACAGACCCGTTCGATCGGTCCAATCCATACGTGCACCTACTGCGTGCCCAGCACACTTCCAGGCTGGGGAATCCCCGAACAAAACAGATGCAAATCTCATTGTATCTATTCAGTTCTGAGTCTGGATAGCAGAGTTTGCAGAGTGAGAAAATCCCACCCAAACCCCCCGCCCCATATCTCAACGTATCCGGTGCCTGCATTTTGCAAAACAAATAGCAAAGGAGAGATTGGTCCCGAGATGTCTCTGAATCTGTCCAGTTCCTTCGTTCAGAGAGCGAGAGCTGGGATACCAGGGAACGCCCTCAATGGCCTGGGACCAGGCTGACACCAGCTCTCACCTACAATTCTGTCACCTGCAGGGGCCTCTCCCTTGTTAGAGTCAGAGAGTCGGTGAGGAGAGGTTAGCCCTGAGCAGAGCCCCCCTTCACGGTGGGTAAGCAGGTGGGGTGTGAGGGGCAGAAAAGGGAGTCAGATCCTCACCAGGGGTTCAGCTCTGGGTCACGCCACATCTGTGTTCCCCCTCAATGAGGTGAGGGTCACCTTCTCCCCGTCTCCAGGCCAGCTGGCCCCGGGCTCCAGGCCCCCGCCTCAAGTCTACGTGGACCTCATCCGCAGCTACAACACCCCGGGCGAGTACTCCTCCTGCTTCACAGAGCTGCAGCGGGACTTCGTCGTCGATCGCCCCACCAAGCTCAAGAGTCTGATCCGGCTGGTGAAACACTGGTACCGGCAGGTTCGGCACACGGACACCCCCCCCCTCCCTGCCCCGCCCCGCCCCCTCCCAGTGGCCCTGGGCTCTGCCTCTGGAGCGCTTTTCTGGGAGGAGGCAGGCCCAGCCCTGGCCGGAACCCTGGGTCGGTGGAGGTTATTCCTGGCGGCGGGGCCTCAGTTTTCTTACCTGTAAAATGGGTCTGGCATTCCTCTATCACAGGAGTTGATGGAACAGTGCAAGGCAAGGCATCTGGCATAGCAGGGGCTCTGTGAATGTTTGGGGAGGGTTTGCCGGCTCCTCTTCACTGCTGTATGGACTGATGCATCGTCTTCCTCCTCATTTCTTAGTGTAAGAAGATGCCCAAGGGGAAGGGCTCTCTGCCCCCCCAGCACGGGCTGGAACTCCTGACGGTGTATGCCTGGGAGCAGGGGGGGCAGGACCCCCAGTTCGGCATGGCCGAGGGCTTTCGCACTGTCCTGGAGCTGGTCACCCAGTACCGCCAGCTCTGTGTCTACTGGACCGTCAACTACAGCCGTGAGGACCAGACCGTCAAAGATTTCCTGGAGCAGCAGCTTCGCAAGCCCAGGTTCGGACCCACCCCCACGACCCAGAGTCCGAGACCCAAGACCACCTTTCTCCCCGCCTCCTGAGGGCGCAGAGCAGAGGCGGGAAGCCACTTTCTAGGACTGAGCTCCTTTCCAGCCCTCCCCGTGGGGAGACTCGGGGCTGCGGGTGAAATGCCAGACCCCACGTTAAATTGATTTCGGATAAACAATGAAGAACTTTTTAGTGTAAGAATAGCCCGTGTAGTCATTGGGATATACTTATGCTTAAGAAAACCAACACCCTTGCCTCGCAGAGCGGCTCAGTGGTTGAGCGTTGACCTATGAGCCAAGAGGTCACGGTTCGATTCCCAGTTAGGGCACATGCCCGGGTTGCGGGCTCGATCCCCAGTGTGGGGGGTGCAGCAGGCAGCCGATCGATGATTCTCTCTCATCCTGGATGTTTTGATTTCTCTCTCTCTCTCCCTCTCCCTTCCTCTCGGAGATCAATAAAAACATATTTAAAATTTTTATCACACAAACAAACAAAAAACACACACCTGTATTCATTGTTTATCTGGAGCTCAAATTTAACTGGGCATCTTCTATATGTGTTTGCTAAATCTGGCCACCCTGCCTGCGAACCCCCAGGTAACATAAGCTGCCCCATTCTGTGGGATTTTGCCCGCCTCTGCAATGCTACAGAGATAACAAAGACGCTTTCACAACTTGGTGATGTATTTCCAGTCAGTGGGTAATGGCTACATGGAGTGATGTGTTGATAAGGACCCTGAGGTTGTGAATGGGCTCCACTGAAAAGGGTGATCTCATCAGTTAGTGGCCATGGATGGGGGAGCGCGATGGAACCAGTGCTGTGGTTGAGTAACAATGCCTGCTTTCCATGCAGGTGGGACAAGCATGGCCTGAGCTCTGTGATTGGTTAGTAATGTCTGTCCTGGATACAGCAGGCAGAAGGGGCTCGTGTGTAGTGTCTTCTCCAATCTGCCCTTAAGTGTGTGCCTGGAGCCCAGAGGAGTCTCTGGGCCCTGCCCCTGCCCCCTGCAAAGTGTTGGGTAAGGGGGAGAATAGTTCAAGCAATCCCGCAGGTCGATACGCAGATGTTGCCTGGAAGAGGACTGACCTTGGGTGGGAATTGCAGGCCCATCATCCTGGATCCGGCAGACCCGACAGGCAACCTGGGCCCCAATGCCCGCTGGGACCTGCTGGCCAAGGAAGCTGCAGCCTGCATGTCCTCCCTGTGCTGCATAGACAGAGATGGCACCCCCATCCAGCCGTGGCCAGTGAGGGTGAGAGACCTGGGGTACAGCAGGGAGCATCTTTGTTGGGGGGCAGTGTGGTTGGGGAAGGGGCATGATTCCTCCCAAAGGGGCAGGGCCCAGTCATGGCCCAGACGTGCCCCCGCCCCTCCATGTCCTATCTGTTCCCATTGTCACATACTCAGCTTCTCTAGGAAGGTTAGAGGTAACCACATATTCTGTCATCTTTCCCAGGCCGCTGTGTGAAGCCCAGAAAATCAGTGGTCCTACCAGATGGACAGATGGACACCAGCCCTCCACGTGGGGAGACTCAGGGTCACATGCCAGATGTGTGTGTGTGTGTGTGTGTGTGTGTGTGTGTGTGTGTCTGTGTGCATGTGCGCGTAGAGAGAGAGAGAGAGAGAGAGAGAGAGAGAGAGAGAGAGAGATTGATTGATTCAGTCCAGCCTCCCAACGGACATCCTTGCCTCCCACTCAGCTCTCTTCCCCGCAGCCCACTCTGCTCACCCAGCCCATTGAATCCCCCCTTGTATCCAGTGGGCACTGTACTCAAACACTGCCCTGCCTCCGCGGCCTACATGCTGGAGTCCAGCCTGCATGGGTGGGCACCTTCCTGGGTTTCCGGCTTCCCCGTCACCCTCGTGACCCTCTGGTCTCAGCTGCATCTGCCCCTGCCGAGAATGTCCTCCTCCTCCTCCCCGACTTCTCTCTCCCCATCCACCCCAGCTCACATCCGTCCTCCTGACACTCATCTCTGAGCTCCCAGTGGCTGCTCCTCCTTCCCTAATCTAAGAACTTTTCACAGGGATGGTAGCGTTTTCATCTCATTTGTCGGCCACACTCAGTTGGTTGTGGCTGTCCGGAGCCCTGTGTGTTAAAGGATTTTGAAGAATGGATGCCTAGCTGCGAGGAGTGGCCTAATCGATTAGTGATGTCTGCCATGGATGCGCTCGAGAAAAGTAGTGGCACGAGTGCCGTGATGGATTAGCAATGTCTGGTCTGCGTACAGGAGGAAGTGCTCAGAGACCTACAGTCTGTACGTGTCTGGGCTATGGAGAAGCTTTCTGAGCTCAGCTGCTAGAAGGACCGCGTGCCGGGATCGGCTGCTTATGTCTGCCACAGACACAGACAGAGGGAGTGGGACATGCATGCCATGCGGTCCCTGTCCTTGGACACTTCACCGGATGCCTTTTCACTGGAGGCCTCCTTTTGGTCCCGTTTCGCTCCTCCCCCCAGTTTGCACATCTTAATGCCATGCCATACTTCCTTTCTGGTTTTTTTTACCAAGTTCCTATCTTTTTTCTGCCCTGCTACAATGCCACCAGTGGGTCCTCCATCCCCAGAGCCTACATGGTAAGCCAGTGCCCTAGTGACAGTGCCAGCTGCCTCTGCCTCCAGAGCAAACCCACCCAGCGCATGCAGGGGGCACTCCTGACCTCCAGTGCAGTCAGTGTCCCTCTCAGTCCAGGACCAGCATGGAAAACAGAAAGCACTCCGGAATCGGAAGTGGAAAGGGATTCCGTCCAACCCTGGACCGGCGGAAGGAGGCTGGGGCCACCTGGATGCTAGTTTCGTTATTGGACCACCGCGGCTGGATCAGAGGAAGCTGCTGCTCTCTGCCCACCGCCTCCCCCACAAAGCTGGGGTCCAGACCAGGGACGTGGACTCCCACAGCCACACACATCCCCCAGGACTGGGCCACCAGGGCTGCAGGGGGTGCTTCTGTGTCTCTCCTTTAAAATAAACAAAATTACAGCCAGGATCTGGCTACAGGGGGTCTGAGAAGTGAGCATCTGGCCTCCCACCCCGGGTAGCACAGGGAGGAGTGGAGGCCCAGGGCCGGAGGCAGCGTCCGGGACTGTATTCCCGGCACAGGCACCATGGATGTCTATTGAGTGGGTGAGGGCGTGGTCCCTCCCAGAGGGGAGGCCCGGGAGGCGGAGAGGAAGCAGCCCGGTTCTTAGGGGACACAGATGGAAGGATTTCAGAGGGAAGGGTCTGGGTGATTATGATGTGTCCACATAGAGTCATCGGTTGTAACAAATGCCCCACCTTGGTCGGGAGGCTGTGCGTGTGTGGGGGCAGGGAGTACATAGGACATCGCTGGGCCTTCTGCACAATTTTGCTGTGGACCTAAATCTCAAAAAAACAAAGATTTTAAACAAAAAAGAGCAGACTCGGCGGCCGTCCGTGAGCAGATCGACTTCTCTCGTTCGCGCACCTCGCTCGGCTTCCTCTGCGACCATGTCTGACAAACCCGATATGGCTGAGATTGAGAAATTCGGTAAGTCGAAACCGAAGAAGACAGAAACGCAAGAGAAAAATCCACTGCCTTCAAAAGAAACGATCGAACAGGAGAAGCAAGCAGGCGAATCGTAATGAGGCACGCGCCGCCCGTAGGCACTGTCCATTCCACAAGCATTGCGTTCGTGTTTTACTTCCTGTAGCTGTTTACCTTTGCAAGATGCAAAGAGGTTGGATCAGTTGAAGTGACTGTGCTGCCCCTTTTCACATCAGAACTACTGACAACGAAGGCCGCACCTGCCGCTCCATCTGCCTGGCTGGCTCAGGGGGGAAGGAGGACAACTTGCATGTCGGTGAAGGTGGGAGCTGGATGGGACGAGGGTGAAATCTAGAGTTAAAACCAAGCTGGTCCAAGGGGTCCTGCGGGCTGTAAAATGCAGTTTAATCACAGTGCCATTTTTTTGTTGTTCAAATGATTTTAATTATTGGAATGCACCATTTTTTTAATATGCAAATAAAGCCGAAACCGGTTTGGCTCAGTGGATAGAGCGTCGGCCTGCGGACTCAAGGGTCCCAGGTTCGATTCCGGTCAGGGGCGTGTGCCTGTGTTGCGGGCACATCCCAGATGTGCAGGAGGCAGCTGATTGATGTTTCTCTCTCATCGATGTTTCTAACTCTCTGTCTCTCTCCCTTCCTCTCTGTAAAAAATCAATAAAATATATTTTTAAAAAAATATGCAAATAAAAAGTTTTAAAACCTGAAGGAAAAAAAAAAGAGCAAAGGGGCATAATATCTGCAACATGCCCTCAAATGGCTCCGTAATGAGACTGCTGATAAGACGTGCATACAGAATAAGGGCAAAGGTGAACTATTCCGGGTGAGGGTAGAAGAGGGAGTTCTTTGTACTCACCTCACACATTTTCTCAGTATTTCAAATTATTGCAGAATCAAATCTTTAAAAAAGAAAAAAAGCATGGACTTTGGAATCAGGTGGTGTGGGGTTAGAGCCCAGCCAGACAATGTACTCGCTGTGTGACCTTGGGCAAGTGTTTCCACCTCTCTGAGCCTCCACATTTTTACCTAAAAAGGGAGCCTTATGAACCCTGCCCAGCTGACCTCTAAGTGTTACAGCGAAAGTCAGATGAGGGCAAGGAAGGACCTTGAATGGACAGGTGTAATAGTCAAAGTTCTACAAGAAAAAAAAATACCAATAGGATAGATAGATGTAGATCTAGAGATTTCTTTTAAGGAACTGGCTCGTGCTGTTGTGGAAGTTGGCAAGTCCAAATTCTGCAAGGCAGGCTGGCAGGAGGGAGACCCAGGGAGGAGCTGAGTGAGGCAGCTCCAGGCTGAAGGCATCTGCTGGTGGGATTCCCCCCCCCCTTCCTCGAGAGAAGTCAGTCTTTTTTACATACAGGCCCTCAACTGATTAGACGAGGCCCACCCACATGCCAGCTAGAGTGTAGTCGCTTTATTCGAAGTCCACTGGTCTAAATGTCAGTCTCATCTTCAAAGTACCTTCCCAGAAAGATCTAGATCAATGTTTGACCAAATATTTGGGTACCTTGGCCCAGCCAAGTCGACGTATGAAATGAATCCTCATGGCAGAGAGGGACTGCCATGGGGGTGAAGAACCCACACCTTGGGGATTTCTGCTTCTGAGGCAGCCACTCGAGGCTCTGGGAGTTTCGTTTTCATTGCTCCGGGCGGGAGCTGCACATCTGTCTCCCCTCCGACCCCTGTGCTTCTCCGAGCTTGTTTCTGTCCTTACTGGGTGGGGGAAGTGGCTGATGAGGCCGTGCGGGTTTCCACGGATGCTGCGGAACTGGGCCCACGGACGCTCCCACCCACCGAGCACGCTGAGCCCAGCTCAGCCCTCGTCTCGCTGTGTGTCCCCGAGCAAGTCCGTCACCTCTCTGAGTCTCTCTCCTTGCCGCTCTCACGGAGTCTGACTTCTCAGGTCCCTGGGAACAGGAAGAAGGAGAAAGGGGCTTCAAGGAAGAACTCTGCCACTAAAAAATTGTATTTGCTTAGCAAACACTTCTATAGCAGTGGCGACTGCCCGGGCCTGTGCTAAGCGCTTGGCAGGTACTATTTTATTCCTGCATTCGCCCAATAAGAGAGACGCCACTGCTGTCCCCATTTTACAAAGGGGGGAGTCGAGGCTCAAAGAGGCAGGCGGCGTGCTCAGGGGCGCAGGTCTAGCGCGTGTCCAGCTCCAGCAGCTGCGTGTTTCTCCAGGAGGACGCCTCCCCGGGAGCAGCTGAGAGGCAGGTTGTGCTGAGGGGCGGGCAGAGCTCTGGATTGAGGAAGTCAGCTAAGAATGCTGGTCAGTTTCAGTTTCCTGGCTCTTTCCTGCTTCCAAGCTCTCAGCCCAGAGATCCTCTCCCTCCTCTGCCTCCTGCTCTGCCGTGAGCTGTCGCCCCGGCAGGCAGCCAGCAGCAGCAATGAGCAACTGGCTATCCGCAGCAATGGGCAACTGGCTATCCTGGCTATCTGGCGCCTGCCCAAAAACGGTGTACTCGGTGCCTGCTCAGAAACTGGATGAGTATATCCAGACCTCACTGAGGCCGACTGAAGACTGTCAGAGACAGATCGATGAGGCCGTGGACACCATCTGTGCCGCCCTGCAGGAAGCCACGGAGCCTCCCACGGTGACAGATGTCGCCAAAGTGAGTGGAGGGCCGGGGGTCGGGGCTCCTGGTTATCGGAAGTCAGAGTGACTTGGTGCTGAGCACCTACTGTGTGCCAGGCCCTGGGGGCACCATCCATCATCCTGCCCGCCCCACCCTCGGAGAGAGGATGGGATATAGTTTAGAGTTTAGGAACACAGACTCTGAAGTCCGCTCTGCCCCTTATTACTGTGTGACCCGGGGTAGGTTGCTTAACCTCTCTGTGCTTCCGTCTCCGAATCTATAAAATGGGAGAGGACTAATACCCATCTGAAAGTGTTGTGAGGCATGAGCACATAACGTTCTTAGTACAAGGCCTGGCACATGGTTCGTGTTCAGGAAATTCGCTGTGATTACTCCCTGCTGTTGTTCTATCCTTCTTATTTACAGAGCAGTAAACTGAGGCTAAACGACTTCGGTGAAACTACCCAAAAGTTGCTCGGTGTTGCCATTTCCAGCAAGTGGGGGCTGGGAGCTCTCATCATTTAGAAATGGTGGGTGCTATGGGCACAAACCCCAGGGCTGAGGCTAAAGATCCTGGGCCTTCAGGGAGGAAAGGGTGCTGGGAAGGTGCCAGGACTCTAGGGTAGGGAGGGGGGTGGAGAGCCCCACTCCCACCGCCATGCTCTCTGGCGCTGGAGACTCGCTTCTCCGCAGCCGCGTGCTACCTCGCCTCTGCCGTCACACACACCCACTAGCCCCAGCAGGAAAGACACTTGGATACTGGTGTCTCCTGCCGTGGCCCAGAGCAGGAAACTGAGGCACAGGGAAGTTATTCAACAGCTGGGAGTTATTTAATAGCACCATCCTGCCTCTCGATATTAATTAACTTATTCTAATTAAAATAAACGCACAAAAAGATAAACGCACAGAGCTAAGTATGCAGCCTGTTTGGATCGCCACGAACAGCGGAGATGTGTAACCTACACCCGGCTCGAGAAGCAAAACATTCCCAGCCCCACCCCGGCCGGCTTGGCTGAGCGGATAGAGCGCCAGCCTGCCGATTGAAGGGTCCCGGGTTCGATTCTGGCCAGGGGCACATGCCTGGGTTGTGGGCTTGGTCCCCAGTGCGGGGCGTGCAGGAGGCAGCCGATCAATGATTCTCTCTCATCATTGATGTTTCTCTCTCTCCTTCTCCCTTCCTCTCTGAACTCAATAAAGAAAGATATTTAAAAAATAAATAAATAAACATTCCCAGCCCCTGAGGGCCCCTGCACTCCCTGTCCTGTCATCGCCCTCACCCAGGGCAGCGCCCTCCTGCCTCCTGACGGCAGAAATCATTTTGCCAGTTTTTAACTTCGTCTACATGTAAGGTGGCCACGCATCCCAGTTTGCCTGGGGCCGAGGGGTTTTCTGGGACGTGGGTCTTTCGACGCTAACACTGGGTACACCGGACCCGTTGGTCACCCTGGATAAATGAGTCCACACCCTGTGTGGCTTTCGTGTATGGTCTCTTTGACCCCCCCTGTTCAGGAAATGTCTGTCGTGGGGGCAGGTGATGTTTGTCATTTCACTGCTGTACAGGATTCCACTGCGTGGATGCACCGCGTTTATCCACGTGCGTTTCCTCTAGGTTGGGGCTAGATGAAAAATATTGCTATGGGCACCCTGGTCTTTGGGGGGACCCATGGATGCCTGCGTCTCAACTTTAAGACTATGGTAACATTTGGGGCTTTTTCTCAAGTTAAGAAATACTACTGCCCCCTGGGGAGTGCCGTGACCCCCAGAGGGTCCAGACTCTCACACCTGCTTCTCTGTTGCTGGCAGGGTGGCTCCTACGGCCGGAAAACGGTCTTAAAGGGCAACTCCGATGGTACCCTTGTCATCTTCATCAGTGACCTTGAAAAATTCCAGGATCAGAAGGAAAACCAACATGAAATCCTCGACAAAATCTGGGAGCAGCTGAGAGCTTGTCAGCTCGAAAGGAAGCTGACAGTCAAGATGGAGATGCAGAGGTCCAATGGTGACCTCACCGTCCGGCTGTCCACACGATGGCAGAGCGTCACTTTTGACGTGCTGCCCGCCTTCGATGCTCTGGGTGAGCCCTCCGGGGTATGTGGGGGTGGGGGTGGGTCGTGAGGGGTGTGTTGAGAGAGCAAAGTCAAAGAGGGATGGTGGATAGGTACCTTTGGTGCTTTCCGAAGTGGAGGCCTTCAAGAGAGGAAGTCCCTCCTACCCTGGCTTTCTCTCTTCTCTAGGACTTCCCATCTCCTCATTGGCTTTTTGTGGTGGTTGTTAATCCTCACCCGAGGATATTTTTCCATTGATTTTTAGGGAGGGTGGTAGGGAAGGGGGAGAGACAGAGAGAAACTTCGATGTGAGAGAAACACATCGATTAGTTGCCTCCTGCACGAGCCCTGACCAGGGCCTGGGCTGGGGAGGAGCCTGCAACTGAGGTACATGCCCTTGACCGGAATCAAACCCTTTGGTCGCAAACCGACGCTCTATCCACTGAGCAAAACCAGTTGGGGCTCCTCATTGACTTTTTTTTTTAATTTATTTATTGACTAAAGTTTTACATATGTCTCCTTTTTCCCCACTTGACGACCCTCCCCCCACAAGCCATTCCCACTCCGGGCAAGCCCCCACCACCCCAGTGTCCGTGTCCGTTGGCTATGCTAATATGCATGCATACAAGTCCTTTCGTTGCTCTGTAATCCCCCTTCCCTGCCATTTGTCTCTGGATCTATTCTTGTTCATCAAATTATGTTGATCATTATATCCCCCATATGAGTGAGATCAAGTGATATTTATCTTTCTCCGACTGGCTTATTTCACTTAGCACAATGCTCTCCAGTTCCATCCATGCTGTTGCAAGTGGTAAAAGTTCCTCCTTTTTTATAGCAGCGTAGTACTCCATTGTGTAGATGTACCACAGTTGTTTAATCCACTCCTCTGCCTCATTCACACAGGAGGCTCCTGAGCCTGTGTTCCTATTAGCTGTGCAGCAGGATTCTGATTGGCACGCCAGTCTGAGAGCCACTGCCCTGCATTGCCTACCTCACAGGCTCAGTGCTGTGGGGAGTGCACCTGCCACCTGGCAGCCATCCCAGCCTCCGGGGCTCTGCCTGCACCTGCCTCCTCAAGGTGCCTGTACCCTTGACCCTGAACTGGAGCCCTCACTGGATGGGCTCACTAGCGGGATATACTGTCTGTGATATATAAACTTCATTTTCTTCCAGGTGTAGGCCAATACCATTTTTCAAAGAAACCGTCTTTTCCCCACTCATTTGGAACTCCTTCTTTTTTCATTTACAATGGTTTCTCCTTTCCTCTGTTTGCCCTCACTGGTCTTGTCTTCAGCCAGCACCATAGCATTTGCATGATGGTCCTTTTAGACTTCATTTGTCACCAAGCAGGGCCAGCCACCCCTCACCGTTTAAGCAAACAGACCTGGCCTCTGACAGAGGAGGCAGTTTGCTACCAAACCACACCCAACCTTCAAAGTCCTTTTTCTCTTTCCTGCCAGACTTGAGCGGCAAGCCCAGCCCCTCGACCTATCGAGACCTCAAAAGAGCCTTGGACCAGACAAAAGCCAGCCCCGGTGAATTCTCCGTCTGCTTCACAAAACTCCAGGAGGATTTTTTTAACAAGCATCCCAGGAAGCTGAAGGATTTGATCCTCTTGGTAAAGGCCTGGCATCGACAGGTCAGTTTCATCTCGCATTTCCTCTGGCTGCCATCCACTTCCTTTGGGTCACAATAACTTGCAATCCAGTAAAGGACAACAATCTTAGGTATTCAGCTCGATGCATTTTATATTGTTTTAAGCAAAACTCGGAGTGGCCTCAAGCCCACTCCCAGTGAACACTCCCCCAAACAGCCCGCTATCCTAATAGCTGTCACCACAAATTCGTTTTGCTTGCTTTTCAACTTGATATGAATGGAGTCTGACTGTATGTACGTTGTGTCTGCTGTCTTCTGTTCAACGTTCTGTCTGAGAGATTTGTCCATGTTGGTGCACGTGGTTGTCATTTCTTCATTGTTTTGTAATATTCCATTGTGTTACTACCCACACATTGACCCACTCCTCTACTGACGGACATTTGGGTCGTTTCCATGTTGGGGCTAGTATGAATTATGTGACTATGGGTATTCCCTGCATATGTTTTTGTAAATTTCAGGCTCCTCTTTAAAATATACATTTTCTTTTATTGATTTCAGAGAGGAGGGGAGAAGGAGAGCTAGAAACATCAATAATAAGAGATAATCATTGATCAGCTGCATCCTGCATGCCCCCTACTGGGGATTGAGCCCACAGCCCGGACTTGTGCCCTGACCAGGAATTGAACCTCTTGGTTCATAGGTCAGTGCTCAACCACTGAGCCACATCGGCTTGGCAAGCACTCCTTTTTCTTGAGTAAATATGCAGACATGCAACTGCTGGGTTATAAAGTATATGTATATGAAAACATATGTGTGTGCATGTACATATACACATGGCATATATGTATGCGTGTGTGTGTCCACAATGAGGAATAGGTACATATTTAACTTTAGGAAATACTGACAAATACAGATAGGCCTTGACTTACAATGGTTTGACTTAAGATTTATTTTTTAAATATGTTTCTATTGATTTTAGAGAGAAAGGAAGGGAGAGGGAGAGAGAGAGAAACACCAATTGGATGCTTCCCGCACACACCCCGCCCAGTGACCGAGCCTGAAACCAGGGTCTGTGCCCTGACCGGAAATTGAACCATGACCTCCTGATTCACGGGGTCGATGTTCAACCACTGAGCCACACCGGCCGAGCTGGTTTCTTGATTTCAGAGCCCTGCCATGGGAAGAACTGGGTCTCTAAGTTAGCTGCTGCCCCATTCTTCTCCTGCAGTGCCAGAAACTGTGGGGGGATCAATCCCTGCCACCCTCGTATGCTCTAGAGCTGCTCACCGTCTATGCCTGGGAAGAGGGGTGTAGAGAGGAAGACTTTGACATAGTTCAAGGCCTCAGAACTGTCCTAGAGCTCATCGAGCAGCAGGAGCAGCTGTGTGTCTATTGGACAGTCAACTACAACTTTGAGGATGAGACCGTCCGGAACGTCATGCTGAACCAGATCCGATCATCAAGGTACCAACTTCCGTGACCCTTTCTCTTTCCCTCTCCATCTGCATGCCAGACTGTGCCCCTTTAGAATGAGCCCTCACCCCTGTCCTTTCCAGCCAGGGGCGTGCCACACAGATGCCAGCAGCACTGGGCAGGGAGTGAGAAGAGGTCTGAGGGAGGAACCCTGACCCATGCTTTCATTCACACTACAAACCATCATCACATTTTGTGCCCCAGACAAACCCTTTACAGAAGGAAGAGGCTAAGAGAGAAGAAAGGTCCGCAGGAAAAGGCCATCTTATTACATTACTAGAGGCCTGGTGCACAAATTCGTGCACAGGTGGGGTCCCTGGGCCTGGCCAGCGATCAGGGCCAATTGGGGCTGATCAGAGCCAATCAGGACCAGCCATCTGGAGGAAGAGACTGCGGGAGGTTGCTGTTCACGGGAGGTTGGCTGTGGTAGTGCACTAACCACCAGGCCGCAGCTCCTGCATTGAGTGTCTGCCCCCTAGTGGTCAGTGCGTTGTCATACTGACCAGTCGACTGGTTGTAATGGTGGCTTAGGTTTTTATATATATAGATTAATAGAACGCCTCTCTCTGTCAACCAGAGAGCACAGGACCAGAGAGGCTGGACACAAAGCACCTCAGCAATTGAGAGAAACCACAGGAGTTACCAGAAGCCCAGTCTAGGCCTCTCTCCCTAAAACTGATTTCTCTTCCCACAAGCAGCCCAACTGATTTTTTTTATATATATAATCTAATGGAATTCATAGGCCAGTCATCTTGGATCCAACTGACCCCACCAATATGATGAGCAACGATGAGACGTGCTGGCGACTGCTAAAAGCAGAAGCTCAAAACTGGTTATCTTCTCTCAGCCTGAGCGGGTCACCTGGACCATCTTGGAATGTTCTGGTGAGAGGGCGCTCCAAATATAGCTCCTGTCATGCTTCAGGGAGGGCCCTCCTCCTCCCGACACCCGGCTGCAGTCTTCCTCGAGATCACCGGTCGGTGTCCTTGGGCTGCTGTCACAAAGCCCGAGCCCTGGGTGGCTTAAAGCAGCAGAGATGTTTGCTCTCACAGTCCTGAGGACTCGAAGTCCAAGCTCACGGTGTTGGCAGGGCTGTGCTCCCTCTGAAGCCTCTAGAGGAGGATTCCTCCATGCCTCTCCCGGACTCGCTGGTTGCCAGCAATCCTTGGCTTGTGGCAGCATCACTCCCATCTCTGCTCCATGGTCTCGTGGCCCTCCCCTCTGTGTTTTCACAAGGTCTTCCCCCCCCCCCCATGCTGTCGGTCTTGGCGCCTCTCTCCTCTTCTTATTAGGACCCAGGGCATATTGGATTAGGGCCCACTCGAATGACCTCATCTAACTCAATTGCCTCTTGCAAAGACCCTATATCCAGATAAGTTCACATTCATCGATTAGGACTTCAACGTATCTTTTGAGGGGACATAATTCAATCCACAGCATGCCATTGGGGGCCTCCCCTTCCGAGCAAATGATGGTAAAGTACAGATTGAACAAAAAGCAAAGGGGGGGGGGCACCTGCAGGTGAAAGATTTGGGTTCATTTCTGCAGGTGGGAGGGTGGTGGCAGATGAAATGGAGCAGAGCCCAAGGGTACTGGGTGACTCTCTCCCCTGTGGGTCCCGGGACAGGCTTTGAGCGCCGTTCGAGCAAGTGTGTGGGACCAGAGTGAGAAGTGGGGCTGGAGACAGGAGGGGCCGGCTTTGAACCCGAGACATTCACTTTGCCCCTTCCATCCCCCAAAGGAGAAGCAAATCTATCGACATAGATTCCCCCTGCGCTCCCAGAGCTTATCAGAGAAAGGCAATCCCACGCAAACCTTCTCAGGTTGGACTGCTGACGCCGTAAAGCGCTCCTTGGGGTCGTAGGGCGGGGCGAGGGGCACAAACCCATCAGTGAGGCCAGAGAAGTGACCGAAATCCCGCATTTCACAGAACGGGACTCCTTTATGCCCAACTGAGGGGAGGCAGAGTCTGTCTTCTATCTGCACAGAAACTTGAGGGCCAGTTGAGCAAAGGTCTGGGAAGTAAACGTAGATGTAAATGAACTGAGCCCCAGAGGTGTAGCTCCCTGTGAACAGGAAACCCTAGTTGGATGCAGAAGGATTGGGACCCTCTGAGCAGTCACCCCTCCCCCCCACTTTCACCAGACTCCTGGTCTTTGCTCCCAGCCTCCTAAGACGGCTGTTTAAAACATGTTTCTCCCAACATTTTATTCTGAAAACTTTCAAATGGATAGAAACCTTGCAAAAATGGTCAGCGCACTTCACCCAAATGCCCTCCATGTAGATGCCCTTCACCTAGATGCCCAATGTTCAATGCTGTCCACATTTGGTGGGACAGTTCGTGTGTGTGTGTGTGTGTGTGTGTGTGTGATTAGTTAAGATGAGGCCACCTAGACTCGCATGGGACCTGACTCCAATGACCAGTGTCCTTATAAGAAGATACACAGAGCCCTGGCCAGTTTGGCTCAGTGGATAGAGTGTCGGCCTGCCAACTGAAGAGACCCAGGTTTGAATCCAGTCAAGGGCACGTACCTTGGTTGCAAGCTCAATCCCTGGCCCTGGTGGGGCACGTGGGGGAGGCAACCAATCGATGTGTCTCTCTCACATCGATGTTTCTCTCTCTCTGTGTCCCCCCCCCCCCCGACTCTCTCTAAAAATCAATGGGAAAATATCCAGGGGTGAGGATTAACAACTACAACAAAAGAAGACACACAGGGACACAGACACAGGGGGGAGCAGGTCACGTGCATGCAGAGGCCGGGGTGAGAGTGATGCGCGTACCAGGCAAGGGGCACAAGGGTGACTGGTGCCACCAGAAGCTAGAAGAGGCCAGGAAGGGCCTCCCCTGGGGGCTTCAGAGGGAGCATGACCTGTCCATGCTTTCATCTTGGATCTCTAGTCTCCAGATTGTGAAAGAATGAACTTCTGTCGCTTTACGCCACCCGGTTGTAATTTGTCACGGCAGCCCTGGAAACCAATCCCGGGTCCCCGCGTGTTTAACAGAAGCCGATAGAACCTGGGAAAAGAAATGAGTATGATCATCAGAAATCTGTCATAGCCACAGGGAATGGGAAAGGAAGGGAGGGACAGAGGAGGGGAGGAAGCTGAAGAGTGCCGGCCATGACTGACGATGCCACAGCTGGAAAGAGTGTGGAGACAGGGGCATGAAGGACCCCTGGGGAGAAGGATTCAGTTCTCAACTAGGGGAGAGTATTGTCTCTGGGTACCCCCCTAAACTCAAATATGTCCCTGGGATATCCTATATGATAAAAGCCCAATATGCAAATCAATGGAATGGCAGAACGACCGGCTGGTGGGGGGCAGGGTCGCTGAGCGGGCAGTACCAAGCCAGCCAAGGTGGGTAGAGGGAGGGGCTGGTGATCTGGGGGGGGCAGTGACTGGCGGCAGCAGGGTGCTGGGGGCAGGGCCGGCCGCTCACCCTGCCTGTTGCCTCCCACAGAGGGAGGCCAGACTGTGGCTTAGGCCTGCTCCCTGCACTGTCAGTTGGACATTCCCCTAGGGCTCCTGGACTGCAAGAGGGCACAGGCGGGCTGAGGGACCCCCCTCCCACCCTCGAGGGCACAAATTTTCGTGCACCGGGCCTCTAGCATCACTATAAGAAGTAAGGACAACAAAGATGCCTGGGTTGGAGAGCAGGAGGGAGAGACGGGAAGAAAACCTGGGACCCGCTGGCGGGGGGCTGCTCACAGCAGGGTTCTTCCGCCCTCCCCCGCCCCCTCCCGCAGCCAGCACCGATCCATGAGACCCCAGGCCACCTTCTGGATAAATTCATCAAGGACTTTCTCCAGCCCACGAAAAAGGTCAACATTCAGATCAAGGCAGCTGTTGGCATCATCTCGAAGTTCCTTAAAGAAATCTGCTTTCGGCATTCAGCTACGAAGGTCCAGAAGCCCATCAAAGTGAGCACTGGCCTTTCTCTCCACGGGGGTTACTCGCGAGATACTAAGCAGTGGCTGGCGCCGTCTCCCAGCAGAGGCAAAGGATGAGGAAGGGCATTGGGGAGGGCAGCAACCAGAACGCTGCTGCTCTGAGTGGGGTAGGGGTGGTGCCGAGGGACTGCTTCTGTCATTAACAACATACTTTTGATTCTGCAAGCATCCTGGGGCTGCCGGCATCCGTGGCGGTCCTGGGCTTGTAGCTGCATCACTCAGGTCTCTGCCCCCATCTTCCAGTCACCATCTCCTCGCTCTTCTCTCTTTTTTTAAAAATATATTTTATTGATTTTTTTACAGAGGAAGGGAGAGGGATAGAGAGTTAGAAACATCGATGAGAGAGAAACATCGATCAGCTGCCTCCTGCACACCTCCTACTGGGGATGTGCCTGCAACCAAGGTACATGCCCTTGACCGGAATCGAACCTGGGACCCTTGAGTCCACAGGCTGATGCTCTATCCACTGAGCCAAACTGGTCAGGGCCCTTTCTCTTCTCTTAAGGACACTTGTCATTGGATTTAGGGCCCGCAGATCCTTAATTTAGTTAAATCTACAGAGACCCTTTTTCCAAGTAAGATCACATTCACGCGTTCCCACAGACTTACCTTTGCAGGGCCACCATTCAAACCACGGGAGATTGTAAGTGTGGTGTATAATGAACCAAAGGGGGGCCTCTTTCTTGCTTCAGGGACTGGAGCCTGATTCCTCCCATCAGCTGAGCTAGCGATTCAGTGGATTGGATCACGCTTGTCCATGACCTGAAGGCCATGGGTTGACCCTCTTCCCTCTGTCTGCCTGAATGAATTGGGCTGGAACAGGGATTAACTGCAGATCTGTACACAGGGCACACTCCCCTCTCGCCCCTAGCTGCATAGCCAGGCACTCACTACCTGTGGGTAAAAGAATCCTTTTCTCTACAAAAATGGAATGAGCCCGACCGGCGTGGCTCAGTGGTTGAACTGACCTATACGCCAGGAGGTCATGGTTCGGTTCCTGGTCAGGGCACATGCCCGGGGTTTGCAGGATCGATCCCCAGTGAGGGGCATGCAGGACGCAGCCGATCAATGGTTCTCTCTCATCACTGATGTTTCTCTCTCTCTCTCCCTCCCACTTAATCTCTTTTAAAACACACACACACACACACCACACACATACATGCACAAACACATACACACACACCACACACACATACACACCACACACACACACACACACATACACACCACACACACCACACACACATACCTACCACACACACATACACACCACACACACATACACACCACACACATACACACCACACACACACACATACACACCACATACACACCACACACACACACATACACACCACACACACACACATACACACCACACACACATACACACCACACACATACACACCACACACACACACATACACACCACATACACACCACACACACACACATACACACCACACACACACACATACACACCACACACACCACACACACATACCTACCACACACACATACCTACCACACACACATACACACCACACACACATACACACCACACACATACACACCACACACACACACATACACACCACATACACACCACACACACACACATACACACCACACACACACACATACACACCACACACACACACACACACACACCACACACACCACACACACCACACACACATACCTACCACACACACATACACACCACACACACATACACATCACACATACACCCCACACACATACACACCACACACACACACATACACACCACACACACACACATACACACCACACACACACACACACACACACACACACACACACACACAGTGGCCCTCAGAGAAGCCCATCGGGCAAGGAGCTGTGCCCCAGACCCAGCTCCTCAACACAGAATGCCCTGGCAGCTCCCCTGGGGCTGTCAAACCAGGGCCAGTGAGCTAAGGCTAGTGTTTACATTTTCACACACTTGCTGAGAAAGGAAAGGGGGGTGGGGTGGGGGAGAGGCAGGAAGGGGGAAGTGGAGAAACCCTTTACCAAAAGTTGGCCAAGCCCGGTATCTACATTATGAATATTCACCCAACGATGTGGGGATGGCAGGAGAAAACAATGTTTCGGGGACAGATGAGAAGTGCCAGCATAATGACTGCGCCCGTTGGATTCCTTCCAGGCCACGAGAATGGAAAGGGAAGCGGGCTTCAGGCTAGGAGACAAGCTCAGGAGGTTGACTTGAGACCTGGGGGTCATTTATCACCAACCCGGGAGTGTACATACGCACCTCCAAGGGTGTGAGAATCGCCGCCTTCGGAACCCCATTGTTCTATTCGTGTGAAAAAGCAAACAGTCTGCTGGGGGCTCAGCCCTCACTGGGCCCCAACTTGGAATCTCCTTACTCAGTCCCACCCGTGGGAGCCCATGGGGGTGAGGGGCTCTCGCTGTCTCCCATCCTGCCTGTCCTCCTCACTAGGCAGGGTCGTCCGGCAAAGGCACCGCCCTCAGGACCGGCTCTGACGCCGACCTCGTCGTGTTCGTGGACTCGCTGACAAGCTTCCCCTCCCAGAAAACCGAGCGCTACAACGTCATCAAGGAAATCAAACACCAGCTGGAAGCCCACCAGCAGCAAGTGACCGATCAGGACGTGGAGGTGACGTTTGAGATTTCCAAATGGGAGGCTCCCAGGGTGCTGAGCTTCTCTCTGAAATCCAAACATCTCAACGGGAGCGTTGACTTCGATGTGCTGCCGGCATTTAATGCGCTGGGTGAGGCCCCCCACACCTTCGCTCCTGGGGGAGGAAGGGTCTGGAATGATGGTGGGAGCGGGTAGAGAGAAAGCCGCGAGGCTCAGGAATGGGTCAGGAATGGGTCATGGGGCCAGGGCCCCCACAGGTGGCATTCGTAATGGCAGCAACACCCTGGATAAGTAGCCTCCCCACCCCCCACCCCCAATCCATGGTTTTCCTTTTCCTGGTTTCAGTTCCCCGTGATCAACCACGGTTGGAAAATATGAAGTGGAAAATGCCAGAAGTAAGCAACTCATCGGTTTTAAATCGCATGCCATTCTGAGTAGCGTGAGGAAATGGCGCTCCGTGCGGCCTAGGATGTGACTCCTCCCTTTGTCCCGCGTGTCGCGCTGTGCATGCTCCCCGCACGGTAGGCCCATAGTGGCCGTAGATGATCAGACCACCTGCCGTATCACCGGGCTGTGTCCCAGGCACCCTTACTCACCGCACAATGTCCCCAGAGCCCAGGAGTAGTGTTGCTGGTAATTCAGACATGCCAGAGAGAAGCATGAAGTGCTTCCTTCACATGAAGAGTTCTGTATGTACAGGGCCTCTCAGAGCGTGTCCCCTGGAGATAAGGGAGAACTCAGTGCACCTTATACCTGTATACATTTTCTTATTTTTCTTTGTTTTATGTGTGTGTGTGTGTGTGTGTGTGTGTGTGTGTGTGTGTAATTTGATTTCAGAGAGGAAGGGAGAGGGAGAGAGAGATTGAAACATCAATGGAAAAATATCCTAGGGAGAGGATTAACAACAACAACAACGAAAGTCCCTTACAAATTCAATTCATGGGTGACAGAAACATAACACGGCAATAAAGAAACCAGGGAGCCCTGGCCAGCATGGCTCAGTGGTTAGAGCGTCGATCTGCGTACCAAAGAGTCATAGGTTCGTTCCCAGTCAAGGGCGCATATCTGGGTTGTGGGTTCGCTCCTTGCCCCCCCATTGGGGCACGTGCAGAAGGCAACCAGTTGATGTGGCTCTTTCACACCAATGATATTCTCTCTCTGCCTCTCCCCTTCCCTCCCACTCCTCTAAAATCAATGGAAAAGTATCCTGGGGAGAGGATTAACCAAAATAATAATATATACTAATAATAGAGGAATATGCAAATTGTCTGGGACTCCATCACAGTAAAGACCAAACAGCAGGCTGCGTGGGGCGACCAGGCTGGCAGGCGGCTTAGTGAGGGACAACCAAACGACTGAACAGCAGGCTACGACCAGGCCAGCAGGGGGGTTAGTGAGGGACGATCAAATGACTGAACAGCAGGCTGTGTGGGGCGACCAGGCCAGCAGTGGGGGCAGTTTGGGATGACCTGGCTGGTGGAGGGACAATTGGGAGCGACCAGGCCGGCAGGGGGGGCAGTTACGGGTGACCTGGCCAGCAGGGAGGCAGTTGGGGACGACCAGGCCGGCAGGGGGGAGGGGCAGTTGGGGATGACCAGGCCATCAGGGGGACAGTTAGGGACCATCAGGCAGGCAGGCAGGCAGATGAGCAGTTAGGAGCCAGCAGTCTCGGATCGGGAATCAGGCCTAAACCAGCAGTCAGACATCCCCTGAGGGGTCCCAGATTGGAGAGGGTGCAGGCTGGGCTGAGGGTAACCCACCCCCCCCCCACACATGAATTTTGTGCACCGGGCCTCTAGTAATAATAATAATAATACCACTAATAAAGATACAGACCATATCATTGGTAATATCATTACTCTAGAGATGATCCCAATACCTTACACGTACACTAATAGAATTCAAACTAGTTTCCCAGAACTGAATTATAGTTGTCAGACATGTTTTGAAATGGTTACTTCCTGTGTCTGTAGATTGAGGCATCCTGTCATTCTCTCTCCTCCACATAGAGAAGCTGGGACCTCTCTGGAAAGTCTACACCAAGCTCATTGCTCAGTACGAACAGCACTCGGACACCCCGGGGGGCGAGTTTTCTGCCTGCTTCACAGAGCTGCAGCGAGACTTCGTCAGCTCCCGGCCCACCAAGCTGAAGAATTTACTTCGCCTGGTGAAACACTGGTACAAGCAGGTCTGCATGGGACGGTGACACTGGCACCTACCGAGTCTCCGCGCCCACACTCTCCAGGCTGGGGCCCAGCCACCTTCACGCTGGGACCTTTGTGGGGGACCCCTTCACTAGCCCCATGGAGGGGGGTTGGGTGTAGATCACCTCCTGCCAGCAAAGCTGCTACCTGGGGTTCCCTTGGCCCTTGTGCTGCCCCCCAGAGCATTCTGCAGGAATGCCAGTGACCCTGCCCGCCGGGCAGATGCCATTGGGCTCTGCATGCCTCCGAGGTGCCAGCCCAGCCTTCCTGCTGCTCCAGCCCCTACCTAACAGACACGGACGCCGTCTCCTGGAGGCAGGTGGGAGCTACAGGTGGTCCCAGGGGCTGCGTTTTCTATAGTATTGGTTAGCCCGCCTTCACTTTTTTTAAAAATATATTTTTTATTGATTTCAGAGAGGAGGGGAGAGGGAGAGAGAGATAGAAACATCAATGATGAGAGAGAATCATTGATAGGCTGCCTCCTGCACGCCCCTTACTGGGGATGGAGCCCGCAACCCAGGCATGAGCCCTTGACTGGAATGGAACCTGGGACCCTTCAGTCCACAGGCTGGCGCTCTATCCTGAGCCACACCGGCCAGGGCCCGCCTTCACTTTTATCACGTCTTGCAGACAGGGTCGTTTCTGAGTATTTTCTCGACAGCAGGCGCCCAGCATGATAACTGTTCTTGCTAAACTGTCTCCTTTCTGTGTCAGGCTCCCCGAAACCTGAGCTGAAGCCTGAGCTCTGTGGCTCCCAGCCCAGAACATTAGAGAGATCCCTCCACACCCCGCCAGCCACAGGGTGCTCCCAGGGCTGAGGCTACAGGCTGACCTGGAGCAGGTCACTCCACTTCCCGAAGCCTCGTGGCTTTATCTAAACCCGCAATCACCACGCCTGCTTTTGGGGTGGCTGGGAAGGTTAAGAATGGCGTCAGCAAAATGCCCGGCCCCATCATTAGCACACGGTGGCCACAATATAAGCCTAGGAAGTCATGGATGGTCAAATCACAACAGAGCAGCCTCCGTGTGCTGCCCAGGAGAGGCTAAGTGAATGCCTGCAGACCTGCCCTGCTCACACCTCCCCTGGCCACTCCCATCCACACAGCCTGCTCACACCTCCCAGGCCACTCCCACCACACAGCCTGCTCACACCTCCCCAGGCCACTCCCACCCACACAGCCTTCTCACACCTCCCCAGGCCACTCCCACCCACACAGCCTGCTCACACCTCTCCAGGCCACTCCCACCACACAGCCTGCTCACACCTCCCCAGGCCACTCCCACCACACAGCCTGCTCACACCTCCCAGGCCACTCCCACCCACACAGCCTGCTCACACCTCCCCAGGCCACTCCCACCACACAGCCTGCTCACACCTCCCCAGGCCACTCCCACCACACAGCCTGCTCACACCTCTCCAGGCCACTCCCACCACACAGCCTGCTCACACCTCTCCAGGCCACTCCCACACACACAGCCTGCTCACACCTCCCAGGCCACTCCCACCCACACAGCCTGCTCACACCTCCCCAGGCCCCTCCCACACACACAGCCTGCTCACACCTCCCAGGCCACTCCCACCACACAGCCTGCTCACACCTCCCAGGCCACTCCCACACACACAGCCTGCTCACACCTCCCCAGGCCACTCCCACACACACAGCCTGCTCACACCTCCCCAGGCCACTCCTACCCACATGGCCTCCCAGGACTCCGCTGCCCCCCGTGGCTCCTTAATGTACCGTGCGCCTCCCTGCCTCGGCCAGTATCATCTGACGATCTCCCTCTTCCCTCAGTGTGAAAGGAGACTGAAGAAAAAGGGGTCGCTGCCCCCCAAGTACGCCTTGGAGCTGCTCACCATCTACGCCTGGGAGCAGGGCAGTGGGGCCACAAGTTTTGACACCACCCAAGGCTTCCGGACGGTCCTGGAGCTGGTCACCCGCTATCAGCAGCTCTGTGTCTTCTGGACGGTCAACTACAACTTTGAGAATGAGACTGTGAGGAACTTCCTGCTGAAGCAGCTCCAGAGACCCAGGTGCCCCTCCCCTCCCCTGCCCTCCCTCTCCTTAACCTGATTCCCTCCACCCCTACCTCCGCGAACTGGCTTCTCTTCCTGTGGGGGCCTGATTCATCCTCCTCCTGTGAAACTGCGGGAGGGGGTGCCAACCAACAGAGCCTCCTGCGGAGATACAGCCCCCGGGAGGCGGGAGGAAATGTCACCCAGAAGGAACAGAGGAGGCCCCAGGCTCCAGGCCCCTGTGTGGCATCCATCTTTCTCGGTCACAAGGAGAAGTGGAATTCGTTACCGCCTACGAGGCGGGGCAAGTGTGGTCCTGAGAACTAAGTGTCATTCATAGGCTGATGGATCCTACAGGCTTGTTACGGCCAGGTTTCACCTCCCCTTCCAGCACCGCATCCCACCAAACCTTCATCCTTCAAGGATAAGAAGGCATCTCCGTTCAGCTGCTCAGAGTCACCAGCCAGGGACAAAAACAGCGGAAGCAAGAGAAAAGGAAATGGGCGAAAAGGAAGGAGCATGGACAGAGTCTAGAGAAGAAGAAAGAGAGAACAGGAAACCCTGGGTTGCCTACCATGGGAGTGGCCGACTTAGTAACATTCCATTGGGTTATGATTATGCGTCATCAGTCAGTTGGCCTGGTTTGGAGAAGATGCCCTCACGTCTATAATAATTAGTAGCTTTCAAAACATTTTTTTAAATATATTTTATTGATTTTTGACAGAGAGGAAGGGAGAGGGATAGAGAGTTAGAAACATCGATGAGAGAGAAACATCGATCAGCTGCCTCCTGCACACCTCCTACTGGGGATGTGCCCGCAACCAAGGTACGTGCCCTTGACTGGAATCGAACCTGGGACCTTTCAGTCCACAGGCCGACGCTCTATCCACTGAGCCAAACCGGCTAGGGCTCAAAACATTTTTCGACAATTATTATTTAATTCCAGAAGGTTACTTTGCACAGTATTAGTACACTGAATTCTTGATGTCCAAGTAGTAAGGACACATTGTTTTATTGCCAAGAGGAGGATGGGCCCCCAACCCTGAGACCACTAACTCTAAGAAGCAGGCCCCTAACGCCTCCAACCCCTCGTACAGGCCGGTCATCTTGGATCCGGCCGATCCCACCGGCGACGTGGGCGGAGGGAACCGCTGGTGCTGGCATCATCTGGCGAACGAAGCTGCCGAATGGCTGTCCTCCTCCCTCTGCTTCAAGGACGGAACTGGAGGTCCCGTCCCGTCGTGGAAAGTGCCGGTAAGAATACCCTCCAGGCAGCGTGGTCTGGGGATGGCTCCGTGACAGGCTTCGATCACAGAGCTTCTCCTGCTGTCGCCACTTGGACTTTATTCAACCACAAGTGACAGCTCACCCACGTCAGGGGCTTGGGCGTTGTTTGTTCATTTGTTTGTTTGTGATTCTTTCCATTATAAGAAATCCCAAGGCAGGCCCCCAGGACGCCCCTAACAGCTCCACTGTGCTTCCCCGTGAGCAGTTTCCCCGCTGTGGCACCATCTGCATTCCGTCTGGATCGTTCTTTGTGGTGGGGGCTGTCCTGGGCCGTGTCGGATGCTGAGCGGCATCCCTGGTCCCTACCCCCTCGATGTGACGATGTCTCCGGAAAGGGCCTCCGGACCTCCAGGTGGCAGGTTCGCGGTCCAGGCAGGAAGGACAGGAGGGGAAAGATACCTGCTCAAGGGCATCTTCTCAGAAGCCTCATCCAGCAAGTTCTCTTCATGTCAGTGCCCAGACCGTCCTGTGGCATCTGCTACTTAAAAGGGGGGGCGGGGTGCGCCACGGATGGGATTGGGTCAGCACCAAGCGTCTGCCACACCTGCTCCTAGTGCTCCTCTTACCAGGACACCTGCCACCTGTACACTTGGTTCTCCCGCCAGGACCTTGCTCAAGGTCCCGTCAAAGCAGGGTTTCTCAACCTCGGCACTAGTGACATCCTGGGCCAGATAGCCAGGTAATTCTTCACCGCAGGGCTGTCGTGTGCATTATGGGATGTTGAGCAGCATCCCATCTCCACCCACTGATACCACCCAGTTGTGACCATTAAAAATATCTCAAGACATTGCCTCATGTCCCATGGGGGCCAAATCGCCTGCTATGAAAGAACAACCCTCTCCACTCCACTCCAGGGTCAACTGTAGTTGTCAAGATCTGTGCTATCAACAAGCACCCCAAAATTATCCCTGGTAATATTTTACCCTCTCAGATATACTTCCTTCTTTTTTTTTTTTTTGTGACCCTTTTAACCAAGGGGTTTGAATGCTCAGAATCCATATGATTCTCACATGTCTGCTTCTTTCTTTCTAGACGGTGCAGACACCGGGAAGCTGTGGGGCTGGTGTCGGTCCTGTCATCAACGAGATGTTCTCGTCCAGAAGGCGCGGAATCCTAGACTGAAAATGCTCGGAGAAACTTCTCGAGGTCACCTGACAAGTGCCTTTGAAGGATCAGTTCACTGTGTAAACGCGTATCCCAGATCCCTTCTCCCCACCCCCCACCCCCAAACTCCTTCCCTGGTTTCTTGGACGCCTCTTCAAATCAAGACTGCCAGGTCCTTCCCAGAAAGTCTCGTACGCTCTCGCCTTGCTGGGCCCTCACTCCGTGAGTGGCCTGCTTTATTAAAAATGTTTGCTCTCATCCGTATTTTTCCCATTAGCTCCTCCCTTTTCCTTCCAGTTTCAGAAGCGGATCCTCTCCATCTTCTGAGCGTGAAGCTCTTGCCCTGCCCCTTGGTTCCCATAAGCCAGTGACCTTGCTTTCATAATCTCCCACCTCACCCTCCTCCCTCTGGGCGCAAACCCTACCTGTGCCTGCTGATGGAAGGTCTCCTAAGCCAGTAGTAAGTCAGCCTCTTTAAGATCTCAAACTCTCCTAAGCCTTGGATTACAACTGTTGAGATATATTTATCTCCTGTTTCCTCCTTCCGAGCCTACCCTAGTCCCCCACCCATGAGTATCTTCTTGCCAAATCTAAAGGCTTTATCCTCTGGCTTTTCCTTCAAAGGTACTTGAAGATCTAAGTGTTTTAACCTCACATGTATCCTCTGAAAGTCTTATTACTGTCATGTATGCCAACTGCCATGTAGTAAACGAAAATGTCTGGCCGTTGCTCAGTGGTTAGAGCGTAGGCCCTCAGATCAAAGGGTCGTGAGTTCGGTTCCCAGTCAAGGGCACATACCTTTGTTGAAGGTTCCCCACCCCTGGGGCACGTGTGGGAGGCAACCAATCGACGTGTCTCACTTCAATGTTTCTCTCTCTCCCCCTCCTCCCTCCCTCCCACTCTTTCTAGAAATCAGTGGGAAGAAGGTCCTCGGGTGAGGATTAAAAACAAACAAAAAAGGATATGTCTGGTCTTTACCCCCAGTTCCTAGCACAGAGTTTCAAAACCCTTGCAGTTTCCCATAGGAGCGTCTTGTATTCATGAGCCCCTGCCAGCCAGCCAGGAGTTTATGCTCATGAGGTCTGGCCTCTTACCTTTCAAGGGAGGTGTTGGCCATGACAGAAAGAGGAAGCCAGAAATTAGAGGATTGAACTCCCAAGAGGAGAGAGGGTTGGAGACTGAGCTCAAGCCTGTGGCCAAGGATTGAATCAATCCTGCCTCCCTAATGAAACCCAATAAAAACTCTGGACGGCCAGGCTTGCGCAGCTTCCTGGTCGGTAAATGCATTGATGTCTTGACAAGATGGCACATCCTGACTCCACGGGACAGAAGCTCCTTTGCCCAAGACCCTTCCAGACCTCACCCCCGATGTTCCTCTTCACCTGGCTATTCCTCTGTGCCCTTGACAATAAAACGGTGACTGCAGGTAGAGTGCTTTCCTGAGTTCTACGGGTCATTCTGGTGAATTACTGAACTTGAATTTGGAGTCAAGTTAGACAGAAGTGCAAGTGGTCTGGGGACCCCCCTTGTGACTGGCATCTGAAGTGAAGTGGGAGCCATCTTCTTGGGACCTTGCCCTTGAACTGTGGGGTCTGCACTAACTCCGGGGAGGGTCAGGATTGAACTGAATTGAATTGTAGGCACCCAGTTGGTGTCTGAAGGTTGGTTTTAGAACGCACCACTGCTCCCGTCTCGAAGAAAACACAGAATGAAAGAATGGCCACCCTAAGTTGGCATCTACTCAGTCTACAACTAGGTACCATTCCCTTCAAGATGTACAAACGTGCCCTAGACACATAGAGAGGGAGCGATCAGACACCGCCCCCTCCTCCCAGGCGAACATGCACCCAGCGGGACCGTGACACCTACTTAACCTTAAACAAACATGAAGGGCCATTTACAGCCCTGAGCTAAGTGACTTCCCCAGGCACCTCACAGGCAGGCAGGGACCATTCGTCTTCCCCGCCAATGTCTTCTCAGCATTCAGTAGACACTGAAGCTCCTCAAAAGCAAAGACAAGGAAGACCCCACAGTGATCAAGAAACGTGTGGTAGCCGAAACCGGTTTGGCTCAGTGGATAGAGCGTCGGCCTGCGGACTGAAAGGTCCCAGGTTCGATTCCGGTCAAGGGCATGTACCTGGGTTGCGGGCACATCCCCAGTAGGAGATGTGCAGGAGGCAGCTGATCGATGTTTCTCTCTCATCAATGTTTCTAACTATCTCTCTCCCTTCCTCTCTGTAAAAAATCAATAAAATATATTAAAAAAAAAAAAAAGAAAGAAACGAGTGGTCATTGGTCATCATGAGGAGTAACAAGGGCACCAACCCTTTTTTCAAAAAAAAAAAAAAAATGGCAACTAACAGCAATGAAGAGGAACTCTTTAAACCCAGCCTTTCTTGCACAAATTGTATTTCAGGAGGCAAACACACCCAGCCATGACTGTTAAGGAAAACAATTTGGAACAGGAGACTTGCATTTGCTGTATGTGGAAGGGATGGCACATTAGAAGCCACCATTTTGCAACTCCCATTGAAACAAATGATCCGGGCAGAGATTACCAACGGATGAATCCATTTGATGGCGTGCAGCTGGGGGCAGACTGTCCCCTCCCAGAGCCACGGTTTCATCACAGCAGCCAGAGAAGGACCGCCAGACACGGTGGCCCTGCTGGTGCGAGGCACACAGCACCATTCATGAAGTGTTTTTGCCAAACAACAACCAAGAAAAGGCTAGTAATAAACAAAAGGAGCCCTGACCGGTTTGGCTCAGTGGATAGAGCGTCAGCCTGCGGACTGAAGGGTCCCAGGTTCGATTCCGGTGAAGGGCATGTACCTTGGTTGCGGGCACATCCCCAGTAGGGGGTTTGCAGGAGGCAGCTGATCGATGTTTCTCTCTCATCGATGTTTCTAACTCTCTATCCCTCTCCCTTCCTCTCTGTAAAAAATCAATAAACTATATTTTTTAAAAAATAAGCAAAAGGAATTGAGTTAGAAAGTTGAACGTTCCAGAGAAAACGTGTAGCCCAGACAGACTTCAGAAGAGAATGGCAAAGGAAGGAGGCCAGAGGTGGAAGGGCGCGCCCTCTCTCAGCCTCAGAGGGCGACGAACCTGGAGAGTGGGTTCAAGGTCAAGATTCCGGCCCATAGTCCACTCCCGTTACCCTGGCAGTGAGGGCCCCACTGACATCAGAGAAAGTCAGGGATGACCAGAAGCAGGGCCACACGTGGCGAGTGGCCAATGGCCCAGGAGGAGCTTGGGAAGAGTTCGATGGGCAGACCACGAAGGAGACCACGGGTGGGGAGAGTTCGTGGGTACAAGGACTTTCTGGAGCCCGTAGGCTGGGAGCCATAGCTGCTCTGTCATGAGGCTCCTCTGACTGAGTTGGGTCCCGTCTGAGCAGACAAAATGTTGTCACTCTTCAGTTCTATTTATTTTTTTTCTTTTAAAATATATTTTTATTGATTTCAGAGAGGAGGGAGAGAGAAAGAGAGAGAGAAACATCAATGATGAGAGAGAATCATGGATTGGCTGCCTCCTGCACGCCCCACACTGGGGATCGAGCCTGTAACCATGGCATGTGCCCTGACCGGGACTCGAACCATGACCTCCTGGTTCATAGGTCGACGCTCAACCACTGAGCCACGCCGGCCGGGCTCTCCAGCTCCATTTCTTGGCATCAGTGCCTGGGATGAGCCGGGGAAGTGAAAAGCTCTCCCGGTGTGAGCTGGCCCCTCAGAGGGGACCTGGCGGGAGGAAGTCGGCAGAAGCCGGATGTGGGGATCCTAGTGGCCCGACCCAACCGAGGGGCCCAACGGGGCCCTGCTTGCTCCCCTTGGGTGCAGCTCCTCAGACAGGAGCCGAATCCAGGCCCTTGTCCCTTCGCTGCGGGGCGGGCTGGGGGTTGCCAGGGTAACATCTCTGGTTCTGAGGGAGGCATCAGTTGATGGAGCGGGAAGGCATCACCAGGAGAAGGGGAAAGGCTCCGTTTTGGGGGGGCCCGAGGGATTTCCGAGAGACGCTTCCCCAAGGCCTGGCCATGATGATGTCCGGAATAATGGGAGAATGAGAGCCACGCAGATGGCTGACAGGGGAAGAGAAAATGCCACGAAGCCCACAGGAGGCCAGGGAAGCAGGTAGGGTGTGTTGGGCACCATGATAGCCCCCCACCCCCCAAGGATGTCCACGTCCTAACCCCGAACCTGCGACTGTTACCTGACGTGGCAAAGTTAAGGATCTTGGGATGGGGTGTTCTGGGTTACTCAGGTGAGCCCAATCGCTCTCCCAGCCCTAAAGCAGAGAGCCTGCCCCACCTGGTGTGAGAGTTCCAGCGGGAGAAGAGGCAGGAGCTGGCGTTGCTCAAAGAGGCAGAGCCATGAGCCAGGGTCTGTGGGCAAAGAATGACCACCAGCTGGCAGCAGCCATGACACACGGACCTCGGGCCCACAGTTACATGGAAACGGACTCCAACCCGGGCGAGCCTGGAACCCGGGCATCCCCGGAGCTTCCAGTCGGGAACGCAGCCGGCCAGCCCCTTGATCCGGACTTGGGGGACCCAGAGCCGAGAAACCGACAGGCCTGCTGGGCTTCCACCTACGGACTGTGAGGTAATGAGCTCGCCTCGTTGTGAGCCCCTGGATGTGTGGCCTTGTGTTTGGGCAGTTACCAGCCTCCCGGGGGCAGCAGTGAGCGCTGCGGGGCTGGGTCCACTGGGGACTCCAGCCTGTGTCCAGGGAAGGCGAGTCACCTGTGAGAGGGAGGAGGCTGCCCTCCATTCTTCTGACACCCAGACTGGGGAGGGGTGTCCCCACGCTGGCCAATCCCCCAACACTGGTCAGGTGTCCTACAATTCAATTAACCTCCGACACAGTCCGCCTGGACCTCATGTCAGAGGCCGCAGGGTGAGGATTCAGTCCCACAGGACGCCCTCCCCTCGCCCCCCCTGCCGACCAGTCACGAGTCGGGGCTTCCAGGGTTCCTGCCCTCCTCAGGTTCAGTCATTTGTTAGAGTGGCTCACAGGCCTCCAAGAAGCAGCTTGCTTGCTGGATTACCGGTTTCTTATAAAAGCTGTAACGCAGGTGAAGGCTGTCCTCCAGGCTTGCAGGTGGCTGCCTTCCCCCCATGTCTGCATGTGGGGGGTGGGGGGCAGGGGAGGGAGAGGAGAGAGGGTTCTTGCTTTCCTAGATTTCCCCCTTGCTTCCCCATTCCCCCTGTTAAAGGAAAATACTGGATCTCTAACAATTTCATGTCAACCCGCTTGCGTGGGGGAATTCGCACTCAGAGTCAGCATCCCAGCCCTCCCCCACCCCCCGCCCGCCCAGGGTGTGGCTCCCGGACGCCATCCACAGGGAGTTCTGTCTTCCCTGCTCACACCCTCTACCCTCCTCCTTCATTCTCAGTCCTTCTCCGGCATCTCCCTCCTTTCCCCTGCGGGGCCTCTGGGCTACTCCTGCAGCTGCCCGTAGCAGCCCAGCTTTGACTGCCATCGTGTGGCATCAGGATGAAATTCGCCTGAGCAGGAAGCAGGCCAGTCCTAGGACACGGTGGGGCATGCTGGAAGCGTCCCCCCCCCCCCCCAGACCCCCCGTAACGTGGTCCAGGGAGGGGTTCATTCTGAATCGTGATCCCTGCAGTGAGGCATCGTTAAGCAAGCTGTTAGTCCCACGCCGAACCCACGTGCTCACCAGGAGCAGAGGAGGAAAAGCCAGCCGGCGGCCCTCGAACAACTTTGTTTTCTTTTTATAAAGATTTTTATTGATCTTTTTAGAGAAAGAGGGGCTGGGGGAGAGAGAAAGGTCTACTTATTGATGCGCTCATTGGTGGATTCTTGTA